CTGTTAAGCAGAGCATTTCATCTGATCAGAACTGCAGGAGTAAACAATGTTTTTCTTTTTGTTTTTTCCGTAGTGCCTATAATGTGACATTGTTAGCATGGATCTGAAACTCGTAGGGACCTCCTGTCCTCCCGCCTCACTTCCTCTCAGCCTGTTCTTGACCACATAGGCGGTAGCCCAGGGCGCCAACTGCTGAAGGGGGCTTTGGTGGGCCAACTCAAAAAAAAAAAGAAAAAAACAACAACAAAAATTAAATAAATATATATATAATATATGTCCAGTCCGTCGCAGATAGAAGTGGAAGAAAGTTCTGTAGTCTGATGGACCAAAATGAAGCTTTTCAGCGGTCAGAACAGATGTTGCATTCCCACTGTGAAGCATGGTGGTGGGAGCATCATTCTGTGGGGTTACTCCTCGGCAGCAGACCCTGGAGGGACTGGAAAGGTACAACCAAAGAATCGTCGACTAAAATACTGACTTGAAGGGGGTGAATATTTATGCACTCTTTTATTTTTAAATATTATCTTTGTAGATCTCTGCAATCAGTTTGACACTAAAGTATCTTTTTTTTTTTTTTTTTTGCTATTTTTTGAGAAATGTTGATGAATACTTTTATAGATGCTGTGCACAGGAAGAACATGAAAACTCCATGCAGAAAGATCCCAGGCTGGGAATCAAACCCAGGACCTTTTTGCTGCAAGGCAACAGTGCTACCAACTGCGCCACCGTGCAGCCTGAATGGAAACATAAAGGACATTATTTTTTTGAAAATAGCCACAAATTCTCAGCTGACTAGCTAGAAGTTTGGGCTGCAGAGTTGAGGCTGAATGATTTATTAGATACTTTTTAAGGCGTGTTGGAGCAGAATGGAGGACAGAAATGATGCCATCCTCCAGACAGAGGGGCTGGTGGTCTTTGATGAGCAGGAGAAGCAGTTCCTCCAGGCTCTGCATGTAGATCAGGCTGACCGCTGCAGGCCTGATGTGGTGGAGATCTAGGCTCCTTGAATAATGGTTGATGTTTTGTTTTTTTATGTGATATGTCAGTAACAGATCTTTAAAACTACCTGGCAACAGTCCTTTCTTTGCACTTAAGGTGAGTGAATGGTCAGTCTTCACTGACAGCTGGTTGAACTACGACAAAAACAACAACAAAAATCTAAATATGTTTTTTATTACGTAACTTTTAAGAAATTAATATTTTTTTACATATTTGTTTAAAATTTTGCAGTGACAGTATGGTATGTGACAGATAATCTGTGAAAAAAATTTAGCTCCTCTGCCTTCTCCTAATGCTAACCAGAAACAACCAATCGGAGCCAGGAGGCGGGTCTTAGCACCGTGAATGATCCTCTGTGTGCCACTGCCCATTCCCTCTTACCTTCCCTCCCTTTCTCTCTGCCATGCTGTAGCTGGGTGACCTGGTCATGAATGGCTGACCTCAAGGGGTTTAAGCATCTTCACTGATAAAACGTTGATGTACAAAACGCCAAGGACAGCACAAAGCATCCATTGTGAACGTTCTGTATCACATTTTTCTTGTTCGGATCTGTCCTGGGTGGAAGGCTGTGCAGAGGGCTTCACATGGGTCAGAGCTGAGCAGCTTGACATTTAAGGTTTTTCTCAGGTAGCCGACAGACTCAGCCAAGAGAGAGTAAGGTGACAGAAAACACATTACAGCACTCTCATGTCTGCAGCATGTCATCTGTCTGGGTTAGATGAGACCTAAGGCTCAAATTCAGAATAAAAATACATTCAGATTTTTGCTTAATGAGCCCTTAGAATTGAAGCTATTCTGCAAACAGTCTGCATGGATAAAAGACAGCATTCGACGGCCAGTGCTCCTTTATAGATGGAGATTGTCCCACTGCATGATGGAGGGGCATTTTCTCCATGGTTACTAATGACTAGGTGTGTAGCTTCTACATTATGCAGTTTTTGATTGCTTCTTACTAATCTCACTTACTCATGAATGTTAATCTTCTTACCTTGTAAAAAGTGTTTGCTGCCAGTACTTATGACTGACTGCTCCAATCCTTCTTTCCATATCAAAAATATACAATAAAATGACAAGTTTAGTTTGCATCCTCATCTATTGCTGCACCATATACCATCGTTACAGCAGCATTTGGCTCCAAACTGCCTGTTTTTGGCATGTGCTTAGGTTGTTTTAATGCCTGTGGCAGCAGAGCAGGATGCTTTCTGAAGAGAGTGACATCATGTTCAGAGGGTCAGTGATTATCCGCTGATTATTATTTCATACGTATGAAATCAAAGCATCCAAATGGAACCATCCCTGTCTTTTGTAGGTGGAGTTGATTTGAACTTCCTCTCGATTTAAACCGAGAGGAGTGAGTATACGGTCAATCGGATGTGAAGGGATTCAGTCTGGGGTTAGGATTAGTTCAGGAAGTGCTTCTTCTTCAGTGTTTCCATCTTGATTCTGACCTGACAATGTCCAACTTTATGAAAATCACATAAGTCCCACCACGTTCCACACACCGACAGCCTCAAACGGTTCATCGGCATGATGTGAATCCATACGTTGTCAGCTCTGATTGGTGTGGCGGCCCAAATGACGCGCAGTCAGTGAGTCAGCAAACAGAGGGTGATCTTGATGCTCTGGCATTTGTTCGTGATGCTGGAGTTGCTAAGGAGACAAAAATAAATGGGAGTAACTTCCAGTGTATTTCTAATGCCTGAGTTCCCTCCCACTGTGCCACTGTGCAGCCCTCTTACAGGGAAATTGGGAATTAAAAATACTTCATACATGCTTAAAGCTGTAAAACATGGTTAAAGTTGTTTTTGTCTAACAGCATTAATAAGTTAAATAAAATAAATCCATTTATTGGGGCTGCTGCCATGTTTGCTAAACTTTGTGGATTTAGCTTTTCAGAAGGCATTTCAGCCGTTTTTCCTGTTCATTATGCAAAGTCATAAGATTTATATCAATCTACTGAAACGTCATTTATCAGCTTAGAAAAGGTTATAAAGCACTCACACAGATCAATCAACACAGATTGATATTATACTTTCAGATTCCCTTATGAGATTTCATTTTATCTTTTTTTTGTAATTTCTCAAATCTACCTAAAGAAGATTTGTTTTTCTACTATTTCTACTATATCTTGTTAAAATGTTTTTACAATATTTTGTGGACACCTGAAAACTTTAACAAAATAATGCAAAAGAAAAAAAAATTCTCAAAAAACACCTGTGTCACACTAAACAGTCAAATGTACATGTATCGGTTTTGGCGAAACTGTCTCTGTATTTACTTGGTATCAAATCAATATTAAAATAGCATCATCCACCTCTGGACTGTCACCTGTTGTTGTGCAGTTCCAGGTGTTGGTAGTTTTACCTGAAAATGCTGCCAAGCCTGAGTACATACACTCCCATAGCACATCCAGACCTCTGGGTATCCGGTGACATCAGCACTGATTCCCAGTGGAGGAGGAAGTGAAGCAGGAAGGTGGTCCTCTCTTCTCCCAGGAGAACAAAAAAAAAAAAAAAAAAACCAAGCAGGAAGGAGAGGAAAGGTTCATGTTTCAAACACAGGAGTAATTAGCTGATATGGATTGTGTAATGGTTGCTTGAGTGACTGATGATAGTCTTAAGGATATTACACGCTACTAACTTGGGGTTTCAGCCAACATCTGCACTGGTGCCTCTTCACCGCGTTGATGTGGTCTTAGGATGATCTTTTTATGCTCCTTTAATAAGTTCCTTTCCTCAGCATTTCATTTTAAGCTCTCTAATGAGCTCATACACACACACAACTTGTGAATCAGCTATCAGATATTTAATATGTTTTCTTACGGGTCCTCTGCGCTGATGGATCGATGAGAACGATGGAGTCCAACAAAACAAATTGTCTCTTTCAGAGCGCTCTTTCATCTGGACGGCTGGAGCCGCAAACTGAATATGCTGCAGGGTAAAAATGTTCCTCTTCACATCTACATGCGTGTGCATACACACACTTGTCAGGAGAATGCTGATTAACAGCCAGAATGTGTTTGAAGGCAGTAAACAGCGTGTGTTCCTGCCTGATTGTAACCGGAGGGTGGACACATGAGCTACTGGTGGCATCAATTAAAGAAAGCTCACGCGGTTCTGTGATGACTCTTGTCATGTTTACTTCACCCGATCAATTCTTGTCAGCCCTCTCCCGAGCCTCCAGCGGGCCGCCTGGGCTCGTCACGTTTGAGTAAAAAAATGAGCCCAGTGCTTGGTTTAAGGATTTGATTCTCTGTTTTAATTCTCTGATTGCTGTGAAATTCAACCTGCAGGGGATGAAAATATTTGACGAGTAAATACTTGGTTTTTCTTGCGTGTGTGTAGAAAACAGAATATTTTTGTTCTTCTTTGATGTATTTCAGTCGGCAAGCATGCAGACCCACTTCTGAATTTTTTGTTCACCACCATTGTTGTTGGACCACAACAACAGTTTCAGAAAGAGTCACAAAATTAGCAGCATTGTTACATGTTGGGATTCACTGCCGACTAAAATCGGAAGAAAATAAACCCTGAAATGACCAATTCTGAATGGCTGACAAACTGATGGATGCATGTAGAAAATCTGCTCTGGTTTAAAAACTAAAATACTTACACACTTCAGTCCTGGACTAGATCACTCTACTCTGATAGCAGATAATTTAAAACTTGACTTGTGACATTTTGAATAATATACAGGATGCATATTTGATAAATGATCAAAAGTAAACGATTTATAAGTTGATTGTTAGGAATGTATTGACATTTAGTGGTCAGCAAGTTCTTAAATTTTGTTCATCCCTAGTTACTAACACCGATGTACACAGGAAATGAAAAGTTTCTTCCCACTAAACTCCATCCCCTAATCATCTTTATTTTATCTTTTTTTTTATCCCAATATCAATTGCTATTGGTATTGGGACCGTACAATATCGTGTTGCACAACACTCTCTATGAGTGCAAAGTGGCTGCTGTTCTGATCGCTCTCCTGTTTGTCCTCCACAGACAGTAACTTTGTCCTGGGGAACGCCCAGGTCCAGTCCCTGTACCCCATCGTCTACTGCTCCGACGGCTTCTGCGAGCTCACCGGTTACGCCCGCGCCGAGCTCATGCAGAAGAGCTGCGCCTGTCACTTCCTGTACGGCCCGGAAACCAACGACCGCTCCACGGCCCAGATCCAAGGCGCGCTGGACGACAGGGGGGAGTTCAAAACGGAGCTGGTGTTCTACAAGAAGGAAGGTGAGACCAGAACCTGCAGGGTTCTGGATCCGTCAGCAGAAACACTGAGAGTCACTTCAACTCATTCTGTGTTTGTCCTGGACGAGTTTCTAGTCATGTCAGTTCTTTGCTTTTCCTGAGTATCCATAACACTTCAACTTTCTCATATTTTGTCGCATTATAGCAAGCTTCATTGTGTTTTATTAGGATTCAACTGTATGTTAGCAAAGACAGTGGATGGTGGAAAAAAAAATAAAAATAAAAAAGAAGTAAATTCCCACCAAAAATCAAACATTTTCAGATTAATCTCAGAAATTGTCAAGAAAAAATAAGTCTTAGAAGTAATTAGAAGGACACTGAAATTTTCAGGGTTTTTTCTATATTTTATTCTATAGTACTTGTAAGAAAAATATAGCAGAAAGACCTGCAGCTGTAAATGCAACAGAGTATGGACTGATGAAGGCCCAATCCTACAGGAGAAAAAGAAACCATTGTTATATTTTTAAAAATGTTTTAAACTATACATCACTCTTCTTCCATTTTATAATTATGTGCAAATTTGGATGTATTTGTTGATTCAACTTAGGGCTGGAAAATAAATCAATAGCATATATTGTGATAAACACATAATTAATTTTCAATAGATCATAGGTTTGAAAGAATTTAGCTGTCCAACCTCACAGTTAGCAAATCAAGGTGGCATCAAGAAACTGACTCACTCTTTGTTTACCTAGCAACAACCTGTAGAGTAACTTGTGCAGCAGCAGTATCAGGTTTCACCACCGGCCTCAGAACTGCTTAGAAATTTTTAAAAAATGACAGAATGCAGAGAAAACCGTGGCTAAAACAGAAAAGGTCACATCTGCTGGATTTCTGGCACTATGTCAGTAATTTAGAACAAAAACTAATCAATAATTATTGATATTGGCTGATATCATATTGGATGGATCCTTATGTCTAAGAAAGATACATTAGATCTAAGAAAATTGACTTTGTAGTTGTAACATCCATGTGCAAACTGGAACGGTCTCCACTAAGAAGTCATTTTTACTGGATGAAGCCTGTGTGTTACAGAGCATTAGCTTCAGTGTCGAATCAGTTATGCAGACTCTGCTGAGGTTGTTGTAACCGTTGTCAGATTCGTTGTTGCAGCAGAATGTGAGAGCAAACGTTGCATCACTATAAGTCATATTGCTAAAAATGTGACTTGATTTTTCTGCCATTGAAAAACGTTGATTGTTGTTCAGCCAGACACCAGAGAGAAGGGTGGGAGTTGAGTAGCATCAAGAAACTACAAATTATTTCATTTATCCTAAAGAAAAAAACATCAATCCAAAGAAAAACAAAATGATTGAGAGAAATGAGGTTTGTGAAAGAAATAGAGAAAAAAAATTTCTTCTGGTTAATTCACTTTGGGTCCACATGGGATACATGTGTAGCACATGTGCCTCACATGGGATGCATGTTTCACGTGTGCATCATATTTTACGTTCTGAAATATTTTTAAATGTGAGATCAAATGTGATGCACAAGTTTTAAATGCGTGTCATGTGTTTTCACATGACACGCATACATGTTGTATCACATATACAACATGTCACACATGTTTTATGTGATGCACACATAAAAACATGTGCATCACATGGGCTACCCATGGGTATCACATGTTATATTTGATACACATGTGGTAATATGTGATACCACATGAGAATCACATGGGGTTTTACCATGGAACGTTCCAAAATCACATGTGTACATGTGATTTTACATGTGATTCATGTAGTTTACAAGTCGTTCACATGTGAACATTTCTGTGAAGCACATGTGCATTTTTTATGAGTTTCACATGTGAATTTCATGGGATTTTTTTGAAGTAAATCAGAGAATATGCTGTTAAATGGACTCAGAGTATCAGTAGATAAAAGGCAGAAGTCCTGGAAATGCAATGGATCTACACATTGCATTTTGTTTTTGTTTTTTTCCATGATTATTATAATTCGTTTTCCTGATGAAAGTGAAAATATCTCCACAGAAGAAGCACGAAGAGTTTGAAGCTGTTCCTTTTCCAAGGACTCTATTTTTAGGGATTCTCCTCCACACGCTCCTTCTGAGAAATCTGCTCTTTGTGACCGGCTCCCAGTTATTAGTGAGTGATGTAGTCATGTGCAGAATCCAAATCAAGTTCAAACAGTTTATTTCCCCTCTCAGAAGTGTAAATTTGTTGAAAACAAAATCTGCCAAAGGGAATTCCGGGAAAGAAACTCTAATTATTATTAACTGAGTTGTTGTTGTTTTTTCCTTTCTATGGTTTAAAATCATAACTTCTAACATTTAAGGAAACTAATTGGCAGATCTAATACTAATGTGATATTGCAACTGGACATAATTAAAACATACAGTATAAAATAATAAAATACTCAAACTATTTAAATCCAGATCTCTGCAAGAAACCAGAGAGCAGATTGTGATTTGGGGAAACAGGACAACCGAACCCTGGGGGAGTGAAAAATGAAGAAGTTTGAAGAAATTTTGCAACTGTGGCATTTTCATTAAATAAGAAATGAAATTAAAATCACTTTTGAATATGCTCATTATTCAATAAGTCATGTAAATGTCATGCAAACAGTTGCATGACATGCTAATTCAGCCAATCAGAGGACACGTCGACATCTCATTCAGGGTTGGAGCGACAAGCCCCGCCTACTTGTGAGCGGTACAGCATTTTGGGGAAATTGTGGTCGGCGAGTTCTGGATTCAACATCTTGCATCCAGAATGGTACAACATCGTCTGAGCAGTGATGCTGTGAGAGTTCTGTTTTCACCAGTGTTAACGTCCAATTGTGGATCAAATGACTTGTGTGATGCAAAAACAAAGTTTTTTCATTTTAGTTTTGCGAAATACATCAAGTACTTACAGCTGGAAAACCCCCTCATCCGAGCATGACCTTTTTTTCATAGAAAATTTGAGTTTTTTTCCAAAATTGTCAAATAAGTTTTCTTTCAGGAAACTTATTTGCGTAATTTCAATTTGTGCAATTCTATGCTTAATGGAAATGCAGCGACTCTGTGGTATGGCAGACTGCAAAATTCTAAGCCACAATCTTTACGCTCCTCAGAGGTGTAAAGAGAGAATGCAGGTTTTCATCCATCTGTATGACGATGATGATGATCTCATTATACCTTCGGCTCTCTGTAGTGATTAAAATCATCCTGTTCACCCACAATGAATCGCTCAGGGAACTTGATGTCCAGGGAAATCATTTCCACGTTAATATGCTCACTGCCATCTCTTATGCACCGCCAAGGCCTGCATTAGGCTCCAAGACGATATCACACTTTAAAATGACGCTCCAAAATGACTTTACTCTAAGTGAAATGTGGGATTGTTAGGAGCACACAAAGTTGAGCTTGAGGTGAAAAGGCACCTTGTTTTTCAGGACTCCTCAGATTGGAGTCCTGAAAAAACTCCAATCTGAGGAGTTTCTTTTCCTCAGATTGGAGGAGAAAAACCTCCTCCAAAGGAGGTTTCTCGAACCATTTTCAGATACAAATGCATACATTTTGGGGTTTGCACATATAGTTACAGAGGTTTTGCATATTCTTTGTAAATCTTGGGTAGATTCACCGGAAATCATCCATAAAAATAATTCTTCTTGTCTTTCCATACTTTCTGAATTGGCTTAATTTCTGGACCTCTAAAAGGTCATATTGACTCTGCCTAGTCTGTTCTCCATGGCTTTTGTCACCTCTATTATCATTTCTTACCACTTTGCGTTGGTCTGTCACATACAATCCCAATTAAATACAACTCTGTGGGTATAATGTGACAAAATATAAATAATTTAAAGAGTTTTCTTTGTTTCTGCATCTAAAAATATGAGACAAGATACAAATCACCTAGAGAAAAAAGAGTTACTGTTCTCTAATATGGATCAAATGTGATTAAAGAGAAAAACTTGTTCACGCCTGAGATAAGCTCCTACTCTTCTGGCCTGTTCAGATTGAACGTCTCCACTCATACTGGTTCAAATTTAGCTGAATAAGCTGAAAATCCTACATTTTGCTTCTCTTTTTTTCTCGTGATTTTGTATTCTGGCACCTTTCTGACAGGTTTGTCTTCTTTGTGAATACAAATGTTCTTATCTACGAGGCTAAGACCTGCATAAACACCTGCCAGGATAAGATTTAAATTATCCTTGGAGCCGCTGCCCAGATTGCTGGAGCCCAGAGCCCCATAAGACGAGGCTGTTTCCTTCTTTCTCTCGCTCCTCCCTCATATGCCTTTAACCTGACAAAATGTTCTCTGGTTTTAAGTTTTTTGGGTTTCTCATTACCCACGATGCACCTTGGGGAGCAGGTGGGCTGCAAGTGAAGCTTTAAAAAGGAAGCAGAGCTTTTCTCCTGGTGAAAATGTGATGTCATTTTTAGCAGTTAGTCAGCATTATGCATAGCATTTGTAATTCAGCAAAATTACCACTGCATACTGGGTTTAATTCCCTGTCTGGGGTCTTTCTGCATGGAGTTTGCATGTTCTCCCTGTGCATGCTGAGTTATTTCCTGGTACTCCGGCTTCCTCCCACAGTCCAAAAACATGACTGTCAGGTTAATTGGTCTCTCTGAATTCTGCCAAGGTGTGTGTGTGTGTGTGTGTGTGTGTGTGTGTGTGTGTGTGCGTGCGTGCGTGCGTGCGTGCGTGTGTGTGTGTATGGTTGTTTGTCCTGTCTGTCTCTGTGTTGCCCAGCGACAGACTGTCCAGGGTGAACCCGCTTCTCGTCCCAAACGTTTGCTGGAGACAGACCAGCATCTCCTGACTCCACTAGGGAACAAGGGTGTTAGAAAATGGGTGGACGGATGTATATGTATGTTTTAAATGCATTCAGAACGACACTTTTAATCTGACAGAGTAAAACAGGTAAAAGATCAGAATTGTTCTTAAAGCTCAGAGGAATTTATGTCCCTTATTATTTAGAGTTGTAAAAAGTTACCAAAAATCTCAATTCTTTATTATTTATTTATTTTTTGCCATGAATGATTTTTGACTGATGTTCAGTAAAGTGACTTGGAAACTTCATATGCGTTATCGTACAGGTTGTTCCACATATTTTGAACAATAAAAGCAAAAATGTAATATTTTGTCTACAAACCAAAAGCAGCTTAGGTTGTGTTTTTGTTTCAGATGAAGGGAAACATTCAAATTAGATCCTGATTTAATTCCTTCTCCACGTGGAATCCAGGAAAACAACAGCTGCAAGTTAAAAGATTCTTGTGTTGTTTCAAAGCTCTGATGAATACGAATCACAGTGAAGAAAAAACAAATTGTTGTCTCTGATTCAATGAAATTTGTTGTATTCATTCCGAGATGTCACATGGCGTTTCGGACACTAACAGAAAAATAAACACCTTCAAATAATGAGTGGCACATAACATTCAGCAGCGTCTCAAGGCAATCACTTTGACAGGAGATTTCACCGGTAGATTGCTCTGTCACATTAATGAGAGGCAGAGAAGATGACTTCTGGAAAGTTTGGTGAGATCAGCGTGACGTTAATAAGCCGCCAACATTGCTGTACGTTCCCCATGAACATGCGCTCACGATTAGTTCTCCTTCCAGGTACAAAGTTCTGGTGTCTGCTGGACATCGTGCCCATTAAGAACGAGAAAGGAGAGGTGGTTCTGTTCCTTGTGTCCCACAAAGACATAACCGAGAAGAAGATGGAGCAGGATCCTGAGCAGGGGCCTGAAACCGGTGAGTGAATAAGAACGCATGTCCAAAAATAACCTCAGACTGGCTTTGACATGTCATCTGAGACAATCTTTACCGCACATGGAAGGATTCCAGGAGTTATTTTGGAGGTTTGCCAAAATAAAACTTTTTTTTTATTATTTCTGTTTTTTTTTTATTATGGGGAAGAAAAAAAATTTTTTTTATTTGAAAATTGTGCAAGTTTTTTCCAAAAGGTTTTATTTTTATTTTGGTAAATAAAATACAAATTTAATGTTTATAAAAATAGAATTTTACTCAAAATTTTATGAATATTAATACATTTTAATGTTCTGTTGATTTTCCTTTTACCAACGCACACAATTATCAATCTAAAAACCAGCCATTTATGATAAGCCCTGAGGCAATAGTTTTGATTTTAATGTTTACTGCTGAAAAATTTAATTATTGTCAGATGAATATGAGCAATTTAGGGAGACAGTTTAGGATCTTGTTCTGCAGTTTCTTAATAAGTAGAGTAATTCTAAATCTCGTAGTAATTAATGTGGTTTTTATGACTCACTCTTATAGGCAATCAAAGTTTTACAGTTGCCGTGTGAACTCCGGTGCAGCAAGTGCATCTGGAGTCATTTTCATTGCGTTTTATTGTGTTAAGTTTATAAAGTTTTTTTTGTTTGTTTTTTTCTGAAGTGTTAAGTGTTTGACACCTGTGGTGATGATCTTTTCACGACAGAACGTAACCCACGGGGCTTTGAGAACATCACTTGTTCATGGATGAGCTTTCCACTCTCATATTCTTGACGTAAACATGGCTGCATATCATGTTTACAAGATGAATAAAACATTCCAAGCAGAGCTGCGTAGGACAAACAAAGGAAGCCAGGATGACAAGCAGCCACGTTTGGATTCTGAAGAATGTGAATCAGCCTCTGTCAGCTCAGATGTATGATGATAATTTTCTATTCACATGGAGGAAATCTGCAGCATGAAAGACTTTGCCCTTCAGCTCTCAGGTTATTATGAAAGTAAGCAAACAACAATTAACCATCCATTAATAATTTTAATCAGTCTTCTCCCACAGTACGTTTCACCCTGATTGAACAAGCGACTCTGTCAATTTGAACGTTTGATGAATGCAAATGACGTCCCTAAATGAAATGCACATGCTGCACTGTAAACGTTCAGACGAGGAGCTTCCTCACTCTCGAATGCGATAATCCAGACGCTGACTGAGGAGGGGAGCCACGTTTTAAATTACCGCGGAGAATTATGTGAGTTAATTAGGAGCAGAGAGGAACCCATCCTCGGCTTGAAACTCCTGTACATGAATTTGTTGTTGTTGCTGCTGCGAATTCTGCAAATGAGGCATTTTATGAGCACCTTCTTGTACAATGAAGTTTACCTGCTCCAAACCTTCCAGCTGTCTTGATGACTCTGTCTGCTCTGCATCCTCATGTGGGTGAGGTTGTGAAGGGTTTACATTTTCCTAAAGGAACATCTGAGATAGAAAAGCCAGTAGTCTGAATCAGTGGTTCTACTTTTATTTACTATCCAATGACTATAACATTTTATTAGGTAATGTATTACAACTTTATTCATTTGATTTTGAGTGTTTTACCAGATAACATTTACCACCACTATTCCCTCTTTTGATGAGAAAAAGTTTAATATTTTGATATTAATCCCATCCATTTTTATTTAACCTCTACAGTCTAGGGTTTTTTTGCAGCAGTGGCCCCTGAACGGTTTCTTTTCACAAACTTTTCCATTTCCTGCTTTTCACCTAGGCTAGCTGTGCTAGCTGTGGGAGCAACTTCATGGCAGCGAATCAGAAAGATGAGCATAAAAAGTGACATTTTCCTGAATATCTCCTCTATAAGGACTATTTCTATGTACTATCTACAATATTATAACTTATGTTTTACAATACTAATTGTAAAACAGGTTATGTATTAAAAGAATAAAATGTATGATTTAAAAATATATTCGATTCCAATCTTTTTCTTTTTTTGGCCATGTGTTTTTTTTTTTTATCTTACCTCCATCTTCCTGAGAAGACTGCTTGTATCTTAGGCCACGAGTTCGTCTATAACCAGATCCAGCTGCGTTCATCTATTTATGATTTTTTTTTTTTTGCTTTGTTGTGTTTTTTTTGACTGACCTTCATCAGTTCTTGGTGCCTGCAGTTGTTTTGAATGATTTTGTATGTTTCTCTTGTCTTCCCGTGTGGAAGCAGGGTGGAGGGCCCAAATATGCAAAGCCGTGTGATTGTGTTGGAGTGTGCAGGGTCTCCATGGAAACAGTGTAAGACCCCCAAAAATGTGTTCAGTAATTCCTGAACCTCCAAGCTACACCTCAAGAGTTTTCACATTGATAAGTGTTTTTATGTAGGCAGTGTTTCCATCATGCAGAAATATGCATATTAGGTATGAATGTCTATAAGGATATTTTGTCTGACACTTTATATTGATAAAATTAATGTCACATATTTCATTAAAAACTAGTTAGGTAAACAGCACAGAACTCCAGAGCAACATGCTAATAAAACATCCTGGAAGATGGAGCCAACCTGGCATCTGTACAATCGTCTGTATCGTCATTAAATGATGAATTTGGAGGAGGTTGCCGCTCTACTGTCTACATCAACTTTATCACCATGGCAAACCTTTCACACATTTTCTGTAGCAGAGGCTAAACTTCCAGCACCAGAGAGTCATTAAATTCAGTGATGCTGATTGGCTAAACATTTATTATATTTCCCTAGCAACCACGCAAATTTGCCTATTTAGCTGCTGGGACTCTTTAGACTATCACCTCAGGAGAGAAATGATATCGGTGGAAATTCACTGTTGAATAAGAGTTTTGTAAGTTACTAATATAGGCACATGAGGAAAACTGACTTTTTTGAAAATATGTTTTCTGATCTGCATATGGAGCAGCCGCCACTGGATTTAGTTCAATGTGTTGCTCTGCAGATGCAGAAATAATTTCATTAAAACCCAATTTATTTGACCCACTTCCTGAGCCTTAAGCTCAGAATCTCATTTCAGCAGGTATGGAGAGCAGGAAACAAAAAGGGAGAGGAGAAACAGACGTGGACAGAGGGGGGAATAAACACGGCTCTGCTTAAATAAAATCTGCTAAACATAAAAAATACACCAAAGCAGAAACTGGCCTCACAATACATCAATGAGGAATATAAAGCTTTGGAGAAATATTGGTAAATATTTAAACTTCTCCATGTATATTTCAGCCACAGACTGAAATCATCAGATTAATGTTCTCCAACAAAACCTCTGAGACCAGAATCAGAAACAACTGGATTTACTGAGCTTAAGACATAAGAGTATCAATTCTTCAACATATTTTTACTCAGGTAGCCTATAAGTAAAAGTATTTGATAATACTCATCACCAGAAGGACAAAAATATAAAGCTGAGTGGAAATTTTGTTATTTTAAGACGCAAATAATAATTTATTTAAGTAGCAAAAAAAAAAACTAAAATCAGGCAATAGAACATTTTTCCAAATCAATTTTTCAACAAAAACTACTTTGTTTTTCATTCAGTGAGCAGAGACACCAGAAATGTTCTCTCAAGTAAAAGTAGCAATATTTCATAGTAAAAGTACTCAAATAAAAGGGAAAAGGTACAACATAGTAAAAATACCTCTAAAAGTGATTTTTTTCAAGAAAATTACTCAAAGAAAAATACAACTGATTACAAAACCCAATTCTGTTTATGGGTATCAGAGTAGAGGGGCCCTAATTCAAACACATGCCAAACTTTACAGGTTTACAAAAAAAACTTGTCATTTTTATTATTCCATGTTATGAATTTGCACTTCTTTGTGTTATCAAGTGGCATCTAAATGAAACACAATGCGGTTGTCATGGAGCTGTGATGGAATGTAATAGAACACTCAAGGAAGAAAACCGCAGTTATCAGTTATCTAAATGAGTTCAGTTTAACAAACGTTTACCTTCAGCATGTTTATGCACATACACACACACACACACACACGCACATTGTGGCACGCTGTATGTTCTGACAGAACACAGTCCATGAACAACAGTGAGCAAGAGTGTGAAACTCCTGACCTATGCCTGAAATATTTCCCAAAAGTTTGTTCTTTTTTTTTTGTTCTTGTTGCTGTGACGAGCTGCTTAGGCTGTAAAAGAAGAAGGAGGTTCAGTTGCACTGTTTGTCTGGAGCATAGATAATAGGACTGCACCAAATTGCATTATCCTCACTAAGAAAAACTAGCCAGAATACTGGTATGCCTGAAGACTGGATGAAACCCCAGGGGGATTTGGAGGCTTAGCAGAGCTACGGGCTAACAAGCCTCCTCCAGGAGGCGCTCAGGCTAACGAAGAGTTAGCATTCTGGCTGACATTTCTACCTGCTTCTATAGGACAGTGGAGAACAGACCTAATGTAATGAATCCCTAAAAACCACTGAGAATAGAAAACAAGTGGATTGACATGATTGAGTTATGATTTGGTGACAGTGACAAAATCGGTTTTACAAGTCAAATGAAAAAGGTCATGTTGGGTGTTTAGTTCTATTCCACTGTGACTTTGTCTAATTTCAATAGTTTTTGTCCATCTGTCAGAGCGGATCTGCTTGCTTTTATTCATTGTTAGTTAAATGTTGTTTCGTTTCAGTTTAGTTTTTATTAGTAGTAGTTTTAGTTTTTTCATACTTTGGTTCATTTTGAGGTGCAGAATTCAAAAAGGTCAAAGTATCGTATTGTTATTGTGATACATCAATTGGGTAATGAATACTCAACAGAAAATACCATTTTCAAAAAATGGATTTGATTACTGTTGAATGATGTCTGACTCTGGTGTTTTCTAGCAACTTTTGCTGTCTCCGTTTAGAAGACTAGCGCCACCAGGAAATTTTCTGACATCTGATGTAAGCAGTTTGTGTCGTCAGTTCAAATAAATAGATTCACAAATACAAAAATGGAGAATACTATACCTATTGTGCTTTAGTTAATTTTATGAATGTGCTTCATTAGCTATAGTTTTCTATGTTGTCATTTATTTCAGTTAATGAAAATTGTTTTGTTTTTTTCCATTTCAGTTTTTATTATTTCATCAGTTATAGTTATCTATAACACAAATGTAAAACATATCAAATGTTTTACATGCTTTATGTAAATTCATAGTGGTGCATGCATCGTTTTATATCCACTGTATGCCGACATAAAGGGGCCACATGCAATAATCAGACAAGCAGGTGGCTGAAAAGTTGGTGGAAAATATATTTTTAGTCGTGGAACCATAGCCTCACATTGTCCAGGCACTGTCTGATTACAGTTACCATGGTTACCCCTGAAACTTTGTACAAAATGCATTTACCTCTTACATAAAACAATGGCATAGGAGGATGAGGAAATCAAACCAGGGGTTGAGTTCCTGTCTGGAGAAGCATTTAACCTTTTAAAAAACAGATGCATCTCATAAATGAATTAGTTGAAAGACATCTAATATAAAATGCCTTCTTTAGTTTCTTGGACAACTTTGAACCAGGACATTTATTAAGTGTGGGATTTAAATGCAGGTTTCTGAGCCTCCATGTGTTTTTTTAATAATAATTTTAAAAAAAACGAATGTTAGCCCCCGGCTAATTAACCCCCACCTACACAACCTCCAGCAGAGCTCTGGCTTTTAGGAGATGACTGAGACAATCAAGCTGGGCCAGCTGGTGCCACACACACACACACACACACACACACACACACACACACACACACACACACACACACACACACACACACACACACACACACACACACACACATACACACAATTTACTGTTTGTTCTTGAAGTGCCTTTAAGATGTCAGAACACTTTATGTTGCAGAAAACATTAGCATGTTCCATAACCTTAGTGAAAAGTGCTAGATATTTTTATTTTAATGAGAAAGAGCAGAAAGAGGTAGGCTATCTTCTGTTGAGTATTAATTATCCAATCGATGTATCCATAATCACAATAATACTCTGACCTTTATGAGTTCTGAAACTACTGCTACACTAATAGAACTAAAAGAAACTCAACTAAAACTAAACAATATTTAACTAATAATAACTATGGTAGCTAAAATTTACAACAAAATAAAATTAAACTATAATGAAAAACACAAAACTACGTATTCATTTATGCAAAAGGAGCCACAACCAAGTACAGAGTACACAAAAATTACCATAATTTTCAGAAGCCTGACATTTATGTTTTATTTTCTGACACTTTTGTTATTTTTATGCCTTAATCAGCAAAGTTATAAGAAACCAAGGCTTGAAATATGTCCGTCTATCTGTAATGAATCGATATGAGTTTCCCGTCCTGAAATAAGTGAGGATTCAAGATGTAACTTTTAACAACATTCTGTCTCTGTTTATAGACTCATATGAAGATGCTTTCTCAACCTTCATGGATAAGAAAAGAAATTGAAGCTAAGGACAGATGGGAAGGAACATTTCTCAGATCCCACACTATGAAAAACAACCACACTGAAAGCTGCATGTATAAAATTACAGCTGCTCCAAGGACAAAACCCAAAGGAGAATAACAAAAGGAACATAAAATATTGTTCTGTTTGGAATTTGACAGGGTTTGTTAATGGAAGCTGGCAAAAAGTATTGGATTGTTAATTTAAAAAAAAATAATAAAAAGGAAACAAGTGGGAAATCTATTGTAACATTGCTTCTGTCATCAGAACTGAAATTGTTTCCCCCTTTAATTACAATTCATCTTCCAAAAAAAGATTTTTTTACAGTGCTTGTCAGATTCTTCTGTTTGCCTTTGCTCTGCACCTTCCTCTCTAAACAAGTGTCTAAAATTCATCTCCCTCGCCATTGACAGATTTGTTCTTCAAAAATATTGGCCAATAACATTCTCCTCATCTCCACATGTGGACGTTTAAAACATCTGGTTCACATCTGTTCAAACAGGTGCAGGTCTTTCCCTGAATATGTTCATATTGTGTTGGTCACATCTGTTAAAAGTCTTGCAAAAAGTATTAAGTCTAGTTGTTACAGTTCGTGGCGCTACGCCTGCTAACTTAAAATATGTTATTGGACCCAAAATAGTTTATGAATATGACACACTTAGATGGGTTTACGCTAAGCAAGTTTGGACTGATAACAGCAAAGAAAATGGCGGATAGCACTGTGGTACGTAACCTATTTAGCTTAGCACAATTCCTGATAAGAATAGTTGTTACGGCGCTGCGTTCATGTCTGTTTATAATGAGGCGGAAGCGATTGGTCGAAAGACGTTTGCGCTCAATGACATCCAAAAATCACAGTGCCATCTGGTGGCGCGGCCTGTCAACGACATGACAACTATTCTCCTGTATGTGAACGGTGCTTGTCTAAACGTGGAACTTTGTCCCAAACCACATCAGAAAATACCGACAGTTTCATGGCAGCGATGTTTTTTTTTCCCATCCGTGGAGTGAAGTATTCCACGCAGACTAATATGTACATGTGCGGAACTCACTGCTGCAGGGTTAGCTCTAACAGGAAGGCGGAGAGCATGGTGAGTGGGAAATATTCCGGGGTTTTGGAGAGGCGTTGTCGTCAGTTGCTACGGCAACGAGACTATGTGTAGAGTGAGAAAGAAATAGTTTTGAGTTGTACTTCGACGGGTTTCTCTTTGCTGTGGAGCACAGCACAAAATGTAGTAACACCTAGATGTCCAAGTTTGGTTGAGTTAACGGAGTTATTCCACCGCAGCAGCACGACTATGGATGGCAAGTAGAACAAGGGTCTTTCTGCCCTCCACCGTTGTCCACATGCGCGAAATGCATGAAACACGCTACACACACAGTTGGTGTGTGTAAAAAAGCATAAGCTGAATTATGTGAACTCAATTCATTTCTGTGGCGTTTCTCAGCCATTTTATTGGTGACGTACAGACAGGAGGAGCAGCCAGAGCAGTTCCCCTACTGAGGTACATATCTACGTCATACATCTATATCACATGTCACGTGACTATTAAAGCCTAGTCACATGTCACAGATTGCTCTTATCACCTGCTTCTGATTGGTCTCATTTACATACAGGTCTGGCCTGTTTGTCCTGTGACGTTAGCTTTATCCTCTGAGCTCGGGTCCTCCACCAGAGGCCTGGGAGCTTCAGTGTCCATTTCTGGACTGAGATGTCCGATGTTGTTCCTGGGATCTGTTGTAGCCATTGCTCCAGTTTGGGGTGACTGCCCCAAGGCCCCAATGACTAGTCATTGGGGCCTCTGGGCAGTCACCCCCAAACTGGAGGTATATATATATATATATATATATATATATATATATATATATATATATATATATATATATATATATATATATATATATATATATATATATATATATATACTTTTAAAAAAATAGTTCAGGGTAATTCAAAAATGATATGTAAATGAGACCAATCACTGCCTTAAAAAATGAAAGGGCCTACGTTCAAATATTCATGTAAAGAGTTTATTTCCAGTCATGAAATACAATAAGATGTAACCAAACAAGAGGTTAAGTTAGGTCTTTTCATCACTGACATTGACTATTGTAATTTCTTATCAGCCAGACATCAAGTCACTCCTTTAAACTTTGAAATTATTATTAATTTTATTTGTTTTATTATTACTATTGTTTTATAAGTCCTTATATTAGGTCAAGCAAATAAAATTCTTTCAAGCTGACATCTTTTTTGAAAATGTTCACAATTTTTGAATTGCCCTTTTTTTTTTTTTTACTATTTTGTATGTTATATATTCTAGTTGCACCACTAAAATCTAGATACATTTTAGGCTGTTTGTGTTGAGGTTTTCCACGTTTTTGTTTAGTTCCTTTGGTTTACATGTATGTGTTGTGAATAAAAAATGTGTATGTTGTGGTAATATTTGAAGTTGATTGCATATATTACTTAAAGAAATAAATAAACTTTCTGATAGGCCTCAATTTAAAGACTCTGCATGTAAATAGTACTGTGAAGTACCGTCCACTGCACCATGCAGCTACAGTCACCCGTACTTTCTTTCTGCACCGTCTAAAATGCTTAGGATCTCTCCTGGACTTTGTGAACAAATTTCATTTACTTGTAGAGAATGAATTGATTTGGTTACATGGGTGGGTACTTTCCATGAAAGACAGCATATTATGGGCAGGGGAACATCTCAAATAGGAAATGAAATAAACAAGGCGATATCTTCTGCCCGGGTGATGACTTAATGTACCCATTATGGGACCAAGCCCCCCTGTTTAATCCATTTGTGTGCTTTTGTTTCTTTTTCCTGTATGGAGACCTTTGTTCATATGAAAGAAAAGATGACATGAATGAGGTTTTGTGGGCTGTTTGTCATTAGTATTGATTCTATTCTGTGGACTCAGATATGGAGCCTGTTTGAATTGTACACTGACAACAGCTCCAGTCAATAAAGAGGCAGAACACAGGTCAATATCAGGTAAGCTTTTACCACAAAAGAAGTACGTGAACAACAGTACAGGTGGTTTCACCAACACTGCGTCGTTGTGACAGTCTCTGACCGCATTATCTGTCAGTCACTAAAATATCACTGTCAATACGTCAATCCCAGGTCAGAAACGTTTTTAAAAAATCAACATGCACAGGATCAGACAGATACCGATTGAAATTCTCTCCGTCTCATCCCCAGATGAAGAGACGGGCCTGCAGGTGCATCAGGTAACTCGCCCTTCAGGCTTCAACACCAACCGCCGCCGCAGCAGAGCCGTGCTCTATCAGCTGTCAGGACACCTGCAGAAACAAGACAAGAGCAAGCTCAAGATCAACAAAGTGAGTTTCCCAGCGACGGCGTGGATGAATTTCCGCTGCTTTGTTGCTGGGTGGAAACCAACCAAAAAGACAAACCTACTCTCCTGCAGTTAGAAAACTTTTTGACCTCAATCCAAAATATTTTCTAGCAGTCAGGGAGAGTTGTGTAAGACGAGGCATTGTTTATATTTGGGATCACTAGATGAAGGTAGCCTTAGTTTAGTTTAGTCACTAACTAACGCTGCCTTCATCTACTGGCTAAACTAACCGCATAACTACCATTTCAACTTTATTTATTCCCACACCAAAAAGACAACAAGATTGTAACAAGATATGATTAAGGAACATCATATTTCTTAATATGAAATCGTGTGACTTGTGTGATTTGAAAAAAACGTTTCCATTGTAGTTTTACAAAATGGAGAAAAAAAAAACTCACCTCATTAAGCAAATTTAATTTTGAAATGTCAAATTGCCCAATTATAGACTCGATGTAAATGCAGTTATTGTTGTGAATTTTGCTTAAAATGTTCAAGCATGATATAATACCCTCTTATAAACTTACAACATTCATGGGGAGAAAACATCATGATATGCTAGTCTACATTGTCATCATTTGGTTTGTGTGACACCCAGTAGGAATGCTTGTTACCAAATAGCCTAAATTGTTTCCATCTAATGGTTGTTATGGAGATAGAAAAAGAGCGGCTCCACTTGCCCCATTGTTCAGACTTACATAAATATTAATAATTACTTGGCAATGTGAAAAGGATTCCTGGTTCCAGCTGACTTCTGCAGCCTTGTCTTCAGCACAAGTCGCTGTTGCATTATGGTTTGTGTAGTGTTGTGATTATTATATAACCTACTAGAGGATCATCATTAATACTAGAATTATGAAATTATCTAATCAGTCAGACAGTATTGTTTTGAGCTGCATGTGGCGAGCAGCCTTGAGCTTCACATTTCTGATCTAGAGAGAATATTAAAATCATCCATCCATCCATCCATCATCCATCCATCCATCCATCCATCCATCCATCCATCCATCCATCCATCCATCCATCCATCCATCCATGGTCTGTCTCCAGCAAACGTTCGGGGCAAGAGGTGGGTCACCTTGGACAGGTCACCAGTCTGTCGCAGGGCAACACAGAGACAGACAGGACAAACCACACACACACACACACACACACACACACACACACACACACACACACACACACACACACACACATAGACAGAATTTAGAGAGACAAATTAACCTGACACTCATGCTTTTGGACTGTGGCAGGAAGCCAGAGTATCAGGAGAGAACCACATTAAAATCAGTTTTCAAAAATCTTTGAGATATAGAATATCTTTCAAAATATGGAACTAATGTTTGCTAATAAATAATGTCTAATTCAACCTGTAATTTGTTATTTTGTTTTTCTAAATAAAACGGGAAGATTGTTCTATGTTCATCTCATTAGGCAAGACTGTCGTAGAGGAGGAAGGGAGTCAGGATCTAGAAATAGATTTTTTATTTGGAGGAAAACATAGAGGAAGAAATACATCGTGATAAGTGTGTCCTGTGTAAAAGTTTCCATTGTCCCGGATCTGAAATGTCCTCCTTTTGCGCTCCGTAGCCTTTTGTTTCTGTCGAACTCTTAATCTGGCTCTGTACTCATCAAACAGACAAAAGAAAAACTTTTCACACAGTTTTCATTTGCACTTATATTCTTCACTGAGTAAATGTCTGAGTTTTTCCTCTTTAACATAAAGCTCTTTTTACCATTAAATTCAACAATCCTCCCTGGGACATAAGAGCTTCTTTCATAGCAAAGGCTTTCCCAGTCTACTCCACCTTTCTAATCACTAACAGGCTTAAAGGAATAAATATTTTCTGATTAAACAATAAGAATCAAATCAACACTTTGACACCTGAAGAACTGAAGACATCCAGTAATTAGATTATGTCCTCGTTGCTTTACGCTTGGTATTAGACGCTGGAGGACATCATTTAGTCAGAGATATTAAAATGCTTTTCTTCAGGATTCATTCGTCTCTCAGCCTAATTAAAATCTCTTAAACCTTCAACAACTCTTCATTCAGGCTCATAGGCAGCAGAAGATAAAACATCCAAACACAAGAAGGCAAGATGAACTCCAGTTTCAGAGCAGAAACTCGTTTTTCTTCTTCTTCTTGCATGAGTTGTCAGTGTGCTCCAGTGCAGCCAGCAGCTCTAACCTCAACAGATGGTCTGAAGGACATGGGGAGGTTTTTCACATCTGGCCGACTCCAGGTGGAAAGAACGTCACATTTTGCTGACTCGAATGATAAAGAAACTGGCAGAACTTTGTGCAGTTTGATGCCGCTGAAATGTTCACCCTGGTTCTCGTCTTCCTTGGTATTCAGTAGAGTTTGTAGTCAACTATGACTGCAAGTCATTAATCCTTACTGAGGTGTTTTGATTAAAAAATAAAAAAAACTTGGCCAGAAATCTCCACTTTGTCCTGAACAAAACACAGAAGAGCTTCTATGGTTTGGTCTGATGCAATTTTTCAAAACAAACTCTGTGTTGCTGCTATGTTTTACTTTGTCTGGGAGAGAAAATGCATAACAGCGCTACAACCATAATTTGGCAATGCTCTGTGTAATTGTCCTATCAATAACTGTGGAGGTTTAGATAGAGATCTAGCAGCTTTTTGCAGTTTATCTGGAGCATTGGACAGTCAGGGCATGCAGGGACATTTTTTAAACCCTGGGAATACTTTGATCTTCTGCAGCCTCTCAGTTGGTGTAATTCAAACTGTTATAACCTGCAAATGTGGTTTCAAAGTCAAAAAAATATAGGACAACCACAACAACATGTGGCCCAGATCTGAAAGGTTTTGGAAAATCTCATTCTAAAATATTAGGCTGAGCAAACACTCAATCTTTAAATTAATTCAGGACAAATCATAAGCATGCAGTGTTAATGATAAAAAAAAATTAAAAAAAGAAATTGTGTTTTGTATTATTCCCACAATTCTAGAGTTTTTGAGATGTGCTTAGATTTTTACAAACTTTTTATGTAAATATAAAAGAGCTGCATACTATTTTTATCCTGTTTTGGTTTGGTTTGGGGGGTTTTCAGAACATGTGAAAATCAGATGGGGTTTTAGTTTCTATTTGTATGGAAATGCTGAAAGTTGGAAGTTGTTTGAAGACACCAGCAGAGGCCTTTTCCCAAAGTATTTGACCTAATTTGTTCTGTGCTTTATACAAACTCATGATTAAATCCAACGGGAATGACTGGGTGTGTTTTTGGCAGCCGTACAACAGAAAGAAGATCACTTTCCATTGTTGATCAGCTTTTGGAAATAAAACTTGTGAGCAGGAAGTAAAAGAGGTGACTGACTCCAGGCCCTGAGGTGATGTTGCCGTTAACAGCCGTGTTCCTTTTGATCCGATACAGAACATGTTTGGGCAGAAACCTCCGATCCCAGAGTACAAAGTAGCAGCCATCCAGAAGTCCCGCTTCATCCTGCTCCACTATGGCACCTTCAAGGCCGGCTGGGACTGGTTGATTCTGCTGGCAACCTTCTACGTGGCCGTCACCGTTCCCTACAACGTCTGCTTCAGTGGAGGGCGGGACGAAGACGGCGCCTCGAGAAGTCCACCCAGTGTCAGTGACATCCTGGTGGAGATCCTTTTCATTTTAGGTGAGAATCAACTCAATAAAAACATTTAGTTCGATTTGTCACTTTCAGCAACACGGCCATTTAAAACCTTTTACGTGATAAAAACACAAAAATACAAAGTCATAAAAACATCATACATACAGTCACCAATGCAGAAACCAGAAACAGATGTTACATTTTGTCGAGTGCCATCATCAAAATGATCAACTACACATCAAACATATTGGTCAGTGTCAGTGAAGATGTGGTAAAGTGATTTTCCAAGCCGTCATTAGACGCACGAGGAGCAAATAGATATAAACTTTCACAGCCGTGGGTCTGATCACAATCTCCCGACCCCACTAGAGTGGACGGATGGTTCTGATCACAGAGGGATGAGCAGCTGCTGACCCGGGCTGCAGGCCTGTGTCGCAATTAGCCAGAGGCAAAAGTCACAAGACTTTACTGAGGTTTCTTCCAAACAAACTGTGCTGAGTAATGCCAAAGCTAAATGATGATTAGTTAATCTATGCCAGTATATCATATTAAGGCCAATAACAAGAATACTAATGTTATGTTTATTATGCCCTTTGCTAGTTAGTTAATGCCAAGAATAAACCTAATCCTCTTTCATTTCTGAACAGAAGTTGTGCTCACTGTTGCTTTCTTCAGATTTAAAAGGAATCTTTATTGCCACAATAGAAAGAGCAAAAAGTCAAGGGGGAGACATCAGAGCAGAGTCCAGCAGCAGGACGATGTTTCAGGGTCTTCTCATGTAAAGAGGGATTAGGACTTTCTGAGAAAAAGAGATCTGTTGCCGTGAGAAACCAGGCAGCTATCTGTTCAGAATAAATCACTCACATTTATTTCAACATGATCAATAATATAAAGCAATATTGTCAAAAAGTATAAAACAGTCAATGCAACTATATTGAAAATTTCAACAGTTAAAAGGTTAACAACAAATGCAATGAAGCAAACATGATCTGATTTAAGTTTGAGTTTGCACTTTATTTTTTATACTTTCCTCTGCTTACATAGTTCCAGGAATTTTATTTCAGCGTTGGTGTCGCGAGCAATAAAAGGAAGCAACATGATCCGGTAGATCCTAACTGATATGAAACCGGTTGGCAGAACGTTGTTGGTCGTTGTGTTAGCCTCCTGCCGGTTGGAGGTCAGCCAATAATCTTCCATCTCCAAAACCTGTAAAGCTTTTTAATGATGCACGATGCAGTAAGAGGATATGAGCCATTTACATCAGGCCATTACTCCTCACTGCCGACTCTTTTTCCAAGAAACTGGCAGGCCTCTTTGTTCCTGTCGGCGTAACTGCGAGCGTGACATCTCTTCAGCACACAATTAGTTTTATTGCAATGTTCACCGTTGGATTTATGGAAACCAACTGTGGTGAGATGTGTATTGCCTGTCAATCAATATCCCATTCGTTAGGACAAATAGGCCAAGCCTGCTGATCAATACTTTCAGTTCACCCATTCATTCTGCAGACGACCTGTTTAAGTTGTTCCCTCAGGTTAATTCATGCTTTTAATAAAGACATTTAAGTGTTGTGAAAGTGAGCAGATAGCAGGCTTCACTCACTTCCTGTTTATGCTCAGCAAACAGAGTTGCACTTTGAAGGTTAATGAGGAGTTGAGACTCTGTGAATATTTGAATAGCAGAAGAATTATATAAAGTCCTGATCAGAGGTATGTTTCGATAAGATAACATGTCCGTAAGAGTTTCTACTAAATGATTTAAAGCTAATGTGTCAAACTCTTGCTTCTGTATATTGTTCTTTTAGTTAATATTAATTTTGATCAAAGAAAACATCCGGAAAAACTGACAAGCTTCTCTCTCAAATAGTTCCAGTGGACTCATACTTCATCTGAAGTGCAGAAATCGGCTCTCGTCAGCTGACTTTCCATTAACTCTGATGGTCTGGGGAAAATGTCTTAGTCTGACAGCAGGGCTGTGATTTTTCAAAAGAAACAAAATCTTGTAAAATTGCGCGCAGGGTCAGTAGGACCCCGCTGGTCTGCGCACAGAGTAAAAAAGCTAAAACATGGCAGCTAAGTTGCTGAAGAGTGTAAGTACACACTGCACCAGAACTGCTCCAACACCCTCTGGCATTCATCCTAATGAGGGCTTGCTTGTTTTCTGACGCTGGCTCCCGGGCATTGCTGAATAGAAATGACCAAAAAGTTTCAAATAAATCAAAGTTTGTGGAAAAACAGAACATACACTTTGGGGGATTTTTCCCCTTTGCTTTAACAAATGGAAACCCGCAACATAAAGTGTGGATGTAAATTGCCATGAGCATGTGCATATCTGTAAACTACACTGAAGGGCATCATTATGTAACTTAGATATGCTTAATAAAATTACAACAGTGATGTTTTGCCTGCCTGCCTGGGTTCTGAGATATCAGCCAACAGACTCAGTGCAGAAACTACAGCATTCCTGTCTCATTGCTGATGAATAAAAGCTATTCATACCAAAAAGAAGAAAGATAGAACTGAGTACAATTAAAATAAGCAAAAATAATCAGGCAGAGATTTTAAATTTAGGGCATAATAAAAGGTTAACAGAACGCTGCTTTGTTGTCAGCATGTATCGGTATTTTAACAGCATGTTGTTGTTACCCTCAGACATCGTGTTGAACTTTCGTACGACCTTTGTGAGCAAGTCGGGTCAGGTGGTCTACGACGCCCGCTCCATCTGTCTCCACTACGTCACCACCTGGCTCTTTGTCGACCTTGTTGCTGCCCTGCCCTTTGACCTGCTTTACGCTTTCAACGTCACTGTGGTGAGTTCACTTGTGTAACCAAAACCTCTACAAATGTTATTATCATTTATTTTTTTTTACAAAAGACAATCCCTTGACTATTATTTAATTTGTGTGCACAGTCCTATTTTCTCAAATGATTGGATCATTCTTTCCTTCATACTGCTGTTGTACACAAACACATTTCCTCTCTAATTAATTTGGCTCACCTGCAAAGAATTCTAAACGGTAATGATCCGAGGGCTAAATTAGTTCAGCTAAATGCTAACTGACTCATTGTTCACTCTTATTAGAAGCTGAAAAACGTTGGATTTTCTATCAACAACTGTTGAAATTTGTTGATGGAGAACCCAACTCATAGACCAATGAAATAGCTGTCATTCTTCTGCTTTACGTTCGTTTTTCAGACTGACCTTTTGACCTCTCGTTGTTCCCCGGTGTGCAGAACTTCAGGGTCCACCTGCTGAAGACCGTCCGGCTGCTGCGGCTGCTGCGGCTCCTGCAGAAGCTGGAGCGCTACTCACAGTACAGCGCTGTGGTTCTGACTCTGCTCATGTCCATGTTTGCCTTGCTGGCCCACTGGATGGCCTGTGTCTGGTACTACATCGGTCGCAAGGAGATCGAAGGCTTGGGCTCCTTGGACATCGGTGAGCGGGCACTTTTACTATCCATGCATGTTTGTTCTTCGGTTCTAACTTTCATACAGTTCCTGGTAAGAACATATGTATGAATGCACTATAAAACCTCTTTCCTGTGCAGCTACAAACTTAAACTGCTTTGACTGAACATAGTTAGCATAAATACTGTAAATTAATTGAACATTTTTGGAAAATGCAGAATGGATAATTGTGACACAGAGGAAAAATTTCATATAAATATTTATAACATGGGAAGCATTTGAATTCTACTTACTACATTGAAATTAACAGTGTATATGCTCGATGAGTCAACTGGGGGTTTGATTTAATAAAAAGTTAGTTATTCCTATTCCAACTGAACATTAACATTTTATTTTTATGTTGATGTTTACTCCTATTTGTACTTTCTTGTTCTTATTCTATTTTACCCTGCTGACATTTGTTGCTTACATGTTCACAATATAAATTTCATCATCACCATCATCAAAGCGAGAGCCTCTGCTGTACGCTTTAACATCCAGTGTTGTGCAGGATCACAGTTTGAAAAACTGCCTCAAAGATCAAATCTGATGAAACTGTTTATGTGTTACAACCTTGAACAGCCCTAACCGAAGAGACCCATAATCATTCATCATTTTTTCATAAAATTGGCCAAAAACAGGAAATGATGTGATAATTAGCATGAAAAACACATTGACCAGTAGCACTGGTAATTTTCTTTGTCAGTTTTATTGTATTCACATGCATAATATGTGGGCAATATTCCTTTTCATCACTCATCTTTTATCATTGCTTTTCATCCATTTGTTCTCAAAAGACAAAAAAAAAAGAAATAAAAATCTATAATTGCATTTCTAGTCTTGGTCACACTGAAAGAATGTTAAAGATCTATTCTCTTCTACAGGAAATCCCTGATTATTTATATATTTATTATTTTTAAACAAAAATTTAAAAAAAGCACTAGAGAAGGCACAATGTCTGAATGTTTATCCATGAACTCCTTCCACACACTCCTCCTCTCTGTTGTGCCTGTGTGGAGCAATCACTGGAGAACCGGCCATGCAGACATGACTCAACATGTGCATTCTAATCCTGATGGCTGACTAACCCATCAGCCTTTCATTTTTATTGTTGAGGTCTGAGGGGCAACACACACCATCAAAAGAAAAATACACTCCTACTATTTCATATTGAACTGAAGAGCAGCAGTCTGTTGTGTTTCAGCACAAACATTCTCATGTGTGATCAAGGCACCAGTTGGGGCGCATTCATCAACGAGACGCACCTCAACGCTTCTGATGTCTTTTTCCTTTAAAGTGAGAGTTTGAATTTAATCAATAATAATCGTTCAACAGTAACAGGCTGTACACAGGTCTACCACACTGCACGCAGACACGTTATCGTCTGGTAGTATTTCAAATATTTAAAACAAAAAACTAATCGATGAGAACTCTGGTCAACAGCCCAAAAAATGTCTCGGGTTTCGCAACAGTTTTAGGGTCATTTTGACGAGCTGAATGAGCTGAATGTAGGACTTGTTCTGACATCTGGATCGGTTTCCTGAGAATCTGGACCAGTGAGTGATGATCAGGAGGAGAGATTCCATCAGGACAGAAAAGATACGGAGAATTTTACACAATCAGGACGTAAAGTCCATTTTACATGTTCTTATCCTTAAAAAATGTTTATTATTGAATTCACAGAAATCCAAGATTTCAACATTTAATTAATTCACTCAATTAGAACACATTTTTTTCTGTCCTAAGATCTTTTTTGGAGGAGAAATATTAACGGAAATGAACTGATAATGTCACAAAAATATTATCAATTTAGTCAGAAGATTGGATTTCTCTAAACCAAATTAGAATAAAAACCTGACCTGATTCAGAACAATGGATGTCATGTTTGGATTCAGCAGTGCAACATAGTCATAATTCAGTTGAAACAAGGTAGAGAACTTCCAAACAATATTTTTCATAACTCAGTGTTATTGACATTGACTGACATGAAAGACTTATATCTTCTATATTTTTGTGTTATATCATCCAGCACTACTTTCTTTTATTTTGTTTTTTGTGTTTGAAAAGGCAGTTGTGGAAAAAATACTCTCTTAATATATTTAGTATTTTTCGCTTTGCCTGCAAAGCATTTGGTATATTTTGATACTTTTTCTTAGTTTTTTTTTTTTGTCCTCTTTCAATGAGCATTGTTTTGTGATTAGCTCAGTCTGTTTTGCATTCCTCCCTAAAATCTTGCTCAGGTTTCCTTCTCAGCTACATTCAACTTGCTTTAAAGACAAATCAAGAATCTGCAGTTCAAACTTCATAATTCCACAAGCGTCTCTCAGTGGAGAACGTGAAGTCCTGCAGGCGGTGTGAAACCCTGACTCACAGTCTGATGAACATGTACAGACACACAGACAGGGAGTTTCCAAGGGCAAAGGAGCAAACTTTAATCCTTTTGACTGTGACCTCAGGTGACACTCAAGCTTTATGTTTGTATTTTATATTTAGCAGCGACACAAGGAACACGGAAGACGCTAAAAATGAGTTTGTTCTCTTATCTGTGGACTACAGTTTGCCGTGTTTTCCTTTTCGTGTCTGATTTCAGCGCATCCCGTCGTTTCTCTCGATCTCATCCATTCGCACCGTCCGATCTGTCGTTACCCTTTCAGCGGAGCGGTGGCGCGCCGCTGCGCTGCAGTAGGTTCATGTCAGAAGAGCCTCAATTGACCATTCAGAAAGGCCGAGGTAATCCAGGGGACAACAAAGAGCAGCCTGCGGCCTGACCTTTACGCGCCACCAGCTGAGATTCACAATGGAGGACTGATATCAGAGCAAGCATACGCTGGACTGTTCAGTCTGTCATTCACTGGACAGCCTTCTGCTGCTGCTGTGTCTTCATGTCAATAATTTACAGACTGCAGAGCTGTAGCATGTGGTTAAGAGTTCACTCAGCCGGTGAAGAAGCAACACATCCTGTGTGATATAGGAGATACATGGGTTGTGGATTTTGTCCCTTTCAAATACAGATGGAAGTGGCAGGAAAATTGAAAGTTTATTGGTCTGTAAGAATGTGTTATTCCTCAAAAATGGTCTCAGAACAACAATATTATCGTTTATCGTGATAATTTCTTGGACCATTTATTGTCCAGCAAACTTTGTTAGCATGACAGTTCTGGTCTAACCTGACATCGCTGTAGGGACTGTATTGTGTAAAATCAACTTTTTTCAGCTTTACATCATTTTGTAATATTAGTCCCTCATCAAAAACATACCTTAAATGTTGCTTTGATTCTTTTATGCATGTTTGAGAAATCCTTGAATCTTCCATGGCAACTATCCATCTTCCCTGTGACTGCCCCTATTCAGCTCCTGCAGACTAGTCAGCAGCAATTAGCAAATATCTGGTGGAACTGAACATCTGCTGACCTCATCATTATAGGAGCTACTTCTCAATGCAACACTGGAAAAAAGCTTTGTTAAAGGTTTAACAGAGGAACCATGTTGTGATGGAGGTGGAGTTTCAGAAAGGGCAGAAGTTTCTTAAAGAGACAGAGGCCCGATTTCAAAATGTTAAAATATCAAGTGAAATTTCTTTCAAGACATATTTAATATGTATATTATCTTTATAGCAATTGAAGATAACATAATTACTCTATTGTGCTGCAAAATGAACACTGCCGCTTTTAACTTTTAATAAAATATGGAATCTATTTTCAAAATCAATATTTACAACCTTTGTTCTAAATTGTAGATGGACCGCATATCTAATGAAGCACTCACCTCATAAACTAAATACAGCAGCATAAGCTAACTTCAGCAATGCCACGAAAGCACCACAAAAAGCCAGACTGCACTGGATGAGACACATTGAGGTGATTTTTTATCATGCCTCTAAAAAGGCTGAGAGCTAGACTTAGAAAAAAATCTGGCAACCAGTGAGCACACGGTGTATATAGACAGCACATAATTAGATACAAGGTGATAATTAACTGAGCAAAAATGTAGTGGAAAGACTGGTTGTAAGCTTATCTGACAGAGGTGTAAAAAAGACAGTGTGTTAAATTCCAACAGGAAATGAGCCAACAGAACATGCTGGACCTGAAAGCAATATGTGGAAATTCATATTGGAAGAGCAAAGTACTGAATAGATTTCAGTACATAGACAGCTGAGAGAGAAAGTTTATTCCACCTGACTAGAGGGACAGGAGACATCAGCACCATGGACAGAGACAAACCAACACACAATCAAACATGGAGCTTTGAAAACAGCTTCAATTTGTGCGACTTTATTTTCTTTGTTTATAGAATAGAATAGAATAGAATATACTTTATTTATCTACAAGGGGAAATTGCTTATTCGATGACAAGCTACTCCATCCCAAGTCTTAAATATTAATTCAAATATAACCATATAATGTATGTTTATGCACCTGAGTTGCAAAGCAGAGTTTACTAATTTCACACAGGTGCTACAACTGTGCAAAAATCTTTGTCTAAAATACAATTTCACAAGTGCAGTATTTCCATTAAATAAGATATTCAATTAAGATTGCACATGAATACACTTGTTCACGCAATAAGTCACTAAAAATGATGGCAGCGACGGATGTAAACAGTTAGATGTGTTCATAATTCAGTCATGGTTCTAGAGCTCATCATCTATCAGCCAATCAGAGACCGTTGGAGCTACAAGCTCCTCATATGTTGTAGAGGCTATTTATATGACATTTTGGGGAAATTGTAGTCAACCATTTTGCATTAGCATTACACATCTATTTCAGTAAAAACCTCCTCATCCAAGCTCAAAACTTTTTATCAAAGAACATGAGTTTTTTTTTTTTTCTCCAAATAGATGTGCTTCTGTTAAGAGAATTTATTTTGGCACTTTCATTTTGTTCAATTTTATGGTTAATGGAAACACAACTACAACCCATAGTGCTTTCTTTTAGAAAAGGCAGATGTAATCCATGGTTTGTCAGCAAATATTCTGGATCTCAGTCCAGTTGACAGTCTGTGGTGGAAGCAGTCCAAGCTGCAAAGCTAATCTGTCAACTACTGCAGAAGAAGAATGCAGGATCCTGACTGATGAGGCCTGTTGTTTCTCTTTAGCTGAGTTTTGTGTCTCAAGGAACTCAGGCTGTCAAAGATGCCAGAGGAGTTGCAGCAAAATGCTCATCGGGATTTACTCTGTCGTTTATGTTTCCATATTTCTCTCCTCCAGCTGGTTTGAAAAAATAACTAAATCACTTTATTACCCAAGTCAGATAGGCAGGGTACACTCTGGAGAGGTCACAAGTCCATCACAGGGCCACCCAGGACAAACAGCCGTACACACACACACACACACACACACACAGAGAGAGAGAGAGAGAGAGAGAGAGAGAGAGAGAGAATGTAAACCCCATGCAGAAAAACCTTCTTCCTCCAAGGAAACAGTCATGCCAGCTGTTCCACTGTGCAAAACCCGTTTACAGACGATGGTTTTTTATTTTTTCAAGTTTTCCAGGCCAGAATGTTTGATTATGTAAGGTATTTTGATGTCATTTCTGTGCTTTGTTATATACAAGAGCTTTTACATTAGTATGTTGACAAATCAGCAGTACATTCATTTTTTAATCTGACATTAAACAAAATCTCAGCTATAAACAAATATTACATCAACAAGAAGTAATATCCAGTCACTTTGTAGCTACTATGCATGCTTGTTTTTTTTATTAGTAATAATATGTAGCTTTTTTTGTTCTTCGTTTGAAAACCAATAATATTAATAAAAAAATCTCAGGATGACAGAGTAATATGATGTAGTGGAAGAAAAAGAAAAACTTTCTATAAGATTATATTTCCTGTGGCGTCATCATGAGACTCTGATGTTTGGAACAGCTCAGTGTTCAGAAATAGACAGTATTAATAAAATGTGATATTGTTGTTGTTGTTATTATTAGGGGTGCACTGATAGCAGTTTTCTGGCTGATCAACAATCTTTGAAAAAGCTTTTTTTGGCCGATTTTGGCCAATACCAATTTTTTTTGTCTGAAATGTTGCTCAAAATATCAAGACATTGTTCTATTGTTAATTGTAAACATGCAGACAGAACTCGGTAGCCGATCTGTCAGTCAAACCTTTCTCACTGGAGAGAACAACAGGGCCGTGGTTGATTCCTTTGCCTTTGCCAAGCTAGATAAGATCAGTGAATAAGATCGGCTTCATATGTAAAAACTGACTTCCCAAAATTATGGAAATCAGCACTGATAAACTGGTGCACCCCTAATTATTATTATTTTTATTATTTTTATTATTTTTTTTTTATTATTTTTTTTTACGATTATTTGATTTGATTTGACTTTTGTAACCCATTCATTCACAGAGATAGCTCTACAAATCTATTACTTTAAACGGAGAGAGTATTTTAGCAATCAATTATTTCACGTCAAATATTTCTCTATCATTTTTTTTGTTAATATCAGAATCAGAATATACTTTATTAATCCTGAAGGTGAAATAGCAGTTTTACAGAGTTTGCTTAGTAATTTTATTGATTGTGATTGATTTGTAAAAGCAATAAGCGTAAAACACCCATGCGAATACTTTTTCTTAGGTCCTGTCAATAAATGAACAGGTTTTGTGCAGCTATCGGGTTGATAACCTCAATCTGAAATCGTCCTCAATTAAAATCAGTAATCAGTTTTGGTTTTTCCCGTTGTAATCCACAGCTGCACACGCTTTGGTGAAACAAACTTCCTGTCAGGCCCGTGTGTTCAGAGCTTGGCAGAGGTTAAGTTGCACTAATGACGATGTAATCAGGAAACTACTCAGACGTTAAATCCTCTGATGCTGACAGTTTAGCAGCTCTGCTGGGGATCCACTCGCAGCTCCGCTGTCACTTCTTCTTATTGATGCTGGCGGGCAAACAAAAGCCCGATCCCTGAGGGTTTGGATGCCAGGGATCAATAAATAGACTCATCCATATTGCATTGTGTAATTCTTATCAGAACATCCCTCTACTGCGTTCTGCTGCTGCTGTCACAAAGTTTATTACAGCCTTCATTTACTCAGAGACGACAGCGTTTTCCTTCTTCCTTTTGTTCCTGTGCACTGAGGACATCTGCTGACTTTATCTGAATGTTTTGCATGTTTCATATTGCTCATCCTGGCCGCATATTCTAGCAGTATTGTCATATTGTCTACGCATAAGTTTGGTTATCCTACAACCACAAACTTCATATATTTACTCAATTTATAGAAATTTATAGGAGCAGTGTTATGTAAAATGTTTCTTTTTTTGTTGTTTCTTTTTAGCTTTACATCATATTATAATGTTATCCACTCATCAAAAACACACCCTGAGTGTTGCTTTGATATTCCATACATGTTTAAGAAATCCTTTAATCTCCATGGCAACCATTGAGCTGCTCAAAACACCTGTTTGGGCATAGCCCCGCCTTTTATGAAAAATTTTAGAAAATTACATATCCTTTCATGTCAGAGGTATGCACTGCTTTGTGTGCGTCTGTCACATAAAATCCCAGTAAAATACATTCAGTATTTTATTAACAAAACAAAAATTCTTCCAGAGTTATAAACACTTGCATGAAATAAAGAGTTGAAGAGAGAACATATCCTCGTTATGTTCAGATAAATGTTTTTTATGCCACTGAATTCAGGTTGAAGTTGAATTTGCAGTGTGTATATTTTCCCTTTTCTCCTCACAGGTTGGCTCTATGAATTGGCAAAGCGCCTGGGGACCCCATACTTCATGACTCCTTTGACCACACAGACCCCACCTGCAGTGAGCAGCCTCTCAGCCAACAGCACCCAGTGGATCACCTCGGGGTCAGAGGTCTCTGGGCAGGGCACCTGGAACTCGAGCCAAAACTATGGGAACATTTCAGGATCGGGGGGCCTAAAGATACTGAGCGGGGGCCCGTCGACCCGGAGCAGCTACGTGACGGCCCTGTACTTCGCTCTGAGCAGCCTGACCAGCGTGGGCTTCGGGAACGTGTCTGCCAACACGGACTCAGAGAAGATCTTCTCTATCTGCACCATGCTTATAGGAGGTACACTGCAAAAACTCGCCTTTCAAAAAGAGTTCCAAAATAAGCCGTATATTACTGTACAAACAGCAAAGCTATGGGCATCCAGTATAGTGCTGCCTATGTATTATGCTCACAGAAACAATTGTTACCATGCTTACATTCACTCTTCTTATGATAAAAATATGGATAAAGGGATACAATTTTCTTTATATGTCAGTAGACTTGAAAAACCATGTTCGAAATATTTTATTTATATTTGTTTTTCAAAGTATTTTACTGACTTCCTCTTGTACAGGTTTGTGACTGACATTCACCTCCAGCATCACAGGCAGGAAGTAAAGCCTGCCTGTGAGCTGTGGTAAATAGCTCAAAAAACATTAGCACGTTTCCTTCACAAACTGCTAAATGTCCCCCCCATGTGACCTTTCACAATCGATACATAAAATGTATATTGCTTAGAGTAGACACGGTACCATTTTTATTTCAAAACTTCAATTAGTTGCCAAAAGACAAAATAATTATTTTAGAGCTTCAATAAGTTAGATAAAATGTCTGGCAATAATTGTTGCCGGTGGGATTAAATGGGTTAATAATTCCTTTTTCCCATAAGTGAAATAATCTGCAAGTGGAAATAATACTTTTTTTAAATCAATATTAAAAAATTTTTGGCTTGAAAAAAGCTCTTATAGTTTGCATGCAAGTAAATGTCATCTTATTTAAATTGTACTAAAACATTGACACTAGAAACCAGATAAAAATTACTTTGTAAGTTTATTGTGTTTTTGCAGTGCAGTTTAGTTTATTTAAATTGATGCTAGGGAAATAAGATAAATTGTACTTTTTGGTATTATTCATTCTATTCCAGTTGTCAGGTTGAAGCTTCACGTCACATATGGTCCAATTATACTGTATAACATCAGGTTTCAGCTGTAAAATGCCAGAGGGTAAAAATAGTAGTAGGTTACAGCATGTCATTGTTAAAATTTTCTGATAAATTTCACTTGGATTTTGGACATATTGGATTTTAGACAGAAATGTGAGCTTATTTCACAGGGGCCAATAGGAGGGTGTGGGCCCCTGGGCTTAAGCCAAGGTGCAGGCCCTACTTAATCATCGTTATACAGATCCTATCCACAAACCTTGTCCACCAACAAGGTCACAAAAATCAGCCCCTGTCCACCATGAGACGCTAATGGACAGTCCAACCACCAGGGCTCCTCTCCATTCAAGGTTTACAACAGTCACTCCATGATTGCCAACTTTTTTGCTGTATTTTGCACACACAGCAACAAAATAATTTCAGCAAGTCAGATTTCTAAAGATCGGTGATCGGCCAGAAAATTGCTACCGATGCACCTTTAATGAATGTAAAGATCATTACTACAAACAAAACATACTTAGTAGTTATTAAAGAAATACTTGAACATCTTGAATATGTCTATTCAACAGAGCTTTCCTAAGGAAGAAAAATTTGACAATGTTCTCTTTCTATCCTCTATGAACTGTATTTATTTATCCTTCTTCATTTCTATCTTTATCTCTGTAAATATCAGGTTTATTTAATTACCAAATTCAGACATTTCCCCTCTGAGAGCCAAACCTGGTCAAAACTTTTATTCAGTGATGACTGGATTTAGCTGCTTGTCAGAGCACCATCCTTTGGGGCCCCCAAAGCGCCAGGGCCCCGGGCTGCAGCCCCGGTAAGCCCATGCTAAAATCCAGGCTTGCATGGAAGAATCAGAGTAACTGTATCAAATCATGATCCCTTATCAAAACAAGCTGCAGCTTCATTAGCCCGTCTGAATCTAAGTGGCGAGCTGCTGCCCAGAGGCACTCTGTCCTGTAACTAAGAGATGCTTTAAAGTCAGAGTTTGCCTAAATGTGCCACGGGTTGATCTGCCTGAGGGGACAGTCAGTGAACTTTGGATGTCCTGCGATCCGACACTGATTCTGCCACTTTTTAGCTCGTTGAACTTTTTTTCTGCTGCTGATTGGCTGCGGATCAGTTCAGTTCATAGCACAGCTCAGATCAAGGGGACACTGAGAAAGTTTCACTACAATATCAAGAACCATCAGAATAGTACTATGACGTATCAGCGCTGTGGTAGATAGCTCAAAAAACATTAGCACGTTTCCTTCACAAAACTGCTAAATTTTGAGAGTAAGATGAGAAATATTCTAAAAAATACAAGGAAATAAGTGAGTTTCAAAAGTCTACCTTTTTTTAAACTCACACCTTTCCAAGTTTTTTTCTTAAACATTCCAAAGATTAAGCTGAAATGATTTTTTTTCCACATTTTAAACTCAGAAATGTCCTTGTTTTTATAAGACAATTTCTGAAAAGAATCCAAAAATGTAAGTTTTTTGGCAGAAATGTATACCTCTTTATTTCCTAGCTACAATGACCCTAATAAGCTTTAAAAATAGCTTTTCTGTTGGCACAATCCCTAAGATTTGTTGCATTTCAGTTATTTTTTAGTCATAATCTAGACAGTTTGTGGTTTTAAAGCAACAGAGTTATTTCTTACCCTACAGTGTTCTAAATTCTTGGGGTTTGTGGAGACCTTTGAGTAAAACTGTGTTCCTTCCAAACTGCAGTCCTACATTGTCTTAACCAGACAGAGTTAACGAGAAAGCTGTCCTCTGCCCACAGCACTGATGCATGCTGTGGTGTTTGGTAATGTGACCGCCATCATCCAGAGGATGTACTCCCGCCGCTCACTGTACCACACCCGCACCAAGGACCTTAAGGACTTCATCAGGGTACACCGGCTGCCCAAAACCTTGGAGCAACGCATGCTGGAGTGTTTCCAGACCACCTGGTCGGTTAACAACGGGATAGACGTCAATGAGGTACATTTAACACCTGGCACACTACTCTGCCCACATCAAAGGAAACATATGTCAATAGCTGCATGTTGAAAAAACACAATTTTGCAATTGTCATAAAATAAGAAACGCAATTAAAATCACACCAATACGTTTGTTGGCGCAATAAGTCATTCAAAAGCATGCAGCCCCATCATCCTCCTACCACTTCCTGTTGTCTTCTTTGTAGTTTCTGCCAGTGGTAAAATCAGGTTGTTGATTATGTGACTTGTGTGATGTAAATAATAATGCTTCCATCGTAATTTTAGGAAATAAATACATTTCGATACGGTTGAAAAACCACCAAATTCTAGTGCAAAAAACGTTTTACTAAAAAACTGGCAGTTTTTCAAACCTGCCTGGTTTCCATTAAGCAAATTTATTTTCGGAATTTCAATTTGCGCAAATTTATGGTCAATGGAAACTCAGTGAGTGTTATGGGATCATAGCAACATGTCTGAGATGTGTCTGTAAAAATAGCACCAAAAACCCTTTTTTAAACTTTTCCACAGTATGTCAAATCACAGTCACTGCAATATCTGTGTGTGGCTTTTTCAAATTCAAATAAAAAAATACTTTTGTGATTCCAAAGGGAAATCAAATGTCAATGAAGGTGATATTGATTCAAAAAAATATTATAGGTGATGATTTGCAATCATAAAGGCCTGCTTCAAAGTGCAGGGGATCCATGAGAAGACACTAACATTTGAAAGACTCAACGCAACACTTCAGGTATGTTTTTGTTGGGGAAAGACACTGTAACACGGTGTAAAGCTCAAAAAAGTCGATTTTACATAATACATTGAGCCCTTTGAGACAAGCAATGTTGGGGGAAAAAAGCCCCCCAACTTCCATCTACAAATTTTATCAGAAATAATTCCTTTAATTACCTCATCTGTTCCATTCAGTTCACTTTATTGTTATTGCACCTAGTTATATTGAAAGTCATGTCAGGGTACATAAATTGCAATGGCCTAAAGCAGAAGTAACTTCATGTAATCTGAATTAGTTTAATTCATCCTGTTCAAATACGTTCTAACTCTATATGCTCTGGTAATTAGGTTGGCCCAGGGAGGTAAAACACTAAACAACTGATGGAAATCTTTCCAAAAATGTGCGGCCAATCCCAGCTTTAACCTTGCAAGCTTTGTGGGATAGGAATTGGACCTGAAAAAAGAAGGGAAGGTGAAACAAAATCTACACAGAGGCTGAAAAAGAGCTCAAACAAATAACAGACCACAGGGAAAAACAATATTCTAAATAAAGGGGCACTATTACATGTTTTCCAAACACAATTAAGTAACAAATTATTATAAAAATTTTGTATATATCAAATTATACTTAAAAGATTTTTGACTTCTTAATTGAATGCTTTGAAATTGGGGCTCTGTCTCTTTAAGAAGCTCTGCTTTTTCTGAAACTCAACCTTCAGGAAGTCATCACAACCTGGCTCCTCTATTAACCCTTTAACAATGTTTTTACCAGCATTTCACTGAGAAGTTGCTCCTCTAGTGAACTCAGCAAATGTGCGGTACCACCAGGTGTTTGCTAAATGCCGACGGCTAGTCTGAAGGAACAGGAGGAGCTACTCTGTAACTGCGCCTCCGACAAGGAGCTTGGTTCTTGAAGGCAGCGTTATGTCCGCGAGGCATTTTGCACCTGGTGGACAAACATGCAAAGATATGTTTTTGATGATGGAATATAATAACATGACGGAAAACTTTAAAAAGTTGCTCTTATATAACACTGCCCCTTTAAAGCACACAAAATCAGAAATAACAAAACATCCATCCATTTTCTGTACACTCTTGTCCCTGGTGGGGTCGGGAGGTGCTGGTGCCTATCTCCACCAAGACATTTCAGACAAGAGGTGGGGTCACCCTTACAGTCATGTTTTTGGACTGTGGGAGGAAGCCGGAGAACCCAGAGAGAACCCACCATGCACAGGGAGAACATGCAAACTCCATGCAGAAAGACCCCAGGCCAGGAATCAAACCCAGGACCTTCTTACTGCAAGGCAACAGTGCTACCAACTGTGCCACTGTGCATCCCTATAACAAAACAGAAGAATCATTAAATCAATAAAGAAACTGTTATCTTTTGTTTTAAGGTCCAGAACATAAACCTCAGCCTATCAGATGGCCTCAGTCCAACCACATATCCGGCAGCATCTCTGTTGTACAGGCCGCCACCAAGCATGAAGACCGGAGAAACTTTCACATAAGTCAAGGACAAAGTCAAGCTGAATTAAAGGTCAAGAAAGGGCCATCTACCAAAACCCACAGACTCAGCAGGAAAGGCATTAATCAGAGAAGCAACAAAGATAACTCCACTAGCTGCTCTGTGCAGATAGGAGGATGTGTCTACTGGCGCTCTGAGCTTCACCTGGGCCAGAGCTGGGCAAGAACATAGCTGCTGCTTTTAGAAATAATAAGGCAGGACATCTAAAATGTATTCAAATTTATGTTGAATACTGCTTAAGTATGTGGTTGGAGAAGCTAAAATCGAATATGTACTTTTTTACGTTGAAATACTTTCTCTTAACACTTCAGTTCTATTTAGAGGCAGTGAGTGTTTTGGGATCTTAGTAATATGTTTGAGATTTTTTGGTAAAAATAGTCCCAAAAAGCCTTTGCATAAACCCTTTCAGTAGAATGTGTCAATGGTTTATTGAATTAATCAATTAATTGTCAGAATGATGAATTAATCATTTCTTGCAATCCTATTCATTTTAAGTTTTTTTTTTTTTCAATTCTTTATCATTTATTACTGTCATTTCTGTGTTTTCTCCTGTCTTAATATTAAAAAAGTTTTTCTTAGAAGGTTTTCTGAGTTTTTTTTTCTTTTTTAGTTAACTGAACTAACTTTGTTAGCTAAAACCTCTGGTGACGTTTTTGGACAGTGCAGCTGTTAAATGTGAGCTGCTTTGCCTTCCCAGCTGCTGAAGGACTTCCCGGACGAGCTGCGGGCCGATATCGCCATGCACCTGAACAAGGAGCTGCTGCAGCTCCCACTGTTCGAGTCGGCCAGCAGGGGATGCCTGCGCTCCCTCTCCCTCATCATCAAGACCTCCTTCTGCGCCCCAGGGGAGTTCCTCATCCGGCAGGGCGACGCCCTGCAGGCCATCTACTTCGTCTGCTCAGGGTCCATGGAGGTGCTGAAGGACAACACTGTGCTGGCGATACTGGGTGAGTCTGTGAAACGGGTCACTGCTAGATGGAGGACCTCATAATCGTTCGCATATGTGCGTAAAGATCGGAAAGCACATTTGTTCTTCTGCAGTTTAAGTGTCCAGTGTTGATGTTACACACGAGTCTGATCAGTTTTTAAAACAATTTTACATGTATTGTGTTTTTGAGTTTTTTTCTGATCCAGTAAGGATCAGAATTTTACTGACTTGTTCACTAATATCTCAACAAACAGTCGTTGGCGATCTGCAGAGGAACCATCATCATGGTTCTGAACTAACTGATGATGTAACTGGCGTCATTCAGAATAGACAGCTGACCACTTTTCTTTCTCTTCAGAAGTTGCATGGCTCGTTTTAAATTGGTTTGTTTCTGGCACCGGCAGTTGGAGTCACCAGTTTCTTTTGTGTAGCAGATTTTCAAGAGGAAAATTCTATCTTCTTTACATGATTAAAAAAAAATCAATTAAAAAAATACACTGCGATGATTGAAAAACAAAGACAAGGAACAGGCCACGGTTTAACATGCGGAACTGGTTTGTACCGACAAATCACGTATATGTCAGTGTTGAATCCCATGTATCATGCATCTCTAATAATTATTTCCATTTCTAGTGACAGTGGTCATCTTGTATATAAACATCTGGTTTTAAAAACATTAGTAAATAAATCCCTGACATCTATATTATTTCTGGTATTATTGTGGCATTTAGCAAACTTATTTTTGTAATTTTCACATCAGACTGAAATTTGAATGGATTTAACATCTGACAGTAAGACTAAGAGGTAGGTGTGTGTGTGTGGGTGCGGGGGGGATGTGCGTGTCCACTGGTATATATTATGGGCCACAAATGGAGGTCCTTTGTGGAAGTGAGGATCTTTTCCAGTCTTTTTTGCAGTCCATATGTAAAAAAAACGACAAAAAAAACATATTTTTTATAAAAGTTTTATGCTGCAACTTTAACAAAAGTAGAGTGATGTGTGTGTGTGTGTGTGTGTGTGTGTGTGTGTGTGTGTGTGTGTGTGTGGTGTGTGGTGTGTGTGTGTGTGTGTGTGTGTGTTTGCGTGTGTAATTATAAAGTGAATGAGATTTTCCTAAAACACCAGGCCCCTCAGCCTGTATTTGATCTCGATCATGACACACATGCATCGACAGGCAGTATGTGTTGCGGTGCAGCTGTTAATAATAAATAGATGTTGCATTATTGAAACAGCATCATTATTACGAGAGAACAGCAGAGCCCAGGAATCCATGGGTCTTGCTTGGCCCGGCGGACAGACTGTTCTTCCAGGAAAGATCCACTTTCCTCGTTGGTAACCAGAACCCGACGACGCTCTCCTTCCTCCAGTCATGCATGTCCAACTGTTTCAGCGCCACGACTCAAGCAACATTACAGGTGGTCGAACGTTTTTATTTCTGCTGTTAAATACCAATAAATCATCAGGAATTTATGATCACCTCCAACAGTTTGAGGTGATCATTTTCCCTGCTTGTTGGTTACAGTCTATGAAAGAGAAAAAAACAGGGATCCACAAAGTCATCATTTCATGAGTGAAATGAACCAATTAAAATCTGGAAGCACAGCACACTGATTGTCTCTTAATTTCATTTTTTAATATGCTGTAATGTCAGTTAAAGCAGAAAACTGTCTGCCACACCTGCAACAAGCAGTGGAAAGGCTGCCACTAAACGCTGAAACTTAAAATGTACACAATCCTGATCCCGTGAAGCCATGTAGCATCACAACTGGAGCTTTCTGGAGCTGCAGATCAGAGGTACTGTATGTGTGGAGGAAGAATAATGAAGCTGAAAAGAACATGGTGCTATACTGTATTTAAGTGAAGCAGTGACCCGGTCGAGCTCTGGGGCGGCTCTGCTTCCTCTGCCACAAGAACATGAGCCATGTTTGAGCAACCAGCTAGAAGTTGCTGCACAAAGGAGACCATTTCTAATGGGATTTTAATTTGACGCATTTGTTTGGCCTAGAACAGAATTACTAGTCTGAATTTTGTCTGCCGTCGCTGGTTTGAAGAGAACCCTATGCACTGCAAAAACAAAAATCTTAGCAGGTAATTTTGGTCTTGTTTCTGGTGCAAACAAGACCAAACACTTGAAATAAAAAAAAAACTAAGTAGCTTTTCATCTTGTTTTTAGTAAAAAAAAAAAAAAAAACATTTAATGTTGATTTTAAAAGAATGCACTAATTCCATTGACAGATTGTTTCACTTCCAAATAGGGAAGAATGTTTTGTTAAACTAAAAAACCTTTTTCTTCAATGACTTGCTGAAAAGATACTCGTAAGCCAGTTAATCGGTTGAGCTCTGCAGAACATCATTCACAGCTGGTGCAGTTGTCTGTTATTACCTGTAAAGTCATTTTTATCTAAAACTGTATGTAATCTTATTGTGAGGTGATTGTAGCTCTTTAGATCATCATTAGATGTTTGGTTGTTTATTTTGATTGTCTTTTTTAGTTGGAGCTTGAGTCTGAGATCAAGTTTCTATCGATCTTGTTCTATTTCAAATCTTATAATATATTTGCACTTGAACATTTTTTTTTAATTCTAAGATTTAGTGTTTGTCACAAAGAGGCTTGTCCTGAGGGGGTTGAATGAGAATGGGACAGCAGAAGCACTCACAGTATCCATTTTTTGTTTTGTTTTTTTATTTAATTTGATAAATTAATTGTTTAATTATATTATTTACCTTTTTGTATGTTTTTGGTAATAAAGCTGATTCTCAGTGGAGGCTGAACAATGTTAGCTGTAGCTGTTTGAAGGCAGAATAGCTTCCATAAACTGTGATCCAATCAACACCTGGGCTGATATTGCATTAAATATTGAATTAAAGCCATGATGAAACATGGACCAGGAGCAGGGCTTGTGATATTACACCTCCAGCAGCCTGTCAATTTGTGCCTAAATTAACCTTTACTTTGACCATCACACTAAATCACAACAAGTATGACATAGTGCATTACTTCAAGCTGAATTAACAGCATGTGACACCAACGAAAACACTGACCTTTTATTCTCTGACACCCCATGTTATCTAAGATGCATTACATCTTTTGGATTTATCTATTAGAAAAGGCGAGGTAGGGCCATTGCAGATAGAAACAAAAGAGTACATTTCTTCCAAAAACAGTTTTAGAAAAAACAAGCACATTTTGGTCAACAATTTGCAAGAAAGAAAAACCAAATGTTTCATGATAAATCCCAGAAATCTCCTAGAAAACACTTTCCAAATTTCTCAAGTTTTCAAGTTTTTTTTTTCTTTTCAGAAAATCAGTGACATAAATCTCAAATTTCCAAGTGTTTTCTATCAGATCTATTACTTTTCAAGCTCACACATTTCAAATTCAAATTTTTGAATTTGAAAAATCAAAAATCTGCTAGAAATAACTTAGAAATTTGTGATTAATCCTGGTGAATTTCTGAAAAAAAAACTTGAAAATTTGAGTCCTAAATAAAGTCACAAAAATTTACCTGAAAAAATAAAAAACTGAAATTTTGAGATTAGAAAAAAAAATTACATTTTGGAGTTTGAAAAGTAAAACATTAACGAGAACAAAACTTTTTTGTTTTGAAAGTAATTTTAAAGAAAAAAAATCTGCATTTCAGAGTTCAAAATGAAAGTTTACTTTTTTTTTCAAAACCTAGAAGTTATTTCTAGCAGATTTCTGACTTTTAAAGCAATGAAATTTCCTTCTTTTTTCTAGAACCTTCCTGAAATTTCTGAGCGTTTGTATGGCAGAAATGTACTCCTCCTTTCATTTTTTTCTTCCTACATTAGCTCTAATACTCGGTCATAGACGTGTCTGCGTGGCTCTGAATCTGTGAGTGTTATTGTCCCTCAGCATGAACATCTCCCTGCATCTGGTCTGCATTATATTCAATTTAACAGCAGTAGGTGTGAAAATTGGATCAGAAATTGCACTTGAAAAGAGCAAAAGCAGAAGTTAAAAAAAAACTCAATGGTAATGGGCATGAGCACTAAGAGGCACTGACACTGACAAAATGAACTTCTTTGAAAGGCATTCATCGCTCTCACCTACACTTCCCAAAACCAGACAGACGCACTGAAATGTCACTTCCGAGTAACGTTTCATCTTTATTAAGAGCAAAGCTTTCTGTCGCCACCGCCACCCATCATCTCCCTGAAAAGACAACAATAGAGGAGGGAGACGGCGAGGGGAGGGGGGGCAGTGGAGGAGCAGAAATTTGAAAAAGACAGCGAGGCAGACGGAGATTATGAAGAGCCCATCTCATCCGCCATGTTAAGAGCAGTGGTGGGTGGGGGCACAGCAGCAGGAGGAGGTGGAGGTGTTCAGAGATGCTCCACTTCCTGATCCCCTCCTCTCTTTGGTTTACTGGCGTTAGTGTACAGACACACACACACACACACACACACACACACACACACACACACACACACACACACACACACACATACACCCCAACACCACACACACACCCCCACACACACACACACACACACACACACACACACACACACCCACACCCCCACACACACACCCACACACACACCCACACACACACACACACCCCTCATCTCCTCTCTTTTACCCTCCTTTCTGCCCACCTCCACACTCCTCCACCCCTCTGCAGTCCCTTCCCTGCCTCCTTCCATCATTTCTGTTTCCTCTCAGCTCATTTTTCTTCCTTTTTTTCTCCCCCCATTTTTCTCTTTCTATTTTTTTTCTCGGCCCCCGTGAGTCTTTTGTCAGATTTTCTTCTTTTCTCAAAACTGCGGAGGCTTTTGTCTGTTTCAAAAGGCGTCCAAATTACAGGTTCCCCTTATAGACGGCGATACGTTTCTGGTAAATTTTGTTTTCTTTGTGTTTTTTGACATCACTCTGTTGATTATGAACAATCCATCTGAAAACTGTGGTTATGAACCATTGATGAAAACATATTTTTACAAAAGGCAGGAATGAAGAAATGAAGGTCTGAGCAGCAGCCCTGCTATTTGCTGTGTCCATGAATAACCCTGTAATTCCTCCTGTTTTCTGTTGCTTTGTTTTTGTTTGTTTGTTTCCAAACATTTTTGAATTAACAGAGAAGCCAGAGCTGAAAAGGAATGTTAAATGGATTAGTTCTTAAATTGTTTTGCGTTGATCCTGGTGCATCGAGGCCACAGAAACCAGAAGGAAATCTGTCGACTTAAATCTCTTTTTTCCCCTCTCTGCTCAGAGATGAAAGTGTTTAAGTTTATAGTTATTATTTTAACAGCAGATCAAACCAAATGATATCTGATACATAAAATTGTGCGCTGAAGAATTTCCCTTTACTTCAAAACAAAAAAAAACAAAAAAGTTTTGCTGCAGTGACCTTGAGAGACGAACCCCTGGGTGGTGAGCAGCAGCGCCGGGATGGCTCCGGGCCCCGGGGCCGTCACGTCCCTCTCTCTCAGGATGCTGCATCACAGCTGCTTGGTCTCATAGGAGCCAATCTGCAAACATCTCTAATGCTTCTTATGCAAACAAAATGCATTTAAATTGTCCATCATAAGTGAAGTTCAGCAGCCGTGGAGTCAATAAAAAAAAAGCTATTGTTACTGTTTGCAGGTTTATTTTTTCACCAAAGAGCTTTAAAGTTTGGTAAGATAAAAAATAAAACAAACTTCAAACAGCACACTGCAAAAATGCAAACTCTTACCAAGGAGTTATGGTCTAACGTCTTAGTGAGTTTGAAAGATAAGACAAAACTAACTTACAGCTAATTATTCAGCAAGATGCAGGAGCTTGTTTTAAGTAAATCGTTTCTTAATATTGATGAGAAAAGTACTGGTTCCACCAGCAGATTATTTTACTGACATCAAACCATTTTTCCAATGTTATAAGTGAAATAATCTGAGGCTTAATTATTCAACATTCAAGAGTTACTGAGTTAAAACGGGCTCTTATCTTGCTGAAAAGTTACACTTGTATTTCAAGTGTAATAAAGATATTTACAGTAGAAATTAGACCAAAAATACTTGGTGAGATTTTGTGTTGTGTTGTATCTGTATGAGGCCAGGACTTAAAACCTGAAGTGAAATTTCTTGTATGTGGACCAATAAAGCTGGTTCACATTAAAAAAAAGATTTTTTTGAAATACTACATTGCTGCAGCCGTTATTTGCATGTGGGGGAATATTGAGGTGGTATTAATGGCTCATATAGGAAAAAACCTCTGAAATCTTTTGTTCCTCTTCCATGAAATTGACTCCATAATCAGCCACATTTGACAGAACTTTCTTTCTCCGTTGAGTGAATTTAACAGAAGGTGAATGAGTTTGTATGTAGTGAACCAATGAATAGAAGACTTCTAGAAACTGAAATGTAGGGACAAAAGTGGAACATGGAGAACGACACAAATAAACCCCCAACAGTAAAGCCAGTCAGCACAGAAACAGCTCTGAATCCCTCAGTCCCTCAAAGTGAAACTGGTTTCACATCCTCCTTTTGTTCTGGACTCGTTCCGTCAGGCAAAGGGGATCTGATTGGTTCGGATTCTCTGACGAAGGAGCAGGTGATCAAGACCAACGCCAACGTCAAAGCGCTGACCTACTGCGACCTGCAGTACATCAGCCTGAAGGGTCTGTGCGAGGTGCTCCGCCTCTACCCGGAGTACGCGCAGAAGTTCATCAGCGAGATCCAGCATGACCTCACCTACAACCTGCGGGAGGGCCACGGCACAGACGTGAGTACCCCCACCCACAGAGACCACCGAGCCGACAGAGGAAACAAACACCCGCTTCCTTTATTCAGGCTGTTGTGTGTGTGTGTGTGTGTGTGTGTGTGTGTGTGTGTGTGTGTGTGTGTGTGTGTGTGTGTGTGTGTGTGTGTGTGTGTGTGTATGGAGGGGGAGGGGTGCAAGCAGATGTTCAGTCCAAATGAATCTGAACAACCCAAACTCTGATTTCTTTATTGCCATGGATCCCAGTTACAAATAAACAATTAAGGGGATTTAAAATCAGCATGCATTTAAATAAAGAAGTCTTTAAATGAAATTTCCTTTAAATGAATAGTAGCTGTTTGCAACAAACAAACTTGATAAAACATCAAGTTTTGGCCTGAAGATTCATTCATTCATTCATTCATTCATTCATTCATTATTATAAAGTTCTGTTCAGATGTCTAAGGTCATCCAATGGTAGTTTGTGACCTTTGACCTTTATGTGGAGCGATTTCACCCACATGAATCTTTTCACATTAACATCCACTCTGGGTGTTGAAAATCCAAATTGTTTTTATTGGGATTGTTTTACACAAAACCTCACCAAGTATTTCTGTTTGCTTTCTAGAGTGAAGATCTGATCACACTTGAAGTAAGAAAATCTAACTTACAAGAAACTTTCAGCAAGATTTAGAAGTTCTCAAAAACAATTTTGGGAAAAAGTACTAGTTCTTCGGAGATTATTATATCTTAGAATATCTTGATATGAGTGAAATAATCTGCCAATAGAACTAATACTGAACAATATTGATTTGTCTTGTTTCAAGTGTATTTTCACTAGAAACTAGACAGAAAATACTTGATGAGATTGAAACAAGTTCATGTTCATGGTGGAGGATTACTTATGAATATATATCATTCATAGCCTTTTAGGATTGCTTGACTACTCTTTATAATGGTTTCCTTGTTCAGTATTTACTGATCGTATTTATGACATTTGTGTATCAAAGTGACTTTAACCTCGACTGATTAACAGATTACTAGTTTACTCAGGGACTCAAGATGAAAAATAGACGTTTATTTTTCAAAATGTTCATTACCTTGCTTTGTCTCTACCAAATAAGTGAATTAAACTAATAATGCCGGAACGTGGGAAATGAATCGGACGAATGAAAGCTCGTATTTCTATTCAAACATATCCGTCGTAATGTGGATGGATAAAAGCCGTGTCTGACCCTCATAATGCAGTTTGACACGTGCCTCCATTCAAAATCCATGCCATCAACACACACACACACACACACACACACACACACCACACACACACACACACACACCCCACACACACACACTGGATCCTCCAGCGCTGCTGCTACTGCTGCAGAGGGAGAAAAACACACAGACCAGAATAGATGAGTGTTGCCGTTTGAAGCTCTCCTGCAGCTAAAAATAGAGGAGGGGGGGAAGCACGGGTTCTCCCTGACTGGCTCTCCCTCCTCAGCTGCTGCTAAGATTGGATCCTGCTCGCTAAAAATAGAGCAGCCAGTCAGGGAGAAGATGAAGAGGAGAAAGGAGGAAGAACGTGAGCGATCTCGTCTCCTTTTCTCTGCACTGCAGTGGAAGCTTTGGTTCGACTGCAGAGAAAACATCACCAGCATATGCGCAATCTGCTGCACATGTATCCGGGCCGAGGCTGCAGATGTCTGTCGTGTGCATATGAAAAAAAAAGTCAAATGCTATTGATTACCTGAGGGAAGCCTACAGACATGTCAGGCATGCGGACAGGTGTGAAGTCTGACTGATCCAAAAATAGAAGTCATTATGAAATGTGATGGTGTATTAAAGCTGTTATACATGGAGGGAAAGAGAGGAGTAGAATTCCACCGAAGAAAATAACCAAAAAAATGAGATTGAGCCCAGAAAAAGAACAAAAACTGTTAGAAATGTATAAAATTTGTTAGGAAAAAAAAATAAATTTTGAGATTGATCTTGAAAAAAAAAAAAACAAGAAAAAAAAGATTTACAAAAGTCAACTTTTCAAACTCACAAATGTCGACATTCTTCTAGATAATTGCTGATATTATCCTCAAAGTTTCTGATCTCTTTCTAGAAACCTTTTGCCCCATCAAGCTCGGACACTGTTTTGTTTTTTCTCAAAATTTTCCGAGATAAATCAAAATTTCAGAGATTTTTGTGACGGAAATGTCCTCTTGCTTTTTCCTCTACGTGGTCGTAACGTGTCATCAGATAATTTGCGGTCGTCGAGCACTTAGTGACAATCTCTCCATCCCATCTCACTGAAATCACCAGCTCACATGGTCTCACTTCAGCTTCTCTCCTCCTGGGCTTTTTTTAGTTTCTGATTGATGAACATGACAGGGAGAGTGAGATCTGCCAGCACTCACACACAGAAACATGAACAAAATCACGTTTTTTGTTTCCCTGCTTGCAAGAGATGATTTATCACCACACACGCGATTGTATCTCTGAAGAAAAATAAATTAGCTCCGTACACAAACCCTCACACACACACGCCTTCACACGCAGAACTGTACACTTATCACACCCACGCATCACACGGAGCTCCTTGGTTTCCCGCGGAGCTGAGAGCTAAGATTAGAAACAGAGAGCTAAAAATAAAGCCGGCTGCCACAGAGGAGGAGGAGAAAAAGAAGCGATAGAGCGCTGAGCCGGCAGGGATGGAGTGGAAGGAGTGCGAGTTGATTAAGGGAAGGAGAGATGATGGGGGGTCAGGGGGGGTCGTCTGGGGAGCAGAGGGGCGTCGGCTGTCAGAGTCTCACCATGCAGCCGACACAACGAGAGCCTGAGATCAGGGGGAGAGAGTGTTGGAGGTTTGTTTTTACTTTTATTCATTCAGGTTGTCTCGTTGAGATCCAAGATCTCATCTACAAGAGACACAATAACTCAAAACGACAAAAACGACAACAAAATAAGCAATGATGCAATTTGACTCAATTGCACAAAACATGAGAGAAACACAAGAGGCGATCAGGAGAAAATGAGCAGGTTCTGGTCTTTGGCTGACTGATTGAAACAAAACATTCAAATTATGAGACGTTCTCATTAGTGGAACCGTAAAAACCAATAGTTTCAGAATTCAGTCCAGACATAGTCTGCTCCCAAAAGAACCTCATAATTTGTCTTTATTCAAGCTGTTTATTATTTCCTCCAGTTTTCTGTCCGAACCTTTTGGAAAAGCAGCATCAACATTTAACACTGTAAATCATTTCATTTGTACGTTTTTGTCATGTGGGCTGAAATGTGTTCAAGAACTAAAACCACCAAATATGTTATTTCTATTTTATCCACATACTCAACAATAAACTAAGCATCTGAATGAAACCAATAATCAGATGTTTTTGTAGGAACAAGACCGCACAGCCAAAACTTTAAATAAAACTTTAAAGGTTTCCTTTTCGCTTATTAGTTTGGTTCAATTGTTAAATCTGATCAAATATTTTATTTTGCTCTCGGCGACAAAAACAGGATCTTTGTGAAACAATAACATTCGGGGAAATACAATCACTCTGTGTTGCTTCTCACATTTTTAGTGAGTAGATTTTGACGTAGACATGGCGGTTTTGTCCAAACGCGGTGGACCAGCAGTGGGCCTGAACGCACCGTCGCCCTGCAGGACTCAGACGAGTTTCACAGACATCCGCAGTGACCTTAAAGGAGCAATTTCAGCTGTCTGTCAATCTGGGAAGAGTTCAAAGGTCATTTACCAACAAAGTTAGCTCCAACTTTCTCACAGAGACAAAGATTACTCACGAGTGAAAAGCTTTTTTTTTTTCTCAGCCGCTGATTTTTCCTGAATGGATGTCCAGCAAACTCATCCCAAAGTCAATTTTTACACGATACTGTGGCTTTAAGAGGATTTCTTAATCCTTTCTGTTCCTCTCAGGCTTTCTGCTGACCTTCACCTTCCTCTGAAGGTCCTCTGCTCTGGTACACTCCAGGTTCTGGTTCACCTGAGCAAATATCATGTTTTCACTCCAACTGCTTTTCCACCTAGAACACTGTAAAAACTCAAAACCTTACCAAGACTTTTCTGTCTAATTTCTAGGACAAATGAGTTAGTACGCTCAAAAAATGAAGGATGTAGGAGGTTGTTCTTGTTTTAAGACAATAATTGTTTAACATTGAGGAGAATATATTAGTTCTACTGGAAGATTATTTCATTTATAACAAGACATTTTTTCCATGTTATAAGTGAAATAATCTGCTATGGATCTAGTACTTTTTTCAAAAATATTAAGAAACGATTGACCTAAAACAAGCTCACACACCTTGTTGAAAAGTTACTGGTAAGTTAGTTTTTGTTGCAGTTCAAGTGTTATTTCAAACTAGACCTCAAATATTCAGGAATATTTAGTGTTTTTTGCAGTGTATGTAGACATGATAATTGAGACTTGACATGTTTTCACTATGAAGGCTTCAACTTTTACAAAGGAAAGAAATGAACTTGCCAGCCTGCAGCAGAATCAAGTGATTCGATTTTCAGGAAGGTTTCTGTGTTGAAACTGTTTATTGAATTTCTTCATGACTTTTTCCTCAGACACAACCCAATGAGCATTGTGGGATGCAGCTCTTGAAATATTTCTTACCTCCCTTTATGATGTGAACAATCAAAAAATACTGTATTTCTTTTTCCTACTGATGCATTTTTGAGCAATGGTGTAACAATGGTGTAACATCTAAATGCATTAGGATGATGCTTCTAAAGTGCATTTTTCTGTCGACACGCAGTTTCTCCAGTGTCTCTTTGCTTTATGCGAAGCGACATTTCAAAAAGAGCAAGAATGATGGTCTAATTTTACATCAAACCTTTAATCTGGCGTTTGTATGGGGAGGTTAAAGAACATTTTAATAGAATGAAAAATGAAATTAGTTTTCCTTTACTAAGTCTATTGCATTCAAAACAAACAAACCTATTGAATGACGAGAGGAATAAACTCAAATAAAGCACAGAGTCGTTTGAATTCTGAAGGATGTCCAGACAAAATGAAATGATTCAAAAATCACTAAATCTTACCAAGTATTTTGTCTTGTTTTCAATTCTCATATCTTAGTACACTAGAAATAAGCGGGCATAAGCTTACAGGCAGATTTATTTTAATTTTTTTTCACTTGAAACATAAAATGTTTCCTTTTCTATAAGTAAAAAATCTGCCAGTGGAACTAATACTCTTTTTAAAATCAATATTAAAGCCCCACTCCTCCAGGGGCCCCCTGGGGACATTTTTTCTTTTGCGTTCCCTCGCAATAAGCTTACTGCAATATTTGCTGGTCTATTTTGTATACAGTCACAAATGTCAATTTAACATTTCAAATATGTACAGACTTGAAGAGGCCAACTCCTTGGTGCAAAAAGTTGTTTGAAAATTGATTTATTCACTGCATGTTTGTCTGCATGTGGTTCAGACGGAACAGCACATGAAAACGGCCCTTTATTAACCATTCAGACCAGCACAAGAGACACAATCAACACTGTCAGATGACTGATGATTACCCCGCGATAACTCAGAAGTACGATGTTTTCTTTTTTCTTCCTTTCCAGTGGAAAGTTTCTGTTTATATCATTGGTTTGTGGTGCATTTCTATCCTAAAGAAAAAGACATAAAACTTCAGATATTTCACAAGATATTATACATTGAAAAACCTCATAATACCAGAAACTACGATGGCCACCGTAAAAAAGGCTTACAGTATTCAGTTAAGCTGCATGAGCTGATTGGTACATTATTGCAGGGAACGCAAAAAGAGGAACAAATTCCACCTTTCTCATGCAGGGACATGGGGAATAACGAGAACATGTCTTGTAAGTTAGTTTTTGTCTTATTTCAAGTGTCTTTGCACTAGAAGCTAAACAGAAATACTTGGTGAGATTTTGATTTTTTTACAGTGCAGCAACCAGATAAAACAATCCCAATAAGAGCCATTTTGAAAACCTACAGTGGATGCTAATGTAGAGTGTGCAACTGGGTGAAATCTCTGGACATAAAGGAACTACAGCTGGATGACTTTAGACATCTTTCACTTATAACATGGGAAAAACATCATTATAAGTGAAGTAATCTGCCAATGGGACTTATGAGAGTTTGTGTTTTTGCAGTGAACAAATTTGGAGTTTTTAATTGTAACAGCAGTTTAAACAAATCATCACAGACAAACTCTTGTGTTTGCCTGACACCTACTGGTGAAGCTGAGACACTGCAGGTCATTCACCTTCAGCTCAGTCAGTCTGATGATTCAAACTTCATATTGAAAAAAGACTTTATTGATGTTAAAGGGACGTTAAATGCTCATACTCATTGAAAATCCTTTCAGTTCAAAAGAGTTGTTGTTATTGATGATTATACTGGGAGGTGAGTTCTGGTCAGGTTCTGAAACTCAGACCCTGCTGTGTGTCAGAAGGACTGGGAGAGCAACGGCGGCCTGGTGAAAAAGCTGCCGTCCATCCGTGAGGATGAGGAGGGCGACGAGGAGCAGAGCTCCGTGTCCCGGGCTCCCCGCTCGCCACTGCATCTCAGCAGGGGCCTCAGCTCCCCGCTGCGCTCCCCCCTCCTGGCTCCGCGGCCCTTTAGGGCCCCGACCGAGCACTTACGGCCCTCCACCCTGCAGATACCAGTGGTTAGCTTCAGCAGCGCTCCACCCGAGCTCAGCCCCAGGTAACACACACACACACACACACACACACACACACACACACACACACACACACACACACACACACACACACTCTCTGTAGGTGCAAACTGTAATCACAAAACAGCCTCAGCGCCCCAGAAAGAAACTGCAGTGGACTGTGCTGCAATAGGGTGTCTGGCTGCCATGGCAACCGGTAGATTACATAGCTGGTGGATCATATGGGGCCTGCTGCTGTGAGCAGAGCTTCATACTGCAGCTGAATGGTTTGCATGGATGTGTAGATGTTCATTCACCAAACTGACGTTCTGACGACGTACAGAAGATGGAGAGAGAAAAAATAATGTACATTTCTCAAAAGAAACTCAGATGTTTTGAGATTCATCTCAGAAATTTCTTGATGGAACAAGGAGATTTCTGAGCTTCAAACGTAAAAAATGAGCAAGAAAACATTTGTCCAAAATTGACATTAATCTAAGAAAATTTCTAGGAAAAAAAAGAACGAAATCTCCGAGTTTCAAAAGTAAAAAAAAATCTTGAGCTTTTGGCACTGACATTTCCAAGATTTGCCAAGAATTTTGTTTTACTTTTCAAAAATTTCTGACTTCGGAAAGTAAAAAAAATCTTCGACTTTTTAATCTCTAAAATGATCCGAAATATTTGACTTCAGAAAATCTCAGACATTTCCAAAGTTTGTCTTTCTGGAAAATTTCAGAGGTTTTTCTTTGGGGTTTTTTGGTGGCAGTGTGCTCCTATCTGCGGCGGCCATCACGCCGTCATATCTTATTCTCGTGCTTCTCACCTTTAACCCTTTCTGTTCTGTAAAGATTTGTGGACGGCATCGAAACGGAGAGCATTTCCACCTCCTCACAGAAGTTTGAGTTCAGTCCCAGTCTGTCACCTGCAGCTCCACCTTCCCCATGCACAGGTAAAACACACACACACGCACACACACACATCCACACACACACACACATATATACACACACACACTTTCCCCCATATGTGGTGTATTCTCTCTTTCTTTCCTGGGAGCCTAATGTGGAAGCCTTTTATATTCCCGCTGTCTGCAGGGATGCGTGACTCTGAGATCAAGCAGAGCGTGACGAAGCTTACAGAGGAGGTAAGTTCTGACCTGATGCATCATGTTGCATTTTTCCTGCTGACAGAGATTTTCAGCCCAGGATTATAATTTTCATCCCATTCTATAAAATAAACGCAGATTCAGGTCATATTCATCTTAGTTTATTTATATTGTGATAATTCACAACAGATGTCATCATTCATAAACTGATCTAATCTGTACCCATGATGATTCCTGATGGATGCTGATGCAGTAATGTGAACAATGCAGGTGGAATTTTTTTAATGCTCCTCTGATCTGGAACAAACGTCCACAAAACTGAAAAACAGCCGAAACGCTGAGCTCCTTTAATTCCAGGCTAAAAACACTGATATGGAATGTCTTACGGCTTTTGACCCTAATCACTAGAATATTGACCAAGATATTTTATGTGTATCGATGATTTTGATCAAACATGCTGGTTTTCTTGCTGGTTTCTCAGTTGGTGACTGTGTGATGTCTTAGGACTTCTTATATTTGTGCTTTTATGATGTGAAGAACTTTGTTGCTAAAGTTTGCTATAAAAATGATTTTGATTGATTGATTAAACTGATAATTGTTTGTGGCTGAACAGCTTAAAGTGATTTTATCATAGCGTGTCCTTTTGTCCGTCGTCAGGCAAACATTTCTACATCAACATTCAGATGAGGTTCTGGGTCTGAGGCTGGGATTGGTACCTGGTAACAGGACTAACAGAGTTCTTTAATAAAGTGATGCGATGCAGCATCGTGATGCAACATAGTGATGCAGCATCGTGATGCAGCAGCATGATGTGACCGTCTGGTTGTGTCTCTGTCTCCTTCTCACCCAGATGAACTCTCTGTCCAAACAAGTGTCCAACCTCAGCCAGGAGCTGCGGGAAATGGCTTGCCTGCTGAAGCCCCTCCTCCAGGCGGCCCCACAGCCAATCCTGATGAGCGCAGTGCCAAACCTGGCCCCGCCTCAGGGCAGTGCCAACCAGCTGCTGTCCAGCCCCTGGTTCCCAGCAGCGCCCACAGCGCCGTGTTCCCCCTCGAGAGAGGACGCCGGCTCCCTGTTGGACAGTGGAGACCCGGAGGGCGAGGGTTTGCCGCGATGCCTTCTCCCAACTCATCACTCACCAAAAAGGCCTGATTCTTCACAATCAGCATCAGCACAGCCCCCAGCCAGCCCCGTGGCACCTGACTCAAGCTTCCCCTCATCGAAGGAAGAAGCTCCAAAGGGGTCCCCAGTGTCCCGAAGCCCCCAGGCGTCCCCCAGTAATGGGATCCTCCTGCCGTCCTTGGAGGACCAGCCTGCTCTGCGCTCCAACACCTCTTCGTCATCTCTGTCCTTCTCCGTCTCCCTCTCCTCCTCACGGTCTCTTTTTTCTTGCCCGTCACGGCCCACCCCGCTCCCTCTCAAGGACGCCCCCCCCCCTCTCAGGACACGCCCCCTCCCCTGTCGACCCACCGCTCAGCTCCCTCATCCGTCTCCTCATCTCCCGGGGGTCACCGGCTGACGGCTTCCCAGTCCATCCCCATCACGTCCACCTCAGCGCCCAACTTTCCCTCCACCCTGTCCCTGCCCGTGTCTCTGGACGTTGGGAGCTCAGCAAAGCGAGACGCTCATTCTCCGGCGAGGTACAACCTGCAGAGACGCCACGAGGAGGCCAGGGCCCCTGCCAGTCCGCAGGAGGTGGAGATGCAGGAGTGGAGGCGGCAGGGAGAAGGGAGCAAAACCTCCACGGAGGATTTCAGCTTCATCGATGAGGACGATCCTGGGCTATAGGCAGGTTTTTGCTGCGTGAAGCAGCCATGAAGAAAGCAATGGGTGCAGCAGCAAGCTGGTCTGTCTCAGGCAAGAAGCCCGGGGTGCTTGGGAGGCTTCCTGTCTACACTAACAGTCTTCTGTTAGCATATCACACACCGGATCACCCACCGATTATTAGCAACATGAATCCTGCAGAACTGCGGCGTGAGTCGATGCCTTCAGCTCCCGACACACAGAACCAGACAGCATTTCTCTGTCTCTCTCTCCCATCTGGTATCGGTTGCATTTTTTAAATACCAAGATGTCTCCCCCTGTAGAGGCAGGGACAAACACACACATCCCCCAACCGGTGGGTCCGAGTCAGTGCAGCAGGGCCTGGAATGTAAAGTCGCTCATTCTCACTCCAGATTTTATTTTCTAAAGGAAAACACACACACAAACGCACGCACACACACACACACACACACACACACACACACGCACATGCACACACCACTCATTTCCCTACAGCAGCAACACCTGGTTCTCTCATGGTGTAATTTCTGTACCTTTGGGCTCAATGCCAAAGAGGAAAAGAAATCCATAGTTTAGATCTAAAACGCTCCATAACAACAAGCGAGACTCAGAAACTTTATTTCATAAATTGATAAATGTTTCTGTGCTTCTATGATGACTGGTATACAGCAAAAGAAAATTCCCAATCAAACTGAAATAGAAAATGGTTTTAATGCAGAGATGTCATTCAGCTCACATGCACTCCATACTTTAGTATGTAATACTGCACCAGTTCATTGTAGGATGGAGGTAGAACTGAGCAACAGATAAATAATATATATAATAATAGACACACGATCAATATCAATAGATAAGACATCTGATAGAATGTTCAACAATTAAATGTTTCCAGAACCAAACAGCATTCTGGGAGATGTAGGCAGAGGAAAGGCTTTAGCTGCTCAACCTCTCATGGCTCATTATGTTAGCATGGTGGCATCAACTAGCTCACTTAACGGCTACCTAGCAACAACATCTTCAGCAGCTTGCGCAGCAGCAGTTTCAGGTTTTGCCACTCTGCTTAAACCTGCTAAAAATAAAAAAATAAAAAAACGATGGCGTGAAGTGAAAGGAGAAAATGAAAATGAGTACAATAGGTGCTGTATGTAACCTTTATTAAAAAATATAAAGGTTTATATATATTTACAAAAAAAATCTTTACATTCTTTTTGTATATTTGTTAAAACTGTCACCATATCATGGCATTATGTTATGAGAAAGGTAATCTGTGAAAAGATCAATCTCCTCTGAGCTATTATTGCCGTCTGAAAAAACAACTAATCAGAGCCCGGAGGCGGGTCTTAGAGCTGTCAATCAAACTCATGTACTCACTGCTCAATGTGCTAATGGCGGTGAAACAACTTACTATTACAATTAATAGAAAGGAAGGAGGAGAAGCACCTCATGGAGGGGTGATTTACAGCGCTAAGTCCCGCCTCCTGGCTGTGATTGGTTAGTTCTGGTTAGTACTGAGAGGAGTTACAGTTTTTCTTCACAGATTATCTGTCTGTACTCTGACAGTTTAAACGAATATGTGAAAATATATTTCTTCTAAACGTTCCATACTGCAGCTTTAAAACAGGAATTGTCACCATTCATCCAAAAATCCCTTTTCTTATGTCTCTATACTTAAATCTGGGGTGGGTTTTTTTTTTAGCTGTAGGCTACAATTATCAAAATGAACTCAAAACGTCACCATGAATAGTTTCTGTTCTTGAAATAAATTGAAGAAACAAACCAAACCGTTTAATGGCATTTTCATGTATTGAGCTGCAGCTGTCGTTTTCAAGCCACACATATTCAGATTGTACGTCTCACATTTCCCCCTGAGCTTTAGCCATCCAGCCATTCGTGCCTTCTCCATGTGAAGACCCCTCACCTGCCCACAGGTCCCTTCAGTCAGTCCAACTTTACCCAGAAGAAGCCATCAATCCACCTGCTGAGAACACTCTGACCTTCCTCTGAAACCTTTTCGCTCTGTTTAGGCTCTGGGTTTGACCTGTGCAGAGGAAACGCGGTGGGTTGGTATCGCACGTCATGTGGAACCCTTCACAGTTCTTATGTAGCACACACACATCGCCTCCAACCACCGGGGGCTACGAGACTTCAGCCAGAGCCACTGCGCTGCAGAAGCCTCAGGACCTCGGTCTGTTTTGTTGGCTGTAACGTAGACCGTGAGCTTTCTGGTCCCCACTTTGTTCCAGAAACAGCAGAGGATGCTTTCCTGGACTTTCTACACACTGGAAAACAAAACTCCTATGAATGTGTGGAGTTGTGATCCTGGGTGCCATGTGGGTGGCAGGGTGAGGTAGGGGGGTTGGTGGCACTGAGGTGGCACTGAGGTGTAATGCAGAGTGATACTCTACTGGGATTTAAATCAAATGCATGTTTTTTATTATTATTTTTGCATGAGAAACGTGCCTGCTTTTGAGCTGTTCAGGCCGGAGGGAAAACTGCCCCCCCTGGTGGAGGCTGCTGGGTTTCCGATGTATTTTATTACAGACTGCTGTTACATACAAATTTAAACTGGGATTACATACATTACAACAATAAAGAAGTGTTGATTTGTAAGAGCAGAGTCTTTGAGTTTTTTTTTTTTTTAAAGAAACAGTTTCAAAACAGCAGATCGGAGAACAGGTTAAGCGCCCAGAAGGGTCAGCTTGATTTTGGGTGTAATCTGGTTGCCATGGAGACAGGTGATGGATGAAAATTATTTGGGTTGCAACAAGTTGGGTCCAACTAGAAGAGGATCAGGGCCGCCAAAAATCTAAATAAATAAAATTCTGACATTGAATCAAATGAGTTAGCAGGTCTGTTCAGAGCTGAATGGCTGCCGGTCCGGTCCGAGACCGGACCTGAACAATCCTGGTCTATTCAGTCGAATGGTTTTCTAATGTCCAACTAAGCTTTTTATGAACTCCTTTATAAGTTCATTTATAAATCGACATATTTCCATGTGCATGCTTGTTATTTATTTTATATTGAGTCATATTGAAATTGCCTAGAACAGCTGTAATGTGACAAAATGTGAACAATTACAAGAATGTGAATACTTTTGTAAGGCACTAAATACCCAAACAAGCATTCATTCTTGGTGCAAGCCAGTGTGTGTCGAAGCGTTTTAGTCTAACTTTTAGGGGCGATGACGACGTCGCTCCAATACAGAACCCGACCGTTCGGAACCGCTAACAATCAGAAGCCATTTTCCATGGAAGCAGTGCAGTCCTGAAGGCTCTAAGTGTGACAATGGAAGTACTGGCATGACGTCAGAACAGAACAGAGCCAAACCTAATGAGCATGTAGGGACATGGACATTAACAATGACTTAATTTTATTTCACTCCAGATGAATCAAGAATATTAAATGTTTAGTTCAGCACCTTCATTTCATTGGATACTTTCCTTTTGCTTCAAGCCAGAAACACACTAAGAAAAATGAGAAAAGAGGCCATTTTGGGCCTGACATCTTTGTCAGAGACAACGATACGGAGTTACAGTCACATGTGCCACGTTGTTAGTGTCGATAAAGAACCCGTTCTTTAACCTTACTCAGACGTGATGTCGACCATCACAAGGTCAAAGCAAATATATGGTTAAATTAACTCCAGATTTTTATTCTTGTAAGAAAACAAAACAGACAAGGAGCAGCATCTATACGCTTCCTAGTACCAAATCTTAAAAGTCAGTCTGCAGTGTTGTGGGTTTACAAATTAATACATCAAAGCTGCAGTATGTAACTTTTTTTAAATATGTGTTTTAGGAACATTTGTTCAAATGTGTCTATCAAATGATAGACAATCTGTGGGGGAAAAAAAATCAAGGTCCTCTCCCTCCTCTCTGAGCTACTATTGGTGTCTGAAGAAACTACAAACAACCTATGAGAGCTTGGAGGCGCGTCTTAGCGATGTCAATTAAGCTCAGATACTCACTGCTAAATGTGCTAATGGCAGAGAAATTACGTACCATTACAGGAAAACCATTTATACACTGTCATTGGTGGCCATGCTAACCAACCTAGCATTCAGGTTAGCTTTTGCTATCTGACTAGCAGCGCTAAGACCCGCCTCCTGGCTCTGATTGGTTGTTTCTACTAGGTACTAGGAGAAATGACGTTTTTTTTCCACAGATTTCTCATACAGTTTCAACAAATACGCAAAAAAAAAAAAGCTTCATACTGTAGCTTTAGTTTTATTTAGGTTTGGGACTGAAACAAAAATTCTATGCAGCCTCCCTACAGAAGAAATAACACACAACACAAGGGAATCCTTCTGTAGGTCTGCATATATATTTTCCATTTTGTAACATTCATTCTATCAGAACTTCAGTACGGTTTGAAATGTCAGAGGGCAACACTAAAAACCCCCTGGATGGAGGAGAGCTTCTACACCGGAGCGCTAGCTTCAGAGAGGAAACGGTGGACCTGTTGGAGGAGGAGGAGGTTTTCTGTCCATGTTTTCTTTTTGACAAACATACAGAAAAAGAAGTAGAGGGGAGAAGGGGGGATGATACAGAAATAGCAACAGTGAATCCTCCTCTAGTCTACTGATAACAGATCAGATTGGATTAAGCCCTACCAGCTCTGGAACTACATTTCCCATTGTAAGGACACTGAGCAGAAGTGACATGTGTCAAGTGCAAGCCTCTTCACGGTCACCAACGGAAACTTAGAAATCTGGGATCCTTGGATTTGTTTTCAGTTTTCAACCCTGCAGACAAAATTCAGGGTTTAATGGTGAAGCAATCAGGCTGCAGTTCCAAATGTGCTGAGAGCGGAGGCGCCGCGGGAGAGGATGGAGTCAATGGGCTGAGAACGGGGTAAAATAAAAATCCAAAAATATATATTTATGTTTAAATTTATATATATATTTATATTTATATATATTTACGAGGTATATGTCCACAAAAAAATAAAACACCCAAAGTTTCAAAATAGTCATTTCTTCCAAATATATCCTTGCTAGTGATGCCTTGGGTAGACGTTAATATTAACAGCAATATTAATCCAAAAATTCCAAAAGAAACACCAGGAAGTTGTCCTGTCCTGAAGCTCCACCGTCAGGAGTCCTAGAAGAGAGGCTTCAGACGAGCGCATGTATGTGAATCTGACGTCAAACTCCACAACGTTCCCTCTCAAGCAAAAAAAGACAAAGGAACAAAAAAGAAAAAAAACGTCCCTAATTTCTCCAACAAACAAAGAGCCACACGCTCGGACCCTCCTCCAGGATGAGTTAGGGCTGAGAAGAACCGCTGAAAACAGGAGGCAGGAGAAACGTGGGCCACAGGTCTAAGACGAAACAAAAAGGTGTCTTTGTGCAAGTCTCAAAACGAAAGTCAACATGAACCCAAAGAGGCAGCGGCAGGCGTCCTCTAGATGACCTTCAGTTAGGCTGGCAGTAGAGGATCGCTGCCCACTGTAGTCATGCTAGGTATTGCTGTAACGCCGTCTTCGCCCTGGCAGAGACACAAACACATCATCATCCAGGTCAGACCACTGTCTTTGGTAAGGGATTAGCAGAGGGGTTTTCTGCCCACCTGTCGCTGAGGTTGGGATCGGCTGACTGTGTCAGTTTGTGCAGGACGTCCACAAAGCCCATCTCCCTCAGCTTGTCCTGGCGATCCTGAGAACCTAACGCACAACCAGGAGCAAACCGGAAAACTTCATCATCGTGTTGAAGACTCCGAGTTTGTAAACCTGATCCTACTTTAAACACAGACTCAGGTGCGGAAATGGTACTGATGAATGCCTAGTCTGTAATCATTCTACAACAGTGAATTGTGGCCCTTTTAGATAGTTTATAAGGAGTAAACTTCTGCCAAAAACAATTCTGAAGTTTTTATTTAATTTCAGAAATTTTCTTGGGGGAAAAAAAGTTGGAATTCCTGAATATTTTCACATTTTGGAAATTCTTCACTTTTTTTTTCTTGAAAATTTCTGAGATTAATCTCAAGACTTTGCCGTGCTTTCTGGCCAATTTTTGACTTTATTGGAACTGGGTTATTACATTTTAAACCAGGTTTCAGTGGACAATAAAGTACTTTTAAAGATGATGTGGGAAAAATCTGAAATAAACAGAAAACCGACAATTACAACCAGCGACTGTAATGCTCTTCAATGAAAACACACTCTGAAACACAACTTAAACTAACATACCGTTTTATTTTGGTTGATTGAAAAGCATAATTATTATTCAAGTTACATTAAACATGCAACATGGAAACATTGCTGCAGATCTGTTTGGGTCAGAGTAACTTATTGTTGGGATTTAAGACAAAAGCTGAACTGAAGTTAACTCTTAACACGCCTCCATATTTGAACTTTACTTTGTCATGAAAATATTACTGACTGGTATAATGTAGAAATTTTTCCCAGTTCAGACTTTTCAGCTTTACAACCAAAACTGATCAACTTTTAAAAAGGCACATTTACAAAATTACAACAACAAAAATCATGTGACAGGAATGGAACCCAAACTCTCTTTTACGGCCATGTTTTTTTAAAATCCATGAGTCCTTCTGTAATCTGAATGTACCAGCTGGCAGCAGTCCTTACCGTCCTCCTCGTTCCAGATGAGGTTGGACACACAGAAGGTGGCGGCGAGCTGCAGCTTCACGTTGGAGTGTCCCTGTGGGAACGGAGGACAGAGAGGAGGTCAGAGACACACGACCCCGTTCCGTAGCGAAACCAACGCTTTCTGAACTGTGAGCACAATTTCAAGTGTCAGGCTGGACAATACGGCTGAAAAACTTATCAACATATCAGCTCATATGTGAGTCAATGCTGATAATTGTCAAACTGGTGATGTGACCTCTCCTGTTCTATCCAGTTTCACTCTGTGGTTTCTTATTTTTTCATTTTTAAGTAGTTATGAGGTAGTGTAGCAAAACATAAAACTGCTGCTACCCAAGTTATTTCAGTTGTTGCTAGGTAACCAAAGACTGAGTTAATTGATGCCACCAGCTCGCTGTCAAAGGTTGAGCAGTTAAATCTTTTCCTCTGCCTACATCTCCCAGAATACTGTGCGGTTCTGGATTGGTGTTCAGTGAATATTCTATCAGATATATTATCTATTGATACTGATCACATGTCTATATACGTCATTAGAGATTTATTCCTCAAATGTTTTCTGAAATCTTGAATCCATAGTTTTACTTACATTTTTACTTCAGTCTTAATAATAAATCATCTTCTATAACGTTATAGAAGTTATTGACTATTCTCAATGCGAGTAATAAGAGCATACAAAACATCCTCATGCAACATGAATCTAATTAAACACAATGAAATAAATATTCAGTTTCTAGATAAATAAATACATTTATTTGAAAGAGGCTAAAACGCAGAATCAGAAAGCAACAATGAAGCAACATTCAAACATTCAGCTCTGGGTTGGCTCAACACTGAGCCGTACCATGTAGTATTTAATTTTCTGGAGCATGTCATCGTTTGTCATGATGAGCTCCTTGGCTGTGTTTCCATCGGCGATGTTGGCGAGGATGCACAGCGTCTGAGTGAACAAAAGAAACAAAACAAAGGGTCAGTGCTTTCATCTGACCACAGATTTAATTCAGACAAAACGTAGAAATCCCATCCTGCAATGCAGCAGCAGGACAAAGTGCTGCAGAGAAATCCTGTTTCGCACGCTCACCTGCTCTTTGACCTCTACGCTGTGCTCGGCTTCCAGGATCAGGGTCACCGCCTGCATGATCTGCTTCCCATGAGAGCTCATGATCTGGTCTATGTGCTGGCAGCATGAGGAGAGAGCAGAGGGAGGTCAGTGTTTAAGATGCTTGGAGAAAATCCTTCACATTCAGCACCTTACTCAGGGAGAAGCCTGAACGCAGCGTGGCTGAGCTATTCAACCAAACTCCACTGAAGTTTATTTCATACTTCAGGTTGGAACAAAACACACAACAAACCATCTTTACAGTGAAATAATTTTGTGTAACTGTTTTTTGTTTTCCATTCATCCATACTGCTTCCCACGTCGTCCCTGCAATAGCACTGCACCGCCCCAAGAGGGCGCGCCCCATACTTTGGGAACCACTGGATTAGTAGATTAGAACGTTGATCAATATATCTGATGTATATACACTTGATGAGGGTATTTGACAAAATGTAATGTCTATTTCATGTTTAATAATTAGCTACTTTATTATGTTTTTATGGTGCAGAGCATTTTGAACTGCCTGGTTGCTGAAATGTGCTCTACTAATAAACATGACAGAAGAAAACGCTGCACCATGGAGGGCTGATGATGCTGAAGCTTGTATCAAGGCCTGTCGCAGTTAGCAATAAATCAATGAATCGCATGATAAATTAAAATGACCTCAATAATTTCCATTTGCATAATTGATTGTTTTTATCTCTTTCTACCAAAAACTGGATATAAAAGTCTTTATTCTGGTGCTTTTCAGTCTCAGGAAAATATAGGAGCCTTAGAATCAATAATTCCTTATTACTGATGAAAAAGTTATAGTTCCACTGGTAGATCACTCATCTTATCACAAGACATTTTTCCTTCTTGCAATTGAAATAATCCACCAATGCAACTTGTACTTTTTCATCAAAATTGAGGAATTTTTGTTTTAAAACAACCTTCTGTATGTTGCTGAAAAGTTGCTTGCAAGTTAGTTTTGCCTTATTTCAAGTAGAAACAAGAACAAAAGTAGTTGCTAATAGTTGTGAGGGAACACAAGCAGAATATTCTGTGTGTGCGTGCGTGCGTGCGTGTGGGGAGGGGGTCTGCGCGCGTCTCACCGGGCGCGTTGACAGTAGGTTACGCAGCAAACCGAGGGTCTTCATCAGCACGTTGGTGTCGGGGTCAGAGAGCAGGCGGAACAGCTGCTCGGTCCCCAGACACCGGACAATCTCTACCTTCACCTTCTGATCGGCCTGGAACGCCATGTTCTGCAAACACATCATGGGGGAATTCAACACAAGATGGGAGATTTCCCAATCACCATTCTTTTGGTTTCTTCTTCTTCTTCTTTTTTTTTTTTTTTTTTTTTTTAATAAAATGAATTCTATAATAAAACAAAAGTTTGCTTGTTACCATCAGGGCCCAGATGCCATTTACCCTGAGAGCAGGGCTGTCGCTCTGAGTCAGACTGCATAGTAACTCAATCACCCCAGACTCCAGGATGGGCTGTTGGAAACAACAACTTCATTCACAGATCAACTTTAAACTGGTCTACTGTCCATTCAATTTAAACTGTACTACCTTTACAAACTGAGCCACATATAATTGATCAACTATCTCTGAGAACAACTGGATGTGAGGGCTGTAAAGATCCTCACCTCTTTACTTGGTGAGAACTCCAGCAGCAGGTTGCATAGTGTTGAGGAAGCCATGACTAGGATTTCATCTGGGGCGTTCTGTAGGAGCTGCACACAAACACATCATTCAGAGAGACCAGCCTGAGAGCTGGAACAGATTCCAGCCTTACTTCAGTGAGAAGGTTGAGCGGGGATCTGTTCAAACGGACCTTCATGAGGGGCTTCCACACAGCGTGATCATGAAAGCTGGTCCTTAGTTGCTGCACTGACCGGGAAAGACTATGAAGACACCTGCAGAGGAGTGAGGAACGGAGGAGAGGAAACATGCACAAACATTACAGCAACTTCTATAAAAAACATGGATTCTACTTTTTCTCCCCTACACTACATCTGGTTCACCACAACGCAGTTATCATGTAATGGTAAGTTATTTCTGCACCATTACACAGCAAGTATCTTGGGTTCATGCATATTTACACAGTTCCTTCAAGTTCGACTTCCTTCATCTAATTATTGGGAACATTTTCAACACATTCACAGAGTTATGATTTTATTATCAGTATGCCATCAGTATGAAGAGCTTCAAAGTTAAAATGAACCCTGCAGGCACTACTTGATGCACAAGTTGTCCTTCAAAGTGGAAAGCGGAGTTGAGAGAGGCTCACCTCACCGCTGCCAGCCGCACTTTAATGCTGGATTCCGATAGGCCGCTGACTATTCGGTCCATCATGTTTTCCGTCTCTGTGATCTGAAGAAAACAAAGACAGTGCATTGGAACATGAGCATGTGTTCATGTTCCACACATGCAGGAATGGGGGAAAACTAAATGCAGAACCTTTTTGCGAATGTCCTCATCATTTGAGCCCAGAGAGGCGTAGAGCTTGAAAGCAGCTTGTCTCAGTTCATGTGCATGTTTAAGGTCATGGTCCAGCTGCAGAGTGGACAGGCGCAACATTTCAATACTGACAGCTTTTAGCTTTGATCAAAACGTGTTCTGTAAAACATTTAAAACAAACCCAAAAGCCCATTGGGAAAGAACAAACAATCAGAGATTAAAGGGAGGAAGAAAGCCTGACGCAAACGATTTTCAAATTAAGTTGCAAAGAGTGCAGAGTACATAAATGTGCTATCATATTACACAGAAAAGACATAATCACATCACAATTCAGCGCCTGTGAATTAGCATTTTTGTCATCTCGATTGTTTGATGACAGTTATAAGTATTGAAATTGACACTTTTAGAAATCACCCAAACCTTTTAGGCTAGGAGTAATCTGATCTGATTTTCATTTCTGTTTTTTTATTCAATTTTTACACATTTATCTAACAAGAGCACACAAACACAAGAGAAGACTGAACCCAGACAAAACACAAGGAGCCGAGAGCAAAGACTGACCAGGATTTCTATTCAGTTTACAAATCCAGCAGTTGGTGGATTAAGTCAGTTGCCCCCAGTGGTTAATAAACAAATCTTTTAAATATTAAAGTTGTCATGTCTTTATAGATAGTCATTATATAAACAATAAATTACATGCATTCTATGTTTAAGTTATATTTTAGACATACACTACACTGGAAATTTGGCCAGTCGGAGGAAACATTTTGTCTTTATCTACAGAGAAAATTTATATGATTATTACATTACACATTTTTCAAGCAAATCAAAAAGGTACATTTTCACTTCTTCAAATACTTTTGAGTAGCTTATTTTAGGGCAAATTAATGCAAACCTTTGGTCAAGGATGCTTAAAGTGAAGGCCAGTGGCCATTTGTGGCACATGAACTGACTTTTTTTGCAGCTCTCTCTAAACAATTTCAGAATAAAAGTTTTAAATAGTTTTAAATAAAATAAGTTTTAAATAAAAATCTACTCACAAAAATGTCAGAAGCAACACAAAGTGATCTATTCTAAGCTTTCTGGTTTTCTTACATTCCAAAACCATTTCCAGTTTTACAATGACATTCATACAAAAAATCTGATTATGGTATTTGCTCAATCAAAATAGTTAAAACTTTGCTAACTGTTGAGAAGGTATACATTTTTTTATATGTTTTTGGTGATTTTAGTTTTTAAAAATCACACTTTTTTGCCCGTTAGTATATTTTGACAGATAATTTTGAACACCTTGTTTCGATGCTTTTTCTGCAACATCAGATTCATGCATGAACTGAACAGGAAGCACTGGCAGAAAGTGAAAACCGTAGATGGACCATAAATGAAATTCATGAGTGTTACATTATAACATCTGAAGCCAAATATTTGTCATATAAATATCATTAATTTAGAATTCAACACTTTGTTTTTCCTTGTTCAAGCAATTACTCAACTAAACAATCTGTAAAAGGCTTTCACCAATCTGAGGAGATAACCACTCTCCCACAAACAGCACAATGAAACATCTTTCTACAACTGGTACAGGAAATATAGACAACTTATTTCATAAAACCCAAACTCTCCATTTCAGTCCAATGCATGTAAAAGACCTGCTTAGACCCACCCTCTTGATGTCAGCGATGGCAGACACAGAGCTGGGGTACTTGAAGTAGTCGGCCAACATGGCCACCAGGTGGTCAGTGGTGCTGGCGATCCTCTGCAGCTCCACGTCAGGCTCCATCAGGTAGGCTAGTGTCTCTGCACCCTCCACTCTCTCCTCCAGTAAATGCTCTTTACTGCACATTCGCACGAGGCAGGGCAACGTCTGAACACACAACAGGAAGTGACGTCGCACAGAACCGGCTCAGCGGCGGTAGTTAGGACAACATGTAGGGGTAAAAAGATCCAAACCTTTAGTACTATGCAGCCGTCGTCTGTCCTGATGGCATCTGCTCGACACATGTAGGTTAGACTGGAACGGAAACAGCAGCCACACATGAGGTCAACGCAAACAACAAACCCGCTAACTGTAAAGCTGAAGTCTATAACTTTTATAAAAAGTGTAGTTTTTACAGATTTGTTCAAGCTGGCACAATTTCTTAACAGTATGGTATGAGACAGATGACCTGTGTGGAGGAAAAAAAAATCTAGCCCTTCCACTTCCTCCCAGTGATAAACTTGCAATCTGCAGAAATGGACCGATACCGACCAAAAACAACCAATTGGAGCCAGGAGAAAGACCTTCATGCTGTCAATCATACACATGTATAAGCTATTTAATGGAGGAGAAACAACTTCCTGTTCCAGAAAAACTATTTATCTGCTGTCACTGTGGGCTATGCTGAGTCGCTTTAGAATTCAAGACAGACTCTGGCCTGGGAAATTTTAGACATTTAAAAATAAATGAACTAATTTATTAAAATGTAAAACTTATGTGCTTTGCTGCCACACAATAATAAATATTTCAACTAAATATTTCTATGAATACCTTCTAAAAAATATGTTAAAAAAATAAAATAAAATCAACCCAAATTTTAACAACCCACCCAAATCTATTTTTCCAGGCCAATGTGTTTTCATAAGAGAACCAATTGTGATGGTTGACCCCGTTACGACCCTCCGCCCGGCTCTGATTGATTTTTTCTGACTGGAGAGTATATTTTTACAGACCTCCATAAAGCATAAGGAAAAGGTCGATGAGCTTCATTTTTTGTCACAGATTATCTGTCTCATATTATATTGTTTGGACATAATGATAGTTTTACCAAATATGTAAAAAAGAAACAGTAACTATGATGTGTATTTGGAAAACCAGTGCAATACTCACCATTTGGCTGCTGTTAGCTGCATTTCCACGGGTTGATCCCTTTGCATCATTTTAACAAATACCTGAGTGAGCTGCTCACCATCCACCAGCACTGCCAGCAACAGAACAACAAGCAGAGTTCAGAAGAGGAGAAAAAGTGGAGGGAAAACCAAAGGCAGGTGAGAATCTCACCATTCACCAGTGTCGTGGAGACCTGAGTGTTCTCATAGGCCAGGACTGAGAAACACTTTAACGCCTGCATCCGGACCTGAAGAGGAAATGACGTAGAAGTTGATGTATGCATGACTGACGGTGAGAACACGTCAGACGACCTCACAGAGAGGAGCTGCATACCTTATAGGAGGGTGAAATAATCAGAGGGGCAATATTCTGGATGGCGCCGTGGTTGAAAAGAACCGTCTGGTGCTCTGGGGTCTGCAGACAACAATCAGCATTGGATTACAGTTTAGATACAGTCTGGATTGAATCCATCTTGTTCATGTATGACCAAATACTGTCAAATACCTTACAACAGTGGGAGAAGATCTGAGTGATGTACTCCTGGGTTCTCTGGGAGTTGCTCAGTAGAGACATGAGATGGGGAATCACAGTGGGATCCTTCAGTAAAACATACAACAACACTATATGTGCATGGCCTCACAGTACTGACAACAAGCAGAAACAAACATTACAGTTCTGAAAATAAATGTAGAGCAACATGGAGAATATACACGTGAAATTGATCCTTTGGAATCCAAGTATTTTTGAATTTGAATTGTGAAGCTGTGATTAAGTTCCTGCAGTATCAAATCCTCACTGAATCCAGTTCAGAAAGCATCAACTTCACCTTAGAGTGGTTTCTAACGGTGTTGTAAAGTATGTCAACTCATTCCTCTACATGTACACAAGAGTCATCTGAAAAATAATGTTGTAATCAAATAGACACATGCCTAGACACTAAATCTTACCAAGTATTTTTGGTCTAGTTTCCAGCGCAAACATTTTTAGTACACTTGAAATAAGGCTAAACTAACTCAAAAGTTTCTGTTGAGCAAGACATAAGAGCTAATTTTAAGTCAATAACTCCTTAATAATGATGAAAAAGTAATAATTCACTTGTAACATGGGAAAAATGTTTGATAAGAATGAAATAATCTGCCAGTGGAACTAGTTTTTTTTCAGCAATTTTAAGGAGTTGTTGACTCAAAACAAGTTCCATATTGGTTTACAGCTACTTGTAAGTTAGTTTTGTCTTACTACAAGTGTAAAAAGATATTTGCACTAGAAACAGCCCTAAAAGTACTTGGCAAGGTTTAGAGTTTTTGCAGTGCACAGGACCCAAAACATGTATTATTGTGAATAATCACATTAAAGGATCTAGAATTGCAAGGGAAGAAAGGCCCTGGAAACATGTGCTGCACAGAATCAGGTTTAAGGTGACCTACTGTATACAGCAGCTGCACAGGCGTAACGGGACTGATGAAGACAGTTCTGAGACATCGAAGACAGGCTTCAGTGAAGACCAGGTCTGGACAGAGGAGACCTGCAAAGCAGCAGGAATGACCGTTTGCCCTTGTTTTCTTATTTGCATGCATGGCAGTGGGTTTTTTAGCTTCACCTTGGAGCAGGGTGGGGATGATGTGACAGTCCACCAAGGACTTGATGTTGTTCTCGGTGCCCATGGCCAGACTGCCCAGCACCACGGCGCACTCCGTCCTCAGCTGCAGGCTGGACGAGCTCTGCTGAAGCAGGTACAGTAACCTGGAAGCAGAAAGCGAGAAAACCTGAAACCAACTTCATCACCTCACCTCATACTCAGCGGACCTGACACAGCAGATGTGATATATACTAATGTTTGTTTACCACCATATTTATGCTGATTCGCTTGAAACAACAGAGAAAGAAAAAAAAATGGCAAGAGAAAAGATGGAAATGAAAAGACATGCAGAGTACCTCGGTACAGCTCCAAGGACAATCAGATTGGCTTTCTGCTTGTTGTTTCCTATGACAGCATTCTTCATATCACTAAGAGACAAATAAAAACACAAAAGGACAGATGAGTCTTTTCTTTCAATACAGTAGTTCATTTGTTTGTTTTTTGTGATGCTTAAATGTCCACATTGTTATGTTAATTCATTTTTGTCATGGAAAATTCATATCACCAGATTATCCTTTTTGTAGTAAAACAAAAAAAGCATGGCTTAATAACTGCACCAGAAATGAAAGATTTGATACTCTTATTTGAGGTGAAACAGAAAATATTCATGTGTAACTGATTGACTTCTATAAATCTGAAGTTCAATATGCACTTGCTCAACACATATTTATTGACGCAACCTTTCTTGTGCTGTGCCAGTGACCCGGATTACATCAAACATCAGCTGAGTGAAGCTGCAGGAAAAGTGCAGCTGGAGTTTAGAAAGCGGAGAGCTACGAGCCGTAACTAGAGCTAGTAACCTCAAAGGATAAAAATAACCAGGAAATAGTCAGACTACATGTCATCTACCTTATGCTGAGTTCTGATACAAGGTATCAGATGAAAACATGTACATGTAAGCACATCGGTTCACTTCAGGAAAATCTCCCACTGGAAAAAATGAAGCTTCCATAATATCCTGAAACATGAGGTAAGTTAAAATAACCCAGATCACGGCACACGGTTATAAAATCATTAACTGCATATAATCTACAACCTCTAGACTGTAGATCATATCCATAATCTATGGAGGATATGAGAAGGACAACACTCCTTAAGAAGGAGGAGTGTTGACCTTTGAGAAAGAAAAACACATGATCTTCTCAAAACCTTTTCTTAGTTGGAGCACAGAGAGAGGAATCTGACCTCTGCATCTACACAAAGATTTTCCTCAGAATTTAGGTCTGGGTGTTGAGATGAAGATGAAAGAAGATTGGTTTTATATCTGTTGAACAACTTCTGTGTTGCTTTGTCCACATATGGTTAGGGTTGGAAAATAAATCAATCAATTTTTTGAAGGGAAACAGGCCCACGAGATCACAGGTCTCTTACGATTCTCAACAGTGGTCATACGTTCCTGTTACGGTTCCAGTAAAGTTTAGCAAACTCCATAGGTTTACATGTGTCTACCAAGCTATTTGCTGGGATGCAGCTAGCATCTAATGGTTGTTAAAGTCTAGAGATATAAGTCTGCTGAAGTTCTACCAAAGTGGGCTTTGGGGTTTATTTATTTATTCATTTATTTATTTACCTCCCTTACCATACAGCTCACTGCCAAGACAATTGTGTCCTCATGCAGAATTATAGCCCAGAAATAAAATAACTAATATTTTAAAGTAGAAACAGAAAATGAAAATACCAAAGATCAAGGTAGGCTTTAAAAATGTATATGACAGAGAACATGGTATGGGTTTATCGAATACCTAGTTCCCATTTCTTCAAAGCATTTTTAAAAGATAGATTGCAACCAGTCAACTTGACTTTCCCTATTTTTAGGCTTTCACATAAACACATTTACATCTTCATATAGTTGGTAAATGTTTTCATTTTGCATCTTCACTTGTAATCCATGAGGTTTGAAGGAATTCTGTGTCATTTAAGAGTGACTTGATAATAAATGTCATAATTAATAATGTTTATTTTAATTGTACTTTGTGTTCAGATAAAAGCCATCTTAGAGACTGGAGTAATTTGAAAATTTAAACACTGAAATCCTTCAGGAAATATAGAAAAATACATAATATTCTTCTTTCCGCACATTACCCAGCACTGAGATGAAATATAATATCTGACATATTTATAAACCAGGAAGACAAGAAATCATAGAAACTACATGCAAAATACTTCACCTGCATTTATCATAAATTTATTCATTTTGTTTATTTGTATAAGTGAATCATTAATGCATTTTCCAAACAGCACAATTGGACAAAAATAGAATAAAAAAACACACAGCTTTTTAAAACATAATGCTTAACTGAAGAACTTCAGCACTGCTAGACTCACATGACTCCCTGCAGCACTTTCTGTGGGTCAGGGTCGAAAAGTCGGTCAACATAATGGCGACTGGTGGCGGTGACTTCCTGTGTGGACAAAACCAATAAATATAACTATACGAATCCAGAGATATGAACTCTAACACTAGGAGAGTTCAGACTATTTGAACCATTCACAGTTTGCCACATTAAAACCACAACCTCAATGCATTATATAGGTATTGTATGTGACCAATACAAAGTTGTGCATAATGGTGAAGTTAAAGGAAAATCATCCTCTGGTCTCCAAACTATTTAAAGTGTGGCCCTGGACTCTGCATCTCCCACTGTAGCATCATTCTGTTTGGATGCTGTTCGTCAGCTTGGGCAATCCTGGAAGAAAGCATCCAGCTGTACTTACAGAAAAATGTGGTTATAGTTCTACAAAGAATTGACTCAGGAAAACTGAAGAAAAATTGAAGCCGCTGTTGGTTTTTCACATAGATACTACATGAAGTACATTAAAATTTGTGGCTGCTGCACCATAAAAAGCAAATTAACTGGAAGAGCAAAATTACTTTTGAATATAATCGTTAAGTCTTCATCTTCTCATACGTACCATTTCAGTAAAACAAAATTATCATGGGCATTCCAAACATAAATCACAAAACACAACTTAACTCTAGCTCCCACAGAAATAATCATGTGCTCTTTAACCCAGACAGAAGTCTTCATTCTAGCAGCCCCCCTACAAAGTTGTTTTATCTGTCATCTAATGCTGCTGCATGTGACACCAGAAAACTTTGCTTATTGCACTGACGGCTTGGACCAGAACTCTCCACCTGACCCCTGAGCAGCAAAGGTCCACCGGCTAACAGCACAGTGATACTGCTGGATGGCTCCGGATGCCAACACACACACACAACTATGATGCACCTGCAACATCACGGGTCTGAACACTTCTGTTCGCAGTTTTCTCACATAGGTTGGTCGCATGTTGTTACAATATACATATTCTAAGAGCTTTTCATGCTCACAAATACGCAAACAAAACAATATTTTCAATTCTGTGTAGCTAAAAATTGGATATGTTGCAACTGCTTCTTTTTAACCTTCACTGAACTTTAGCCACATAATATCAAGCACCCATTAACTCTAGTTTAAAGGTTTCGCAATACCCTAGAAATGGCACCACTTTAGCTTATTTTCACTCACTTAAAACTACAGTGGAGCTGACAGATGTATTAGCTGCGTTAGCTTAATTCTGCATTGCTAACTTCACAGCATTTGACATTAGCTTAACAACGCTACGTTTACAAACGTAAGACCAAGCAGGAGGTTCAGTGGTTTAAAACATACTATAACATGTAGTGGAAATAGAAATGAACTCCCATGACTGTCTTCAGTTGGAGCTTTATGTGGTATGTAAACATGTTTAAACTGTTTAAACACTCTCAATTTGCAGCTAGCTGCTAACTCACTCCAAATGACACTGACATGACAGCTCCTGTGGTCGCTTCATTTGTTTTTGGGAGAGCACTGCTGGGGTGGGCGTATATGAGACAAACTCGTCAGTAATAGTGTTTCATGCGTTTCCGCCCGGCGGAGCGAAGGGTTAGGACAAAACGTTCCCCTTAACAGCTATGTAGGAGCACAGCTACATGCTGCTGAGCCCATTTAGCCTCCAAAGCTAATGCTGGGGTTTATCTCTCCCTAGCTGTTTATGACCGTTTCCATGATATCAACCGCTTGAATTTGGGGGGAGCATTTTGCAAACCGGCTTAAATTATGAGACTGAGACTCACAGACAGAACACTGATGCGGAGAGGGGCCTCCAATAAGCACGCCATCTCTCTTCCTCCAAGCGGGCGCCCTAATCGGCGCAGCACTCCGCGGACACTCCGCCCCCCAGAGCAACTATGAGCGGCTTTAAAAAGTAAATGCGGCCGTCCCACGGGGCTTTCCACGAACTCTCCTTTCGTATTAACGCACCAGAATCTTGTGTGAGTTCGGCTGTGATAATTATTACTGGATACAGAACAAAACAGCCTTGGTTGTGTTGGCGAGCTGTCTGACAGTCTGTGGCTTACCACTTAGGTAAATGTTGTTTATAAGAGTGACGTAGATGTCCTCCTTTTCAGCCCGATTCGACACGTTACTAAGATCAAACCAGCGTCAAAATTAAAAACAAAGCTAGGAAATCCTTATTAGAATATTATTTTTCATCATATATGATATTTAGAAGCACAAATCTTAAACAACAATAAAAAGATATAATCAACACATTCAGGATGAATCTGCCTCCGAGTCTGAAAACATGCTGAAAGAGTACTGCGCATGCGCGTTGAATGGTAAAACGCAAGGTGGGAAAATTCGTTCTATCGCTTTCAACTGTGGATTAGTAACAAAATCATGTGTTTTGAAGGAAATTAGAACCTCTATGGAGACCAGTAACCGCCTCAGCTAAAACTTGATTCACGTATGTACTGAATTGCTTTACTTCTGCTTCTCTCGTCGCCTTGTTTCGTCTCAAAAGGTGTTGCTAGCCGAGGCGTGCTGTGTTTGGTTTGTTGCTGGAGAATTTATGCTACTAATAATAATCTGGCTGCCAGAATGGAAATATATTTTTGTAATAAATTAGGCTTTGTTAAAGTTATCCTTTTGATAAACAGCAGCACCAAGTCAGATAAATATTTTCATATTCACGTTCTTAAGGCATTTTAAGTCAGTATTTGCTTGCTTTGAATATATTATGTACAATTTAATGGAATGCCTAAGCCACAGACCATCGTGACGTCATGCAATAAAAAAAATTACAATGATTTATTGAGTAGTGTAACAGTTGAAACATCCGCCTTTTGAATAAAGTTAAATCAAACCGAACTTCTCTTGTTTTAGTTAGAGTCACCAAAATCATTTCTATTTTCTGAACGTTACAATATTGAGTGAAAGAAAATGGCATAGATGACTTTTAATAGAAGTCAGAAGTTTACATGCATTTCCTCACTGTCTTATAAGCAGTATGACTGGATTGTCTTATAAACAGTATGTCTTATAGAAAACCCAAACGTTTTGGGTTTTCTACTGCAAGCTTTTCACAATAGTTTGTAAAGAAAAATGTGGAACTCATCTTGCACATTCTCCGATTACATTCTCATAACCAAAAATACAATTTTGACAGAAGTCAAAATTCCAGATATTTGTAATTGTGGATGGCGTCTCGTGCCGATCACTAAACCTCACAGTGAGAATGTAAGTTCGTTTGGTAATATGGAGCTCACCTGTTCCCCGCAGCATGAAGATCGCAGTAGAAGGCTGTTGCCACGGCGAGCTGGACAAGATTTATGAGACCATCGAGTATCTGGAGAAGAAGGAGTCGATCAAAGTGGATCTGCTGCTCTGCTGTGGAGACTTCCAGGCGGTGCGGAATGAGGGAGACTTGAAGTGCATGGCGGTGCCTGCCAAGTACCGGACTATGCAGACATTTTACAAGTCAGTGGTTTGGTTTTGGGTGGTGATGATGATGGTGGTGGAGCAGAATTTGCTGAGGCGTGATGGGACTGTTGCAGGTATTACTCTGGAGAGAAGAAGGCTCCAATTCTCACCATCTTTATCGGAGGGAACCATGAGGCTTCCAACCACCTGCAGGAGTTGCCGTACGGAGGCTGGGTTGCTCCAAACATTTATTACCTTGGTAAGCAGCAGAAGGTTGTAGACTTGGGCCTCTGATACATTAACTAATATTAACTTGGCTTTATGTCTCCAGGTTATGCTGGTGTCGTCCGCTATAAAGGGATCAGGATCGGTGGCCTGTCTGGAATCTATAAATCACACGACTACAGAAAGGGTTTGTTCATTTCTATATGTTTTTTTTTTAAATATATAAAATATTTTGATACGTTTTTTTATCCACTGACTTAGCGTGCTTCCCTTAAGGTCGCCACGAATTTCCTCCGTATAATCCCGAAACGCTCCGGAGTGTGTACCACATCAGGAATATGGAGGTGTTTAAACTGAAACAGGTACATCAAGATCTAATATTCAGTCGCAAATCCTTCACATAGGAACAGGTCTGTCACAATAATATTATGTACTTCAATTTTGGAAAGAACTCTGAAACTGGAAGATTTTTTTTAATATCCAAAAGTAAGCGACCAAAAACAATAAACAGAACAGAAATAAAAACATCTAAAAACATAGAAAACTCAAACCATAAATAAAATCGATAATGAAGTCTCAGCTTATTGTTGTGATTAACTGATTATTTGCTTATTGCGACAGATCCAGATGCCCATAGACATTTTCATGAGCCATGACTGGCCTCGAAAAATCTACCACTATGGAAACACGGAAGATCTGTTGCGGAAGAAGAAGTTCCTGCGGTCGGAAGTGGAGACCAACACACTGGGAAGTCCGGCTGCTGAGGAGCTGTTGGCCCATTTGCAGCCCAGCTTCTGGTTCTCTGCACATCTCCATGTAAAGTTTGCTGCTGTCATTCAGCATCCAGTAAGTGTCTCAGTCTCTTTTGCTGCAATATGCCTCAGTTTTGGAAAAAAAAAATTTAAAAACTTGCTTCTTCTCTTTGTAGCCTAAGGGCAACGCAGCCCCACGTGTCACCAAGTTCCTGTCTCTGGATAAATGTCTCCCCTACAGAGAGTTTTTGCAGGTCAGAAGAAATCTTCTTCATACGTACTGCACTATTTCATACATGTTTGTTCACAGTATGTCTTTGTATCTTTCAGATTGTTGATATTCCAGACAGATCGAGTTCATCTGAAGGTCTGGAATATGACCCAGAGTGGTTTGCTGTTCTAAAAGCCACCAACAATTTACAGGTGACCACTCCTCAGCGCTGGAACCCCCCAGAGAATAACGGCTTGCACGAACGGTACGCAAAGGTTCCCAAGAAAAATGACATGATATTCACTCAATCTAAATGAATGTCACCATACAGTATGCTTAAACTTTTTTATTATTATTAACAAATAACTTTGACATTTGCAGAGAAACTGTTGACTTAAGTTGCAGCATTTTTAACTCAACTGACTGATTAGAACCTCAAAAATCCAACAATTCTTTAGGGATCACACCAGCAAAAACACCCATCGGTGTGAAACCTGCTACTGAGGAGAGAAGACTCCATGTTAGTCGGTGTCAATGGGATGTCTAAAAACAGTGTCTAAAAATCAAAGATGTAAGACACTGATAAAAAGGAAACAGTGTTTTCTCTGTCATGTCTTACATGTGACTGTGTGAGCTTTGAGTTGCAGAACACGCTGGTTTGTGTGTTTTCACAACTGACAGTCCGGTAGACTGTTTGATTCAGGACAAAAATTGCTTGTGATATTTTCAGCTAGTGCCATGCACTCTCTGCTGTGTCAAATGTGCAGACCTTTGCTGCATGATGGCTAAATGTATTCATCAATTTTGAGTGTCAGTGAGGTCATTGTAAGGTTTTTGTTTGAAAGCCAGAGAGCGTTGAACTACAAACACTGGCGGAGGAAAAATTCTCACTCTTTTCGCAAGCAAAAGAATTCAAGAATTTGTGATTTCATTGGTTGTGAACAGTGGCTTCCCCTGACGCTGCTGTGGGTTGTCTGTAACCGTCAGGTGGGACTTCAGAGCTTCGGAGGCGGACATGATGCTGGTGATGGAGGATCTCAGCGGGGAACTCGGCATTCCAGACAACTTCAGCCGAACCGTCCCGCCGTACGACCCCGGCCACCCCCAGCCACACGCCCCCCCGAGCTACAACACCAACCCACAAACGACAGAGCTCTGCGCCAAGCTGGGCCTCACAGACATCTACTGTAAGGTCGGACAGAGAGGCGACGACGCAGGCAGGTCCCAGAGCGCCACCAGGGGAGACGAGGATGAGGATGAAAGTCTGGATGAACCCAGCGAGTATCCCACGGATACTTCAGGGTTGTCCAGTTCTTTCAACCCTGATGAGATCACCATCGAAGACGAGTGGGAAGAAGAAGAGGAGGAGGAAGGAACAAAGGCGGACATGCCCTCAGATACCCACACCCCCAATTGGTTGGTCCTGCCAGAGCCCAAATCTACCGTCTCCCCCTCCGTCCTGATGGACCCGCCACCCCCCTCCCACTCTACCCCCAGAACTCCTCCCACTCAGCCGGAGGGCGAACAGGAAGGACGATGCGGTGACGAGGAGGCCGCCACTCGCATCCTGAAGCGGGGCAGCGGCGAAGCGGGAAGCAGGAACACGACTCCGAGAATCAAACGCAGGAACCAGGTCATTTACCAGACCACGGACGATGATGAGTGCGAGGGTTAGAACGCAGGAAGCGGACTTCTTTATTAAGATGTCTTTTTATGTGTTTTAAACAGAGTTGAATCATTTTAGAAAACAGGTTGAATTTCAGTTATTTTTGGTAATAGGAAATTCTAATTTAATGGCAAAGATTAAAGAAGCTGAAAATGTCTTTTGTTTATTTGTTTGTTTGTTTTTTAAATAATCCACCATTAAAACTAAAAACGTTAATTGTGGCTATTGGAGTTTTTTCAATGCAGTATGGCTGAACCCTCAGCCATACAGATTCTTATCTTTCAGCAAAATATGAATAAATTTTAATAAACTTGCAAATAAATTTCTCTCACCATCCTAACAAAAGTACTGAGTGTATTTTTTCCTAATGATCTAATCGCACACTTCCAACAAGACTCAGCTCTTTAAGTAAAATTGCATCAGTTTTATGCTAGAAAAACTACTGAACAGAGCAAACCACTCAGTAAACTTTGAATGATGCATTATGTAAACTTGAAACCTTTTATTGTATTTGGTGTTCGGCTCATTATAAATTCTGGTAAGTAAAGAAGCTCTGACCATTTTTAAAACCACAGATGAAATTGACTTTCAGTCAGGTTCTGGATTTTATTTTGTCTTTGCAGAGGTTGCCAGTTAAAAGGGCAATTAAACTTTTTCCAGACTGATACCGAGGTCCAGTTTGGTTCAGAAAGCTGTGGCTGGCATGTGGGTATAAACAAGTAGTTTATTTCTTTTGTGCACAAGATTCGGTGAGCACAAAATTGTTTCTAGTACTCATGTTTTTTGTTTTTTTCCTACAATGTCCTTTTTGGGGCTTCATCCCGTTCCATGTGTAGCCATTACTATTGGGAAAGTTCTTATGACCAAGAGATGTGTTGGTGGGAAACATGTCTGGAGTTGTTTTTTTTCTACACCTGGACACACTCCAGGAGGAGAGAAAAAAAAGATGCTTCAAGTTCCTGAATTTAGGTGATAGCTTTAAACCAAATTAAAAACGAAGACAATCCCCATATGCATTAAAACAAAAAACGAAACTTTTTTTATATATAAAAATTCAAAAATGTGCATCCCATTGATTGCGTTTACACTCCAAAACTTGCTCTGCCTTACTTCACATCAACACAATTAATATTTGGATGGAAAGGCATTAGCTAATATTAGTTAACATGCTAAAATTTGTAAAAGGAAAAATATTGCACTGGTCACCACAGTTGGTTTAAATCAAATAGATTTATAACACTGATTAGAGTTCTTTGAACAATCCATTCCAGGTTTACAAGTGTGATCTGCTAAAGTCAACATACATAAAATAAGGACAATATGACATACAGTGTCTTTGACAAGATCTCTTTACATCCATTCAAAGAGCCATTACAGTGTAGCTTAACGACAAGGCGCCATGTTTTAAATACAAGCCAGTGTCAGGGAAGTGCTTTTCCTGCACCCTGTCCTAAAAAAAAAGTCACACCAAGGAAAAAGAAAAACTTGGAGTAGGCACTTCTGTTCTCGTGTTTTACCAACATTTTTTTTTCCTGTTTTCTACAGCGAGGTTTGACAGCTAACAAGCACACCTAACTCGTTTCAAGAGCATTGTCTGAAAATAAGTTAATTCATAAAACTATCTAAGATCACCTTGACAAGAGACAAATGAGGGACATTTACCAGAAGACGGGCAGAAAAGATCCCACAGGGAAACGTGGGTTATTTTGAGCGTCATTTTAGATCTTTTCTGCTTTCTTCCACATAACTAAACATACAACCCCAGGATATCAGTGATCTGAGGCAAGAATTTTTACATGCACAGAAGCAGACACCATGGTATTATCTGCAGTTGAATCACCTCTATCACTCAGTGCAGCCCTTCAGTTGGTTTTAGAGATCTACTCACAGCAGGATTCTGGTGTTTGATGCCGACTGAACCCTTTGGATTTCCCCACTGTTCACCGTTTATTGCCCAACATCCCCTCCACATCAAGGCCGTAGTGTTGTGGTCAAGTTTCCCCTCTTTCTCTGTCACTGCTCATGCACTACGTTGCAGGGAGTTTCTCAATATTGCATCTTAAATACCTAAAATACAAAGAGGTTTAGCTTTGTGTGCACTAACACGTCGGCCTCATGTAGTAAATTTAAGTTTCTACCTAGACTACAGGACAAGATTTGGACAGGCTGGAATATTTCAGCCAGAAGGCAATGAAGTCTAAACCATCACACTAGAAATTTGACCAGGCTGGCACACTTGAGAAATTGATATGGATCTTTTCAAGCATGACAGAAGGATTACAGATCATTCCAGGACAGTGTTATGGGGCAGTATTCACAGCAGACTTTGATCAGTTCAAAATGAGACAAAGCAAGCTCCACAAAGAAGAAGAAAGCTCCCTTTTCTAATGGTTTCTGTCCATTCACAAGAATGTGCTGTTCAGTTTATGCAACAGGACAGTTGCAAGGCAGAGAGAAATAGGATTTTCACAATTAGTGCTAAATACTACAACAGGCCTGCCACTGCCTTGCACGTTTCTTCGTTTTGCACTTCTCAATCTTGGTCTTCGCCTGTTATTTCCAAAAGTAAAATTTCCAAGTCTTGTGGCCAAACTTAAGTGTCCGCCCTTAATTCAATAGGCATCATTCCCTGTTCCTTTGAGTTTCTGTCTGCTTGGACAGGAGGATGGGTGCAACACACAGAGGGGAGCGGACGTCAGGTTTCCCAACATCAGGCTCACCCCTGGATGTTGCTGCAACACGACATGGTGGTTTCAGGACTGTGTGGAGGGGAGAACGGATGGGGGAGTTAATACACAGCAGGGTGGTTCGGGAGCTTTAGTTCCCACCGCAGCAGGCTCGGGTGGAGTGGGCATCTGGATCCTGCAGGTTCACTCCCCGATGTCGTGCTGCATGTGTTGGGTTCTGCGTGTCTGTTTTTGGCATCTTTTTTGCTACAGCAGAGTAAATAAAAGTTGTAATTGGATTAGCAAAATACAACACGTATTCCAGATTATTAATTCATTTACAAAAGAGCTAAATGTGTTGAATCTGATACAAGGTGTCTCACCAATAGCCAAGAAAAGCTCGTTGACGTTCATGGCTGTCTTGGCAGACGTCTCCATGAACAGCAAACCGGTGTCCTCAGCATATGTCTGGGCTTCCTTCGTAACACAGAGAAGGACAGTTGATCAGTGACAATGTCATCTTGTCCTTATCGTTGGAGGGGTTTAATGAATTGGACATTGTTTGAACGGCCTTAGTGCCGTAGCAATACAACCATTCTACCATAAACTGGTGATACACAGAGGTTTGAAGAGTTCATCCCCCCTTCAAAAATATTCACACCTCATAAGTTTTCCATCATTTAGTCATGGTGCAACTAAAACTTTGGTGTCTTGGTCTTGTGTGTGGGCTTAAACCTTTGCAGGCCTCTGTACATTGAATTCAAGACCATGGTTTCCAGGAATATCCTTCTATTATTCAACAGGACAATGTAAAACCCCACTGTGCACACTGACTGAGGAAGTAGCAGAACAAGTAATGGACTGTCCTTACTGTGACCTCTCCCAGAAGAGAAGGTGTAAAGCAGTTGTCTCAAACTGGGGTCCTGCAACTTTTAGAGCTGTCTCTGCTTCAGGAAACCTGGCTCCAATATTAGCTGATTACAGAGTTCTGTAGGGCTTGACTAAGGACACGTCTATAAATTTGTAGGACTGTGGCCCTCAAGGAATGCAGTTGGAGACCACTGATGTAGAGGATTTAGAATTTTTGTCAATTTCTTCCTAAACTACAGATATAGAGAGATTAAAATGAGGGGAAAAAACAATAGTACCTCATATTCTACAAGTCTCTTTTCAGCAAGGTCAGCCTTGTTTCCGGCCAGAGCGATAACAATGTTTGGACTGGCCTGCCTCTGCAGCTCCTTCACCCAGGCTTTAGCTCTTTCAAAGGTCTCCTGCAACCACATAATCAGAGGTAAAATAATGGTCTTCTAACAAGACTGTACAATTAAACCCATTCTACTTAGACTAGCTCGTAAATAATGTGTTCTTTGCCTTTATGTACCGGTTTAGTGATATCAAAGACAACGATGGCAGCCTGAGCGCCGCGGTAGTACATGGGAGCCAGGCTGTGGTATCGCTCCTGTCCTGCTGTGTCCCAGATCTCAAACTTCACTGTGGTGTCGTCTAAACACACCGACTGAGCCAAGAACGCAGCTGGACAAACACGGATGAAAGAGCAACAAGTTAACATCAAAGTATTCTCATAAGGAACGATCACCTGATCAGCACCATTGCGTCTCACCTCCTATAGTCGTCTCCTGGAACTCGTCAAACTGTCCCTTGACGAAGCGTAGCACCAGGCTGGACTTGCCCACAGCCATGTCCCCCAGCAGCACCAGCTTGAACTGGCAGATCTTGGTCTGTGGTAGCGAGCCGTTGGATCGGCTGCCGCTCCCTCTGGAGCTCATACCGACCTGTGCAGGAGACGGCTGGGGGGCTGGGCCTCCTCCCTGGAATGCAGCTGGAACAGTGACCCGAGTGGCCTCCCAAGTAGACGCTGGGGCTGGCTTGATCTTTGTACTCTTCTGGTGTTTTTCTTTGTGCAAAAGGAAAAACTTTAACTTTTGTTAAGTTAATTCCAATAACAGGTTCCATACTTAGTAATACATCTGGTTTTACTCCCCACTGGGAGGAGTAAGATTAGAGGAGAACTGTGATCAATGCTCAGTTTTAGTTTGTACAGTCTACCTCCAAACTGACTCTAAGCAGAACAAAATCTGTCGATATTTAACTGAGTCAGAGTAACACAACAGCTCATGTTGGAAAGCTTTTCAAAGAAATCTGAAGAAATGTTAATAAAACACAATGTCAATTTTGGGGGGAAGTTACTGTAAGACCCAGAGAGAAAACACAACCTTAGTCTAATGTGACTAGAAACATTGGGAAGATCACTATGCTATATCAATACAAATCTTGTTTTAGCTAAAGACAAACCTCTTTATTGCACACAAAGAAAGACCGAGTCCCTGATGCAACAGCTTCTAAAACCCCCTTCAACAGAAATACTTCTTCAGAAGTTCAGCCACTGGGTTTCTTGTCCTTGTTATTGGCATGTTGTTGTTGTTGTTGTGTTTTTCTCATCATTGTCCGGTTTGGGTCAAGGTGGAGCCGTCACAAATGGCTTTATATTTGACATGGGAAATTTTGTTGGCGAAGCAGTTCGGTGACTGTAAAATGGCCGGGTCCCCATGGCAGCAAGCCATCGCCATCCTTCACATTTTGGTTACGATGCTACAGTTCCTCCCTCACTGACTCTTTTGTCTTTCCTATGCAAAAATCACTGTTCCAAAATCCCATGGTTTGGTTAGATACAACCATAGACTGGTAAAAATCAGCCCCTTGTTCTACGCTTTGCTTTGTTCAGAGCATTGAAGGGAGAGGAGAATTGGGCAGAATTGCGTAGTAAGGCAGTTGCTCGGCTAATATAACTTCTCAAACCTGTGTAGAGTTGTTAGACTCTTTGGAGAAACAAATCAATTCTCTAGGTCGCGTTCCACAACAACGCAGCCTTTAGTTTTCCTGTCATGAGCTTCTCTGATTAGCGCACCATCTGACCGCAGACTGAACTCCATGGGACTGGTAGTTATCCTGAACATCTGACTTTTGAATCATCCGTATTGCTGCAGCAACATGGATTCTACTATTTGAAAATGGTCCCTATAGCCTCCAGGTGTAAAACTCCAATCCTCGACAGTCGGTGTCCTTCAACTTTTAAACATGGTTCTGCTGCAATAACCCTGAACCAAAGAATTAGGTCATTGGCAGGGCTCTGGAGAAATTGTGTATATACTGAGGAGGTAATTCAGCCATTTGATTTCCATGTATTGGAACAGTGGCACATCTGAAGATGCAGGGCAGAGTTTGACACACCCGCTATAGCCATTATCAAAGAGCAACATTTGCTTGTGTCAGTCCTGAGCTCTTCCTACTTCACTGTGAGGTCAACACCTGAATCCCCCTGAGCAGCAAACCAACAAAACGTCTGCTTTTATGGAAGTGTTAAAGGGGCAGCATTATGTGAAATTGACACCTCGGTGTTGCCTTGATTTTCTCATGCATGTTTGAAAAAATCCTTGAATCTGCCATGGCAACTATTCTGCCATGGGAGAAATTAAAGTTGACTGACTGATTGATTCAGCGAAGCGAAACTCCTTCAGACTAGCCAACAGCAATTAGCAAAGGCATGGTGGAACTGTTCATCTGCTGAGCTCATTATGCGTGCTACCGCTCAGTGCAGCGCAGGTAAAAATGATAAAGGGTTAACAGAGGAGCCATGTAGAGATGACTTCCTGAAGGTGGAGTTTCAGAAAGAGAAGGTGAAGTTTTTAAAGAGACAGAGGCTCAATTTCAAGGTGTTAAATAAACAAGTCAAACACCTTTAAGTCATATTTGATGTATACACCATTTTACAACAACTGAAGTAGTTAATTGATTGTGCTATAAAATGGCACTATATGCCTGGAAGACGCACACAGTGCCATTTTATAGCACATAGTGAATCTTAAGTTACTGTTTATGTAAAAAAAAAAAAAACTTTTTTTTAGATCATATCTTTCAAGTGAAAGATGATGTTTTACCAGCACTGTCCTCTGTGACAGTAACAGCCCCCTCCTGCAAGGCACCCAAAGACAATCAATGCAGGCTAAAAATGCAGGAGTGTGAGAAATTCGCAGCGCGAAGATAAGACAATTTCAGATCGATGTTCTCACATGTCATGTCAGACAACAGAGGTCTGAATCGGATCAACCGGAGACTGGAGGTCTCAGCAGGGGCTCTGATGCTGCGCCTCTGCGTCTAATCGACACAATGAGGAGACGGGGTGTTGGTGGGGGGGCTCCATCAGTCCATGACTCCAGCTGTCTGATTCTCTGAGCAGATCGTTACGACGCTACGGTTCCTCCCTCACTGAACCTTATCTTGTCTCACGGTGTGAGCTAACGACACACACCGCCGGGTCCAGACGAGACACCGCTCAGTCTACAGACCTCCGTGTTTAGACGCTGGACTAGAAAGACAGATTCTTTCTCCTTCTACCGACACGGCGTGTTCTTACTGACGTTCCAGCGAAAGGATATTTACCGTGTCTGAGCGGCAGCAGGTGTCCCAGGCTTTTCTGGCGGAGCTATCAGCTGCTGCGATAAGAAAAAATGTTAACACTTCCTGTAATCTGGCGCATGCGCCGAGAGTGCCGCATTGTCAAACTGGCATGAAGGGAACCGAAAACAAGTGTTACCGACTCGGTTTATTGAGTTATTAAGCAAACAACTAAGAACGTATAGAATAATTCAAGCATGAACACTCTGCGTTCGTAATAAATGCAACTGAAATTATTTTTTCTTCAATGAGAAGTAAATGCAGCGGCTGTCTGTAACAGAAAAACGCGTTGTAAAGGGGTTTGTTTGAAAATAATAAAGATGGCGGACTGACATAATAATTTCCCAGAAATTCCATATGATTCTCTTTGCACTTGTTGGCTGGTGATGAGTTCAGGGGAATATTTGAAAGTTGGTATTTGAAATATAAACATTCCTGTCAAGCTTTCTAGTTATTCTTTAGCAAAATATGAAAAACGACGTAGGAATATTTTTTTTAGTCATCACTATTGTCCTTTGTTGGAAAAATGTTAATTTTAGAGATGATCCACACGTTTTCAAAAATGAATGAGAGCAGAGTGGCGCTCAACAGAAGAAAAAAGGTCTCATGATATCTCACTGGAAGACAGCACCCAGGAGGTTTACATAGTTTCTGCCGAAGTACAATGTTATGGATGACACAAAGTATTCATCTTTTAACAATCTTCCTTTTTATTGCTTTCCTTTTCATTTCCTTGCATCACAAATGTCCACTAACCTTTACTCAAAAGCAAAACTGGGGGCTTCCAAACCCGCATTTAATTGATTCATTAAATTTGGTTTGTTTTTAAAGAAAGTCTGACAGGTGCTTATAATGTCTTAAAACATTGTCGGTGTATTCTACGTTGTTTTGTATGTTTGAAATTTCAGGCTGCAAAACAAGTTTTCCCCTTGGAAGACAATGAGGGAACTGAACTGAACTGAACTGAACTGAACTGAACTGAACTGTTCTTGTCTCTGTGAATAGACAAGAAAATAAAAAAGTGTCTATTGCGCCATAAAAAGTTCAGACAAACGTTTTTACAATTTGGATCAATCTGGTCGGTGCTCTTCAGACCAGAACTTATCAATAAGAGAAACTATTTAAGGCGTGTTTCTGTTAAGGGAAAACGAAACTGCTTCTCTTTGAACTTTATCTCAATTGCTGTGGTTATTTAAATTACTTCTGCGAACACTAACAAAAACAAACAAAGTTCCCAGATTTACCTCAGTCTGTCACTTACAGGGTATTGCCAAATATGCGTAAGGCAAAAGAAATACATATGAAAGCTGTAAACAATAAAACAAGAACTTATCAATATTTCGCCAGGGGCTTTTTTCAGTATCTTTTTAGAGCCACTCAGAATCCTATGCAAATTTCTAACCTGTAGCAGGTTTTAAGAGTATTTTACGAATTTATGGCAAAATAGATCTTAATAGGAGCTCAGGTAGGATTACAATGTGGTATTCTAAAGGCACAAACATTAACTTCTAATTTCTTTTCATTCGGAAACCATGTAAAATCCCATCTAACCAACATTAACAGATGTTCAACAAATTAAAAGAGGGGAATTCCAAAAATGAAGTGTATAAAAAGATATTAATGGAGCAGCCAAATGCCTTGTTTCTTTCACTCCTTAAATCGCTAAAATCTTAAAACCATCATTTTCATTGATCATAATGAAAATGATGGATCATATCTCCAGTTCCAATGTCTGTCCATCTCTCTAACCGTACAGTACAGTAAGACAGAGATTTTAAAAAGGAGTGGCAACCTCTTCCAAACGGGGGAAATGAGCTTTTCTTGTAGTTTCTATTTTTTTTTTATTATTTTCCACATTTGGTTTTAAAGGTTTTGTTCAAGATCAGAGCGCAAAACAGGATTGAGTTTTTAAATCTAATTCTTTTAGTCTAATGTTCCAACTTTCCCCTGTAAAGAAATTTTGAATTACATTGTGAGACCACCTCCAGGCCACTGGAGGGCGACCGAGAATCACGTGAGAAGGAAGTCGGAAGTTTGCCTCATGTGGCGGATGTTTGTGTTATTTTTGATGGAGTGCTCTACTTGGATGAAAGAGCCAAAACTTTAATGTCAAAAGGTCCCAATCAGATTGCACTTTATTTTACCTGGTGATGTGGTCCAGAGAAATAGAAGAAGAAGAAGTTTGCAGTGGAAAGCTCGATGGCGTCACGGCAACAAGAGCCAGAAAGAAGCAGAGAAAGGGCAGCGATACGGCGGCAAGTTCAGCTTCTCTACACACAGAAAAAAAAACCCGTCTTTATCTGGACTGTGTGTAATTTATCTGTGGCACAGTTAGTGAGAAATACTGCACATTAAATATTACTACATCGTGACATGTCTGTTTATAAAGGCTCCGCGAGGGAGGAGAGTTTTCTCACGATCTTCGTCCTCTCACTGAATTAGTGAGAGTTTAATGTGAAGCTGAAACACTGAACGACCAAGTGTTGTATACAGAGAACAACAACGTACACAACAACAATAATATGCTCCACAGAGTTTGGACCGACAATTAGGAAACTCATGTGTGAGTAGAATGGGAGGCAGTAAGCTCGAAATGCTAAACTTTTATTTTGAAATGCAGTACTGCAGGGACACTATCAGTTATTAATAATTGAATGACTTCCAATCATGTAATAACACTGGCCATTTTTAAAGTAAAACACTACAACTGGCAAATAAATTGAATGTGATACCAGTCTTTTAGGCAGTACAGCAATAACATGTTTTCCAATAGTGTAAACTACTGTACTATTGCAGTATGAATACATTTCAAAATAAAACAGATCATTCTCAAAGGGCCTTCTGATGGCAGTGGTTTATTATCCCCTCCTCAGGTGCAGGGAACCAACGACAGCAGCGTGGTGAGCAAGGCTTCAGCCGCCGCGCAGGGATACTTCAGGGACCCTTTCATCCATCACTTTGTGTGCAAAGTATCTCGAAGAGCCCCGCTTATCAACAGGTGAGAAGATGTCTGAACCTCTTCACAGGTGAGCCGGCCGAATCATCATGGTGCTGCAGCCTTTAATGCATGTTTGGATGTTTTAGGGGCTACTTTGTGCGCTGGAGGGCTGTGGACCACTGTGTGAGGCATTTCCTTCTCATCACTGCGAAATGTCCAAAGAGACAGGTGAGTTCTGTTGAGTTCGTTTTTATAGAACTAGTAAATAAAACCAATTCAAATTAAATGTTAAATCAATACCCTCCTCATAAATGGACATCAGGGTGTACTTGCATCATTGAAAAGTCTTAAATGAATGTGTCCAAAATTAAGACCTTAAATTGCTTGACAGCAAGAAAGCATAAGCAGAAAATAATACACTCTAATACTTGTTAGCTAAGTAGTTAGCTACTTGGTAGCATATGGTCGAAAAATACTAAATGTATTTTTTTATTACACTTAGTAGCTATCACGTATATTAATACTTGATAGCTAACTAGCAAGTATTATTAGTGAGTAATACTGTTAGCACTTGCTGGCTAGCAATTATTAGTATTATTTACATCTGTGACAGATGCAAAGAATTTATCAAGCCAGCTTTTTTGCCTCCATTATGCATAAGTGTAAATTTATTAATAGTTGACTGGATAATGTTCGTCTTCACAACCAGCTCACATTTGTTGCCAACCCATAGATTTATTCTATACAATAAATCTTGGGACTACTGACCTTACCACTATATACCAACTTCTTTTGGACATTTCTGCCATGATATTGGTCTTAACAACTATTACATTGGAGGTGGTGAAAACTGTCTAAATCCCACCATTGGACAGCAACAATCCCTCATGCTCGTCTTAATTTCCTGCATTCTTCTGTGTTCTTCTTCGTGTTTCTTGTGTTCCGCTGCTGCAGATTCTGTCGCTGGGCGCCGGCTTCGACTCTCTGTATTTCCGCCTCTGTGCAGACGGAGCTCTGGACGGAGCCGCCGTGTTCGAGGTGGATTTTCCTGACGTGGCGCGGCGCAAAGCTGCTCTGGTCACTTCTAATGCAACTCTGAGAGGGATGTTGGACCCCTGTCTGCCTCCGATTCCTCAACCAGGTTCCTGATGCCTAAAATGTCAAAGCAGCTGTTTCAATATAGCTTCACTTTTATTCTATAATCACATGTCTGTTCTCAGGGCCTGTTTACATGTGCAGCAGCCAGTACCGCCTGTTAGGGGTGGATGTTAGGGAGGAATCTCAGACGGAGGAGGCTCTGAGTGCAGCTGGTCTGGACTGGGCCACTCCCACCCTGATCCTCTCTGAAGTGGTGCTCACCTACATGGAAACCCAAAAGTACAGCAGAGATGGTGACAGAGCGGTGTCCATCGCACTGTAAGGCTTTAAAAGCTGCGGTCCACTGTGTGCCTCGCAGGTCAGACGCCGTGATCAGCTGGGCAGCAAAGCGCCTACCACGGTCCATCTTCGTGATGTACGAGCAGATCCGTCCCGACGATCCCTTCGGCCGCGTCATGCAGGACCATTTCTTGAAGCTCAATTCAACTCTGCATGCCCTGCAGCAGTACCCAGATCTGTCAGCACAGAGGCAAAGGTTCCTGGACAAGGCCAGTACACACGACACAACGTTTACTTTTGTTATGTCACCGTCACAAACTTTGATTTATTTTTTGTGATAGACCATCACAAAGTTGAAACCTCACTGGAGCAGGAAGGAGTATGGCACAGCTGCAAACCTACCAAGACATGCTTGCTTAAGTTATGCAAGCATGACTTAAGATATAGGTATCTTAAGTCATTTTTCTATATTTCTTGAGGGACTATGTGAATTGTGAATTTAAATAGTTCTACCAGCTGCCCTACAGACTCTGACCTTTAATTAAGGTCAGCTAATGTTTCAATATGTCCTCCATATTTCCTGGCATTAAATTAATAATTAAGTTTTACATTAATTACAAATCAGTGTGTTCTTGCATCCTTAAGATTTCTTAAAGTCATTCATCTAAAATTAAGAAATTAAAATATCTTGAATGTCTTAAAAAATGTAAGTTAACTTGTCATGTTAATTAGAGGTCTTAAATTTGATCTCTGCAGTAAGTTTTATTGGCCTGCAGACAGGCCATGTTTTATTGTTTTATTATTTATTGTGACTCAAGATGGTTGAGGCTATTGCTAACTGGCTTTCAACATACCCTTGCTAGCTAGCAAGCTAACGTTTTGCATCTATCATTGGTAGGTTCAAATTCATCGTTAGTTGACAGGACAACGTTTGTCCATTTCTGTGAAAATGTGCTCTTTGATTTCCATTCATATTGGTCTGAAAATTCTGAAGTGGGTGAAACCTGCATACATATTTGTTTAGCTTGTTTAATAATTAATTAATCACATGTTGCACAACAAACATCAAGTGAGTCATTAAAAATATATTCAATACTCTGTTAGAATGAACTGAAGAGAAGCTCAGGCAGCATTAGCTTTTCAAAAAATGTCAAAAACACCATAAGAGTAAAGAAATGGCTCAATGGCAGTTTAGTTGAATTGTTAAGGACCCTTAAGACATTAACAAAAAGTAATCAGTAGTACTTCATTAGGATGTTAGTTTTATACGCAAACTTTTCAAAAATAACTCCACTATAAAATTCTGATCCTCAAATGTAGAAGTGGTTTAACAGATAAATAGACATAAAAACAGAAGCCAGTGGTAAAATGAACAACCCTCGACAAACCGATCCGCAAAAGCTGAATGTCAAGTATCTCACTGTTGAAGTTGGTAAATCCATATCAAATATTCATGGAGGTTTGGAGCATTGCGGTCCAGCGCTTTGACAACAGCGCCACCACTGGCTGAATTAATGAACTGGTTATAGGCTTGGTGAAGTTGGCTAAACAGAATGTATGTTCTCCTTAATGAGTGTGTGTGTGTGTGTGTGTGTGTGTGTGTGTGTGTGTGTGTGTGTGTGTGTGTGCTTGTTGTCCTCAGGGCTGGGAGCGGTGTGTATGTGTGGACATGAATGCGTTCTATTTGGGGCTGGTCCCCCAGGAGGAGCGGGACAGAATAGAAACCCTGGAGCCGTTCGACGAGCATGAGGTTAGCCGGACGGACTCCTCCGTCAGACTGAAGCTCTCTGCTGGTAAAAGCCAACCCGAGTCTTCCAAAGTCTTCCTGTCCTCCCTCAGGAATGGCACCAGAAGTGCTCCCACTACTTCATCCTGACCGCTTCTCGAGGCGCTCTGATGGAGCAGGCTCTGCTCAGTCAGACCCCAGGTAGCAAAACTTTTCTGACCTCAGCCTCTGCGTCTTTCTGTAAACCCTCTAACTGAGCCCGTCTGACCATCTCCAGTACCGTCCATCAGTCCGAGCTGGAGCTCCACAGAGCTGAAGGTGAGCACAGTTCCAGTGTGTTTGGAAGGCTTGGGGTTGGCCTCTACCTGGATGAGGTTAGAGGGGCTGCTGCTGACTGGAGGGTCCAGCAGAGGAGGCAGGGTGACGGAGTCCAGATCCCTGATCAGGGATCAGAATGGCTGGAGGTCCACCAGCGTCAAAGCGTCAGCAGATCTGGGTCAGATCAATGTTTCCTCCATATTCTACAGATGTTGCTAAACTTGCCTATGATTGACCTCAGAGGTTTTGTAAATGTTTTCTACATTTACTCTAGGCGTGCGGCTCTATCACACAGTTACCCCCCTTCCAAGAGGAGGAGCAGTGGTGTACGGCGGACGCTCCTCACCGCTCCGACCCAGCTCCGACCTGTTTAAACTGACCTTTGACACCTCCCCTGCCAAGGCACCGCGTCCACACGCAGAGAAGGTTCAGGTGGAGCCAATGGACTGTACCGGGAATCCTCCCCCACCAAGATTTAGACACACTGCCACAGTGGTCCGGCACAGAGGTGAGCCCAGACCAAACCAGCAGTCTGTCGGTGTTGAGCCTCAGTCCTCCAGAACCAACTGGACTTCTCTTGATGACTTGAAAACGTTCACTTTTCGTCTCATTCAAACGTTTTCTTGTCCATGGATCAATCCTTGTTTCCTTTTCATGGTAGGCAGACACTTCCTGTTTGTGTTTGGTGGGAAGAACCAATCAGCTTGTGCTCTGGGTGACAGCAGCTTCCTGAGTCTGGACCAGCAGCACTGGACTGAGGTCAGATTTTGTCTGAATTTCCCATAAACTCACATGTCTGTGCTCTCTGCTCTGTCCCTAAGCTCCTGGAGTTTGATTCAGGGAACTTCGTTTCGTTTCATTATAATCCACAGTTTCCAGTAGGGGGCGATGTACCAGCGGCTCGTCATTCTCACTCAGCTTGTTCCTATCTCGGATCCGTTGTTGTGTTTGGAGGCCTTAGCCGAGACGGTGAGCCTCTGGGTGATCTGAGTCTCCTGACGCCGACAGAACGAGGCTTCGATTGGATCAGAATAGCTGTTCATCCACCTCCTGTTCCCAGGTCAGTTGTTTCCCTCTGAACTGTTTCAATTTGATTCTAGAAACAATAAATGTGCCGAATTTCTATAGACCCGTCACATATGATTGTATACATCTAGAAATTTTGTGTGTGCACATCAATGAAGGGCAAAAACACAACGATTCTTTTACTCGTCATCCACAGCCTGCCGCGCTGCTGCAGTAGAACAATTCCATTAACAAAATGAAACCTGGAGATGGAGGTGTTATTAACTTCATGCAGTGCACCACAGCAAAAGAAACAACAGAAAAAGTGTCGAAGAACTCAAAACCACTCATATCTGCTAAGCCACACACAGACTCGTTGCCATAGCAACCGACTAACAGCAGCTCCATAGGGTATCAGGATTCAAAGCCAAAAACTACGCAGACATTTCCAACGCAAACAGAACATTCAGTCGGTTACTTTTATGTTTTCAGGCTTGATGTTTATTTTGCATATTAATAAGTGATTGTCTGAACACAGGTGTTTGATTAGCTCATTTAAATCCCTGCTGTGTTAATGTTCTGTCAGAAAGTTGCTGTGTATGTCGTTTTATTTTTTAATCGAGTCAAACAGACAGAATCCTGCAGTACATCTTCATGTTGAGGTCGTCAAAGTCAAGTTAGCATAACTGACTTACTCTAGTCTCACTATTTTGTTTTTCAAATTAAAATTTCATTCAGACTTGAGAAATGTGATACTTTAGGACCTTGTTTTCTGGTTGTTGTGGGGTTGACAGTTGGTAGCAAAGCACTGAGTCCCTTTTTCAGTTATATATCAGGTGTGTACTTAAGATTTTGCGTGTTATGTTGACAACTTGACAGGTAAACCCAGTGGTAGCCATTGGTGGTGAGCAGGTTTTTTTCCCCCTCCAGCAAGAAGATGGTGGGCGGATCTTGTGCATATGACGTGACATTGCAGCGTGTCTGTAGCGCTTCAGTCATACCGACCTTTCAAAACACTTTACACTATTGTAGCATCCACCCAGTCACGCTCAGAAGCAGATTGCTAGGCAACACTTGGACATTGTCCTCCTCCACATGAAGCTGGAATTGAACCTGCAACTTTGGATTCAAAGATGACAACTCTTCCCATTTATCAACAGTTGCCTCAAAATGAGCTCCTTTGTTCCTGTGTTTGTTTCAGGTATTCTCACTGCGCCCATGTGTTTGGTGATAAGCTGATAGTGGTGGGCGGGGTCTGGATGCATTCAGATGGCGTTCCTGGTGTCGTCATCATCAGCCTCAGCACGTACAGCAGCATGGAGTTCAGACTGGACACGGTCAGCTTTAACTCAGCTACAGTATGGGGGAAAAAGAAAGTACACCCTCCTCTGGAGACGTTTTCACACCTGATTGTCCAATGTGAAAATATTTTGATGTTCTGTTCTGCGTAACAGGGCAGGTGTGCTTTCTTTGGCAGACTTTTGAGTGTAAATGTGATTGTGATGATGTGTGTGTGCAGAGCTCAGTGCCCTGGCCTCTGATGCTCCACTCCTTCTGCTCCGAGCTGACGGACTCAGAAGAACCGGCTCTGCTCCTGATTGGAGGAGGCGGGAACTGTTTCTCCTTTGGGACTCATCTGAACCCCCAGCCCGTCTCTGTCTGTCTGCAGCCCATCTGTGACGACCTGCAGCCTCCTGGGCTTTGAATCCGGATATGTTCACCGCTGGTTTTCCTGGGACAAAACAAGATCTCTTTTCTGAGTTGTGATATATTTATATGGTAATGTGATACATATATTATGTATGCAATATTAGGTATTTTCAATAAGGTCAGATAAATAAACCAAACATTCAAATTCACATGATTTTGTGGCTGTTTCAGCTGAGCTCAGAGCTGAGACCCTGAGTGAAGCAGGAAACAACAATTTTGGTTTCATTCTGGTTCTTTATCTGTTCAAATGTTGTTCTGTTAGTTGTACAGAAAAAATTGAGAAAAACTGACCTACCAACAGAGAATAAGCTCTGCTGTGATTAGTCAAGTCAAATTTTGTATGTACATTAGCAGCTGCATTTCCATTAAACATGCCTGTGAAAGTTTGTCAATATTTTGCTAATGTCTAAAAAGCACAATTTTGCAATTGCAGTGCTTCCATCAAATAAGAAACACAATTAAAATCACACAATTAACATAAATAATTTAAAATGTGTGGAACCAGACTGCTTTTTTTGTTTTTTTTATTTTGCCATCATACTTCCTATTTTCTTTTTCGTGACTTGTGCAGTGGCAACATCCAGTTGTTGATCATGGAACTCGTGTGATGCGAGAAAAGTGTGTTTCATTAGTTTTGCAAAATAAACTGATGTCATCACAGCTAAAAATCCCCCCCATGTCATCCTAGCGGCAGAACTTTGTAATAGAAAAAAAGTGGGGATTTTTTTCAAAATTTATTTCCTTTATATGGAAGCCTGTTTCTTACATAATGATATATTATCTCACTCTCGAAATAATGAGATACTATCTCATTGTAATGATAGTTTCTCATTATTTCAATTAGATACCCATTGTAATCCCATTGTAATGGGATACTATCTCATTGTAATGAGATAGTATTACAATGAGATAGTAATACTATCTCATTGTATACTATCTCATTACAATGAATACTATCACATTGTAATGAGATAGTATTCCATTACAATTAGATACCAACGTGGGCAGACACCGCGCTGCCCACGTTTTTTCCAATTGGGTGGGGAAGGGACCTAATTTCTATTTTATCAATGGGGGAAAAACACAGGATCCAACCTGCACGTGTTTGACATAGTATCAATGAGAAAGTATTTGGCCGCGATTCTTCTCTTGCACCTATTTTCATTATATAAATATCTAAATCATCCTTCTTTCTTGCTGCCACTATTTTGATTTCTTTTTTGATTTTTTAAATCCTAACATAATTCTAATTATTTTCCAAAATGAACATGTTGGTGTCTTTTTATCATCCTCTGTGGTCTGAACATCAGAATGGCCCAAATCCTCCTGCATGTTTTCTAGACAAATCCTGGCCTCTTGTGTTGTTTCTGCATCTGGTAAGATTTCTACTGGGACTTCTGTGGAAAGATCTTGGGTTAAATCATTAAGCTGCTCGTTGTGTCTGTGTGAATCTTCCTCCTCCTCCTCTGGTAAAACATGTTCTTCTTTCTCTGCTCTCAATGTCCTGCTCTAGTGTCTCCAAATGACCTTTTCTCTGTTCTCTCAACTCCAGCTGTAATTTTTCAAGTTGTTCCTCCATCTCTGATTGGTTTCTCTCAAGTCTAATATTTTCTTCTTTTACTTTCGAAAGTTCCATCTGTTCCTTGTGTATTTGGTTCTGGTATAGTTCAACCTCTTGCTCATATTTATTCCTCAGATCTGCATATAAAACATGAAGCTCATCCAATTCTTGTGTCGTCTTCTCCCTCTTTTGAACAATCGCAATCTTTTGACATTTTCTCGTAGATCTCGTCATTTTCAGCTCTAAGGCTGCTGATTATCTGCTGATTTTCTCTCTCTTTCTAAATTGGTCTCTTTCTGCTGTCTCGCCTCCTGCCGTTGTCCTTCTATGCTCTGCTTCAGTCCAGCAACGTCAGATTCAAAGTTACGTTTGAACTCGGTGTATGACCATTTGAGTTCTTTAACTGTTTGTTCAAAATCTTCTTGCTCTCTTGCAGGGACCTAATTTCTTTCTCGGTTTTTTGTCAGAGGACGGCATTCTCTGCTCCCAGCTTGTGCAGAAGGGCCTTGTCCTCCTCTAATTTCTCTAGATCAAATTTGGAAATTGAGCTTTTCAAATCGTTCTTCCAGTGCACTATAGTTTATTTTGTTGATGTTTTGTTTCTGTTCCATTGAAAGAGAGATTTTGTCCTGTCGAATCTGGTGCTGGTTCGTTTCAGCCTCGTGCTTTAAATCCTTGAGATGTTTTTTGTATTTAGCCTCTAGATCTTTGTATAAAATGTGAAGCAGGTTAAGTTCTTACCTGAGTCCTGAAACCTCTCTTTCGCTGCTAGAACTCAGTTCTCTGTATGAACTTTTGGCTTCATTTAATTCATCCTTCAACATTGTCAATCAGAAATGTGATTTTTTGGGACATTTCTTTCGTCTTATTGTCCTTTTCGTCTCTCCGTTCGGTTGGTTCCTCGGTCTCCTGCCTCACCAACGCAACGCCTCCTTCACACTGAGATCTCAGCTTCTCGTATGAAATCTTCAGTTCATCCAGTTCGTGTTGGAGGGCCTTACTTTTCTCCTGCTCAGCATGCATTTTGGCCACCATTCCTTCCAGGCTGTAGAAATGGTCCACCTTCTGTTATTTCGCTTTATTACTTTTGCAAGCTTCTTGTGAAGGCCTCAATAGGACAGTGTTTACAGCAGTGTGTACAGGCGGCTCAGAAATTAGTGAGAAATAAATAACTGTCGCACAAAAAGTTCAAACAGGTTTTAGTTTTATTTGTACAGCTTCTATAAAAGAAAGGTTGCTGACAAACAGCCCTCAGCATGTCATACTGCATCAGGAACTGGCATGAAAATCATCAGACACACGACAATGGAGAGTGTCAGGCCTGCCTAAGCTTTTTCTTCTTGTCCAGTCATCATCATAATAATAATAATAGTAATAAGAATAATAATACTGGTGGTCAGACTCTATCTCAGGCAGAAACTCACTGTGCTTGTTCACCATCTGTGCTTATCAGTTCATAATTGTTTGAACCCAAACTTCAACCATCTGTTACAGGAAGTGTTTCGTACAAAGCTGTGACTAGTCGTTTTCATATCAGTACCTAAAGCCAACATACACACACACGCACACACACACACAACTTTAAAGAAAAACCTGGAGATCTCCTTTGTTTATTATGACCTATAAGTACAGGTATGTGGGTTTTGATAACAGCAGAGAGGACAGGTCAACATGTCCGATTCATTTGATCTCATCAGAAATGTTGGCAGTAAATTTAAACAAAGGAAAATCTCCAGACAGGAAGGTGGGGAAAAAAAACAACAACAAAAAAAAACACTTTCTCGTTCAAAGCAAAATCTGTCTCTCCACATATTAAAGGATAAGTTCACACATTAGCATAACTTGATTTTCTCATGGCAACTCGATCTCTTCTCAAGGCATTTCAAATATCCTCTTTACGGATCCAAACAGGCAGATTATTTTTAAAATCGTAAAGTTTTCCAATGTGTGGCTTCGTTTTATGGAGAAGTACCAACAAAAAGCCAAAGCAGTGAACCCATGGCGAGAGAATCTTCAAGTATTCAAGTGAATTTTATGAACATACAAGTTATTTGGAGTTTTTGGTGAACCTATCCTTTAAAAATAATAATAACAATAATTTCCGGAATTTACAAATAGAAAATATTATAAAACAAACCACGTGAATCAACATCAAGGCACTGGACACGTTGGAGACGATGGCACGTTGCTGGTATGCAGACAAATGGGGGGACAAGAAAAAGGGGAGGAGGAGGAGGGCGGAGTGGTCAAGGCCCTGTGTAACATTACATTTAAGTGCTGGCAGTATTTGTACCATCATGATGAAGTTAATAAATCGCACCAAGAACTGAGCTAAGAAGACATTTTTACCACAGGAGACTTTTGGTCTTTTTCTGGGAATCTGGAAACCGTGCAACTCTGAATTGTAAAGTGTGCAAACGCGCACAACCGGGTGGTTCACATGGAGAGGTCAAAGTGCAGGAGGCTGCGGAACAAAACGCATTAATGTACATGATCATCTCATAATTCGTCCACATCTGCACAAATACTGCGTTCCATCGACGGGTACATCCCTCAACGAATCAGTTCACACAGCATCTGAACCAATAAAATGCCCATACCGACATTTAGCTGGTGTTCTACGCTAATCATTGTTATTTTGTTTGTCTGCTGTTTTTTCCCCAGGTGTCAATTTCTTTTCACCTTTAAGGAGAACATTGAAAGTTTGAAGACATTAAAGTCAGGTAGCAACCGCGTCTTTCTCCTGTCTCAACAGATCTGCTGGTGAAGACATTTTAGGCGATTCACTTGGATCACATTCTGTTTTCTACCAGAATAAAGAATTTCCTGCTAGAAAACACAAGAGTTTCCCATATAAGAACTCTTAGGACTTTACACACTAAGATCTGCTAAGAAATGTCACTATGCTATTTTGGAAGTCTAGTACCTTCATCCTGAATCGTTATTATACCCGTAATTCTGTGGAAAGTATTTTTCTAAGGAAAGTATTTTGAATGATTTTTTTAAGATGACAACATCTTAACAAATCCCAAATATTCTTATTGCTGTTGGATATTTTTTCAAATCTCAACATTACACCCTATTCTCATTTACTTCGGTTTTGACCAGATGACTCTGCTGAAATACGACGGATTGTAAAACCAGATTTAACAACTAGATGCTCTTCTGTTAGCTCATATTAATATTAAATGAATTGCATTTCCTTGCAGTAGACTATAGGTAAAGAAAATGGCCTTAAAAAGTTGGTTGGCATGACAGGGTTTCACATTAATATATTAGATTGTTTAATAAAATGGCTCCCATCTTCTCGTCGAGGCAAATCAAGTTGATAATATTATGCAAGCTAAGAGCAGTTTATGTGTTTTGTTTAAAACAGCGATAATATTCGCAATTTTTGCAATATGGCTAGCATTAGCTGGTGTAACAAAATGGCTGGCATCTTGTGGCTGGGCCAAATCTAGTTGCTAATGCTAAGTAGGCTAACAGATGACAGTGTCAATAAGACTGTTTCAAAGAGTTTTGTTTGAAGCAGTTATCAGTGTTCACAAAATGGCTGCCATTGGCTGCCATTAGCTGGTTCTGTGTCACGGAAACCGTTCTCTGTTCAGGAAAACATATTTTAGCAAAAGCGGTGAGTGATGGGATTTTATTCGGGCAAACAAAGAAGCTCGTACGTTGCTTACTGTAACACAGAGTAGCATTTTTGTTAGCTGCCAAAGAATTCAACTAAAATCAACTAGAAAATCAAAGTCTTCACCAGAGCAGGGACACAGGCACTTACTTATTTAGAGAGAGATCAGACTGGGCAGCATGAGAAACAGGAAAACCTCCAGTCTCACTCCAAAAGACTGAGAGTTGGTAACACATTTATGTCAGACCTTGTAAAAACTTTCATTTTGGGTTGAATCCAATGATGTGCGTGACTTTTTCTGTTGGTGGAACTGAGATGTACCCGTTCTCTCTCTTTCTCCTGGTGAACATTAAACTACCAAGCCTCTCATTGAGGCTGTACTATTCACATTCTGGACACATTTCATCAAACCACACAGCCAACTCCACACTTGTGCTTTTAAGCTGGTAAAACATTTCAACAAGTACCTGCTCATGTAACCCTTCAGTACATGGGAATTATCTATGCATGGAAGTCAAATATTTGGTACAAGTTTTAAAAAACTCAAAACTACACTGGAATTTCTTAATAATCTTAATTGTGTACAAACAATTAAAATGGCTTAAAAAAAAGAAGAAAGAAACCTTGTCTTAGAGAAGCATGGCTTTGCCATGCAGATGCTAAGTACCGAGGTTAGTTTACACTGAAGCACCCGAGAGCGTAAGAACCAACTGCGGCGTCAGTCGGTGTAAGCGTGCAGACCGGCACTGAAGCCGTTCCTGATGGAGCTCTCCTTGTTGGCGGACTGAGCGAGCCGGCCGGCCGCAGGCGCCGGTCCAGGGAAGAAACAAAGAAGAGCCGCCGGACGTCCTGCTCCGAGTCAGAGGAGAGGAACCGTCCGCAGGCGCAATGTGAAGATGTGGAGCCCCAAGGGTTCACTGTGTAACAGCTGGACTACATCATCTGTTTAACAAAAAACCAATACTAAAAAAAATACTACTTCTTAATATTCATTTCAATCAAGTCTGAATGTTCAGGAAAGTTAAGCAAGTCGTCTTATTGCTTTTAAACTGACATGCGTTTCAGCTATCGGCTCCCAAACTGCATCCGTTAGCCGTTTGTGTTTCCACTGTCGGACTGAAAGATGTGACACAATATAAGGGTTTCATATTAATCAATAATTAATGATTTTTTGGGGGGTCTTAAATAGGTGAAATATTGCCAAACTGGTGCCATTCACAATTTCCTCTCCAGCTTTTTCTCTTTGCAATGCAAGCTGTTAATTTTTATATTTAAGCAGTGAGACAAAGGGGTGAAACATGAAACTGCTGGTGCGCAAGTTATTTCATAGGTTTTTGCTTGGTAACCAAAGAGTAAGTGTGTTTGTTGATGTCATCAACTGTGCTTCGCTGGCCAGCTAAAGCCTTTCCTCTGCCTACATTCCCCAGAATGCTGCTCACTTCTCAGCCGGAGCTCAATGAAAGGCTTGAAAATTCTACTGGATGTATAGGATATTGATCAAGTGTTTATCACGGTATGTTATTCATTTATTGCCCAGAATCAAACCAAGAAAAAAAAGCTGAATGATTTCATTGATTTCAGATTTTTTCATAGCACTTACAGTTTCAAAGCTGAGTAAAGTCAGTGTAGAACTGTAAAACTGTAGAGAAATTTTAAATGAATTGTTCCAATTCTGGCATTCCGTTTAGCCACCAGGTGGATGAAACTAAAAAGTTTTTATTTTCAGGAAGAAAATTTTAACTGTGAAGTAATTACACTTAAAAAGTATGTAAAGTTGTAACAAGAACTAAAGTCTTCCTGTGCAGACGAGTAGAAAGATCTCCAACCTGAACCTTAGCAGCTGATTGCTTTAGTTGCTAGTGAAACAGAACTAAAGTCGCTCCGATTCGAGGGAAATTTGTAATATTCACAAAATTGTAATAATTAAAGCTTGCTTTCGGCTTTTAGCCCTAAAATTTGACAATTAAATGAACTGTAGGGTGTTACAATTGTTTTCGCTTGGATTTCAAAACACAAAACAATAGTATAAAGCCCTGACAGGAGAAGACCAAGCTTCTTTTCTTCTCATATTCGACTGATGTTAGTGAATGTGTTTGAATATTGACAATGTAAAACCCAGAGATTGGCCACAGAACAGCCCCAGGAACCTGAAAGCAGCTCCTACAGCGGAAACACAGATAATGGTGCAATGACCAATCGACATTCTATTTCAAACAGATTTATACATTTCTCTTTTTTTTTTTTAAGCGATAATTTTTTTTTCAATAATCTAAAACTTGAAAGTCAAGACGGTTCAATTTTGATTTAACTTTTTCATGAGGCGTGAAAAGTTGATCATGTTTCTCACAAAATCCCAAGAACAGCTAAACAAGACCTGGATGTTAGGAGAAAAGATTTAAAATAAATGTTAGTCTGTAATAGATTCAGACAAGTATGATTCATTAGAAAAAGAAAAAGAAAAGCCAATGAAATTATTATAAATTATTTAAAGAATAAATTAGAAATTATTTTCTGAGATTATTATTTTATATATATATTTTGTAATATCTGTAAATGATGATTGTAAAGTTGCTTGTTTCCGTAACACTGAATCCCTTGGAGCTCCATGCTGACCAACGTCCCACTCTGCTTGGCAGGAGCGCCGTTCTGCTGAGGAGTCCGGGTGACCAGCTTGAGGTAAGAATCATCAAAACGTTTCAGAGTCCTCTGAGTCGTTCTCAGTAGTTCCCTCGCTGGAAGGTCCCGAGGGGTTCCTGGGGCTGCGGGGTCCCCGAGGGCCGGCGGCCACGCCTTTACCCCCCTGGTGGGGCAGCTGCCTCAGCAGGGAGCCTGGGGAGGGAGCTCCAGAGCTGCAAGGGGAGCAGAAAGGCATCATGGTAGCCAGAATGAGAGCCAGACAGTCAGCCACCTCTCTGCTAGGAGCACAAGCCAGAGCAGGGGTCAGACCTGAGGCAGAGAGACAGAGCAGAGAGGAAGAGGAGCAGGAGGAGGAGGAAGGAGACAAGGAGATGTGGAGGAAGCGAGGGAGGCGAAGCAGAAGACAAAGATGGAGCAGCATTCCATTAGTCTCCAGCCAGCTGACAGGTGGAGCAAAGAGAAGGGAGAACACTGAAGACAGGAACGAGAATCAGTCAGGGCTGGACGGACTGAGGGACCACTAAAGAAGGTTTCAGATTGTAGCCAGGGACGCGAGTTATTGATTAATGACCTGATCCAAAGATGAGCAACTCATGATTAATTGATCAGCAGCCATTTGCTTTAAAACCTAAGTTTTCTCTCTTATGAAGAGGCCCAACCGTCTTTTCATAACATGGACGGCGACATTTTCTGAAACATGCTGAATTACAAACAGGAAATCATAATTAAAGTTGAACATTTGTTAGAGTCATCTGTGTTAAATCCTGACTGAATCAATAGGTAACTCAGTCATTATTAATCTTAGACATTATGGTCATTCATGTTGATTTTTTTTCCAAATCACAAGTTCTATCAATTTCATTTTTCTTTGAGCTGCTAGAATATAGTTAAGTTAGTTTGGAACCGAAATCTGTAATAAATTTTTATATTTGAAAATGTTCCGATTACTTTGGAAACGTTTAAACCCTCCCATTCATTCAAGAGATGAAGACCCCGCCAGGGACGGGGTAGATTTGTTTGTCGAATCTCCGGTGTGATGACGGGCATTTTTGTTTTTTGCCACTTTTTGAACTTGTCTGTCAGTCTTAGTTAACTTTCGTTTTCATAGAGGCTGTTCGTACTTTTGCTAGAAAATATGAAAAACTTCAAATATTTTTTCAAACAATCAAGTCGGAAGTGCGTTCAAGAAGCAAACGCCTGATGTCGCCAGAATAATTTTGGTTTTGGAGCTCAGAAGATTGTGAGTAGAAAAATAAAAGATGAAAAAAAAAGATATTTGAAACACTAAATATATTTTAAAACAGAACCGAGAAAATGCGTTTTGCATCTCAAACTGAACTCTGGTTGGACTGTTTTTCTTTCCCGTTCCGAATTCAAACTGTTGATTTGGACTTTGATCGACAATTTGGGTTTTAAAAACAGCGACAACCAGCCCTGACCAGAAAACGTATTAAGTAGAGGACACAGCAAGTCGACAGGCAACCTGAACCGTTCAGTCACAGCTCCCACCATCTGAATGCAAATGAAAGCATTTAGTATCACAACCCTTTAGAAAGAAAAATGGTTATTATGAGCCAAAAATCTTATAAAATATTCATCCTGGCTTTCGCAATCAATACGCTCCAGAAGAGATGCTTTAAAATTAAGGATAAGATCGGTATTGGCTGAAGTCAGGCAGTTATTAATATATCGATACAGGTCCTATAAATCAAACTACACTGATATTAACACCCGATATTTCTATTTTGTGACTGATCTGATCTGGTTCGGGAGGGGTGACAGTGACAGTGATGCACCAAAGGATTATGGGGAATTTAACTGAAGCAAAGACACATTGATGAAATCAAAATGAACTAGAAATGTTTATGATATTGATGTATATCACTTATTGGCAATATTAATATCGACCCAATTTTTTATATTATTGCATCCCTAGTTAAAATCTTTTCAAAGAGCTGAGACAGAAATATAGGAGAGTTGCTACAATTATAAAAAGAAAGAAAATGTACAATAAATTTTGCCTGAAAAAACACAAAATCTTAAGTAATTTTGATATAGTTTCTGGTGCAAATATCTAAATACACTTGTAGTAAGACTAAACTAATTTATAAGTAACTTTCCATAAAAGCTTGTTTTAAGCTAATAATTCCTTAATATTGATGAAAAAGTACTAGATCCACTAGTAGATTATTTCACTGATAGATATTTTTCTTATAAGTGAAATAATCTGTCAGAGCAACTCGTACTCTTTCATCAATATTAAGAAGTTATTCACTTAAAACAAGCTCCTGTATCTTGCTGAAAAGTTACTTATAAGTTAGTTTTCTCTTCAATTTTCACTAGAAACTCGACCAAAAACAGGTAGTAAAATGTTGTGCTCTTGCAGTGTAAGCCTGTAATGTACATGGACACGTCAACCCAGTGGGAGCTGCTGTTAAAAGTGGAGCATCTGCAGAGCAGAGAGAAAGTCGTTTCCAAACCCCTCAGCAGTACAGCGAGCGCAGTTCATGCTGCAGGAGAGAGAAGCGTTCATGCAGAGCAGCAATGATGGCGGAAAGCTGGTCATCCTACCATTCTCATCGGCCGTCTGGACATTGGCTCCTCTGGACAGCAGATCCTGGACCGCCTTCTTCAGGCCGCTGCGGGCAGCCAGGTGGAGCGGACTGACGGAGACAGACAGGTTCACACTGACATCGCTTCAATGGATCATATCACGCTGCTGCCCAGGCCAGAAAGAAAACAACTTTTTCCCTTTGTAACTTCTCTTCCAGACACACCAAACCAGGGACAATTCCACAACATTTAAGTTTTGTTTTATATACACTTTCTATAAATTCATAATCCTACACATTTTAGCAATATATAAAGTCTAACCTGGTGGTGTGCCACGCAAAAGTATTTACACCTTGTGAACATTTTTAGCATTTTGTCTTTTTACAATCACAAGCCTCACTGCATTTTATTGGGATTATAATGTCATAAACAAACACAAAGTATTGAGTGATTGAGACTATTTACAGATAAAGAGTTAAAAGCAATGTGTAATACATATGTTTTCATCCCCCTTCACTCTGATACCACTAAATAAAATCTACAGTGAAAGCAATTTGTCCTGCAAACATTCCTCTAAAATACATAAAGTTGTAGTATGACAAAAGCCTTGTCCAAAATGTAAACATATTTTTATAAAAACAAATATCTCCACCATATTGTTTAAAAAGCATGATATCATGCACATGGGATTGGTTTCAATTTTCATCCACACGAACCCGCACAACCATGCCAAACACATAGGGCGCAGAGTAGCGCAAAGCTAAAACCTGTTAGCCAATACAAGTCATTCAAAACCAAAATGACTTCCTGTTAGGAATGAAAACATGGTGCCAGATATATAGGTTGAGCTACTTTCAAATAGTGTATTAGATTACAAAAGTTACTAAAGCACGAGATGATGTGTATTGTTAATACAACATCAAAATAAACAGAATGCATTTCGTAATATATCCCTTGTAGATAATTCATACATTTAGCTTCATTTTTATCCAGCTTCTTAGACACTCACGTTTGCAGTGCTGCATTTGTGGCATTTATGAGTGAAGAGTCAGACATCTTCTCCATGATCAACAACACACAGTCTTCTTTCCCCTGAAACCAGAACATGCTACAAGTCAGGAGGAAAAAATGACACTTCAGATAAGCAGAGTGAAAACACATCAATTTTCTCATTAAATCTCCCAGTCAAAGCATTTTAAATGATCAGTTTTGGGGACAACTGACTAAACTCGTGTCATAAAACTCAGTTTTTGTGCTTTAAATTAAAAAATCACAGCCCGTTTTCCTCTGCACAGTTTGCGTAACTCCTTTAAAGGCCGAGTACATTACTCTTTTCCAAATAAATCTGAGTGTTTTTCAGCTTTCCTAATGCATGCACATGTGTAGTGAAAGATTACTGAATCTGTGACTGTCAGCGTGGAGGAGAGCTGTGCAGAAAGCAGATGAAACACGCAGCCATTAAGTGTTATGACAATCAAAGACAAAAAATATATACATTTATAAGCAAAAAGAAAAATTTTTTATCCAATTTTTGTCTATTTTTTCTATATATATATATACTGTCGGACACAAACTGAATTACAAAAAACTCATGTCAAAACAGAAAGCAATTGCACTAAAGTTAGCATGTCACATTAGCAAATACTAAAGCTATGCACTTACATTTCTGCAAGCCAGATGAAGCGCAGTGTTGCCATCTTTGTCTGTTAGACTGAGGTTGGCGTTAGCACTGGTCAACAGCAAGTCTGCAAGAGAGCCATGTTAATATGCAGCTAAAACAACCAGACTGACTGCTGGGAAGGTTTTTCAATGGAGTCAAGTAGTCATTTTCCACTGGCACCTGCTCAGCAAGGCTCAACTTGACTCTATGTAGTTACAGATTTTCTCTAAGTTTAAATTAAAAACTTGAAAAATTAAAAATCAGAAGAAAAAAAATCACCAAAAGAAATGAAACAAAAAAAAAGGTTTTTAGAATTAAAACCTAGAGAGAAAACTCTTGGTTTTCCTCTAGAAGTTACATGGTAACAGTTTTTATCCAACCCATGTTATCATCACAGGCCTAGTAGTTTCTCAACTCTATCTCAAAACAGATTTGGTTTTGATTTCGAATGATAATTTTTGCACCTTTAAGAAAAATCCAAATAAATCATGTTCATATGTTATTAAAGCATTTTGTAGACACCTCTAAACTTTGTCAACATTCTTTCTGAAGTTTGAAAAAAATAATAGAAAGGAATAAACACAAAAATACTTAAAAGGTCTGAAATTGGACGATCTGTTTACTTGGTATTGGACTGATACCAACATATAAAATATTGAACAGCAATAATGTGCGTCATGTACACATATGTTGTCATACTTCTTGGACTCTGGGGTCATCTATGAAGACCCTGCCCCCTTACACCTGTTAATCTTCTATAATGGAAAACCAGAACTGTGCAGAGTTTAGTTGAGTCAAGCTGCTAGGTGGAAAAGAACCAAAACAGGAATCATCACCGAGAGCTTCAGCCCGGCCCTTCTCAGCTGCCATCATGAGTGCAGTGCGGCCTGACTGGTCTGCAGTGTCCACAGGTGCATCATGGGAAAGGAGCAGCTGGATGCAGTCTACGTGGGCGCTGAACGCTGCAGCGTGGAGAGGAGTCCTGCGGGAGTAAAAAGCTGTGATGCAGCACAGACTGATGGTGCTGCAGCACCAGTGCTTTCACACCGACGTCTTACCTGCCCTTAGCATCACTGCAGCTAGCGATGTCTGACCCCATGGCCTCCAGCAGCAGCGACGCGCACGGCTCATGATCGTTCAACCTGGCAATTTAAGCATTGACACAAGCTCCGGCATGAAGAACGCACAAATGGCAAAACAAGAGAGCCGAAGTGAGTCAGCAGACACTTACACTGCGCAGTGTAGAGGAGTGAACGGATTGCCATCGATGCACCGGCAGCCTTTCTGCTCCAGCAGAACCTCCACACACCCTTCATGGCCTGGAAACACACACTCATCGTCAGCGCTGACCAGTGGAGTTTATTTATCTGGGTTTATTGTTTCATTTGTGGAAATTTATTCAGTAAAAAGTCTGTCCCCTTTTTAATAAACCTGCATGTTTTGAACATTTTAACTTCAAATTAACCTACACAGTTGAATAATGTTTTGGAAAACAATACTTCTGCACAGTTGGAATAATTGCCTAATTTTGGCTGATTTAGCTTAAAAACATTCTTAGTTCTTAGTTCCTGACAGTTAACCAGTGGACTCAACCTTCTTCCAGCAGAGGTTGGGTCAGACACTAACCGTAGTAGCAGGCCCAGTGCAGAGGTGTGTACCCGGCATGGTCTCTTAGTGGAGGCAGAGAGGGCGACTCTGAGCAGGCGATGCTCAGAAGCTCGCTCAGCCAGGAGGCGTGGCCTCGCGCGGCGGCCAGGTGGATGGCGGTGCGACCTCGAGAGTCTCCTAGCAACACTGAGGCCTCTTGCTCCAGCAAACACTGGATGCACTCCTCCTGACCACACAGCAGCTGGGACGGACAGAGAGCAGGTCAGAGTGTAACTGCACAGGAACAGTCACATGATCATCAACAGCAAGTCTGACAGATTGATTCATGACAGGAATCGGCCAGCTCAGCGCTCTGCAACCTGCGGCTCCGGGGCCACAAGTGGCCCTGTGGATCTTTCACAGTGAAAATAATAATTTCCAATTTGCAAATACAATAAAAAACCTTGTCCATAATTACGTTTGACACAGAACTCCTCAAGTGCCATTTTTAGCTTCACCTGGTTCAAATTGTTGAAAACAAATCTCGTATAATTAGATGTTGCACTGAACTTTTCAAACGATGTTTGAAGGATTATTTAGCTGAAGATGAATCCTTTGCAACAAAAGTGTACACCAAAGGAATGCTATTATTACATTTTGGGCAGTAAAATGTTTATTTTGCTTTTTTAAAAAGAATTGTAGTATTTGCAGAGCCCTATGACAGAGACTCACCCCGAGGTGGAGGGCTGTGAGGCCGTGGCTGTCAGCCACGTTGACGTTGGCTTCCCGCTCCAGCAGTAGCGACACGGCGTCGACATGACCTCCAGCCACCGCCAGCATCAGAGGAGTCCTACAGGAAACAAGGGCGACACTTCCTTAAAGCAACAGACACAAAAATAATGCAGGAAGGCAGAAGGGAGGAGCACAACTCACTGTCCCTGAGAGTCAGCGGCATCAATAAGCTCCGCACCATCTGATTCATCCAGCAGGAGGCGCACACATGTTGTATGGCCGTTCATCACTGAAGAGAGAGGAGCAGACGTTAATGGCTGGTCAGCTGACTAACTCTTGAATAGTGGGACGAAAACTAAATCCAAACAAGATAAAAATGTCATAACCATGATTTAGACTTGTTTGCAGCGCCACACTATTCCCTCTAAATAAAAGGCGATTTGATCAAAAATATAAAATTTAACTTGAACTCTATTCATGACTGTTAACCCACCTGCCAGGTGAACAGGTGAACGACCGTACTGCTGGTCACTAGAGTGTGGCGACGCCCCCTGGCTGAGGAGCGTGTGAACGCAGTCGGTGTGGCCCCGTAGGGCGGCCAGGGCCAGAGGGGTCCGTCCTGCCTCGTCTGCCTGGTCCACGTCCCTCTCCCCCTGCAGCAGGACCTCCAGAGCCTGTGCATGACCGTGGTACGCCTGACAGAAAAACAAGCTCAGAGTCAAAAATGTCAACCAAATGGGGTTTTTTTCGAAGAGTTTTTGCAGCACTGGTGGCTCGTATTTTTTGCGACAGTAGGCAGGCAGGAAGGAGGGTGAGGACATGAGGCGGGGGTCGAACCCCCGACGTCTGTGTCGAAGACTGGGGAGTCCAAGTGTGGTGCATGCTAACCCCCTGTGCCACCACAATAATAATCATTTTGCTGACATTGTACTTAAAGCAGAGAAACCCAATAGAGATGATGTATTAAATCATTTGTCATTACTAATGTTACTTGAAAAATGACCTTACGGAACATCTTTGCTTATAACACATGACATTATGTGGATTACAGTAAAGTGCAGTAGGAGAAGAGGAGACTTACAGCGAGGTGCAGAGGGCTCCTGGCATGAGGAGACTCAGGATCTTCTTGAGGTCCATCATCTCTGTTCAGCAGCTGCAGGTCACAACAAAATCAACATGAGACCCGGCTGGCTGGCCTCACAAAGCCATCACAGGGGATTAAAGGATATTTATGGAGGTGTGGAAGTTTTAATCACTTTTACTTATCAGAATATTTAAACAATATCTCAATCATCAAACTGCGGCCGAGGGTGTCCTGGTGCCAAGTGGACCAGGACACCCTTTATGGCTGAACATGGTGCTGTTTCTGTCGCCGGTCATGCTTTTCTTAATTTCAGCGATTTCTTCTCTGAGCAGTCTTACTGTTTCACACAGCTCTGACACCCTTGAATTGATGGGTGCAGATTTTTTATTGGTTTTCCGCTTCACCATTTCAGCTGACTGTCCTTGGATTGCCAAACTGGCGTTAGGCGCAGCCTTGTTTAACTGCCTGATCTGCATTTCTGTTTGTAGCTGGAATTTTGGTGTTGTAGGTTTTCCTCTGTTTGGACTGTCATTCTGAAACTACACACTTGCAGCCTCATTCATCTTTTCAATAAGAGTCTCATCTGTCACAGTTTGATTGTCAAGGTAAGACAATCAAAGCTGAAACTTTATGTTTAACAGTCCAGTTCTGACTGACCTCAGGACTTTCATCTGAATCAAGTCGGCGCTGTACTGCTCATCTGCATCAACTTCCCTTGAAGCAAGCAGCAGCCTCTCTTTCAGTTCAATTGCCCTAAAGAAGAAATTCTGGGGGGATTCACAACTGTCCTGTGTGATATTTATCCATCTTTGATAAATATCAGCAGAGCTATACTCTTTTAAGTGTCCCTTTAAAATCGCTTTGAGCTGCACGTCACAACAATTTCAAGCATCTCACAAATGCTTACCCCAGGGCTGACTGATTTTTTTCAGCTTCTATTACTTCTTCATCACTATTAGCTTTACTCAGGCCTCTCTCAATCTGATGCATCAATTTTGTGTATGAGAGCCTGTCTTTTTGACCCTTTCTTTGCTCAACTTCATTCCGCCATGTATATCCTACGAACAGACAACCAGAGAGCCCGAAGAAGAGTACAAACCAAAAAAATATGCTCCTGGTAAAACAGTGCCCCTTGTGGATGGACATGTAATAGAACTAAACAAAAGAGTAACAGTTGTACAACATGAAAAGAAAAACTTGAGAAATGATGAACAATCTCTTTAATTATAGCTTAAGCTTTATTAATATTGGCATTTTGTATTCTAAGATGTTTTACTTTGGCCATGTTCCAGGTCAGGTTTTTTTTTGTGTGCGTGCGTGCGTGTGTGTGGATGGACCAACCAGTTCCAGACAGTGCCTGTGTCCAAAGGCGGCAGCGTAATGGACAGGACTGTAGCCCTGTTTGTCTTTGACTGAGGCCATCGCTCCACTCTGCAGCAGGAACTCCAAACATCTGCAACACAAACACAGAGCCTCAGCGGAGGAAGCAACTGGCGGCAGACATCCAACATGTCCGAACATTTCCCTCACAGTGCAGCCTCCTTCTCCCTCTCCGCTTGCACTCCCTCGCTCTCTGGCTCCAGGGCAACACGCCGCCTGTGGAGGGGTTGAAGGTAAAACACGGGATGTTAGCATAAATGGCGTCATCTCACCACTTATTTTACAGCATTATTACCAGCATACTCTAAAACATGTGTCGAACTGTAGAATTGGGGGCCAAATGTGGCCCGCCACAGCTTTTTAAATAGAACTCTCTAGATAACTGTTGTGTGGGATGTCTTTTTGGCTTCTGAGAAGTAAAACGAAAATGAAAAAAATGGACGGTACAGCATGAGCCTACCGTTTAGGAATGGAATGAGGTTATTTACAAGATGGAAAAAAATAACATTTCTGTGAATTTACAGATGGACATTATTGCTGAACATTGGGAGAATTATGACACAAAATGTATGTCTATGGTTATTTGACGGAAATGAAGAACTAAGTACATTAGTTTTCAAAAATCTTAATTATTATCTCTTTCAGTTTAAGTTAAACGTTGCTACATGTTAATGTTCCCTCATTAATTTTCACTAGAAAATAATGTACATGTTAAAAGAGGAAAAAACATATGATCTTGTTGATCTTTTGCTCTTTCAATTTTCTTTTTTTGGATTGATCTAGATCTAATTATATTATAACTAAAGAGTAATGATTGTCTGTTTCCACCGACGGAGAAAAGATTTTTTTAACATTGGGTTCGGCATGATAAATAAAACTGGGCAGATATAAACAACAAATATTATGTTGCTGCCTGTTTCTGGTTATTTATGGATTTTTTTCAAAGATGTAGAAAGAATAGAGTACTGTATATAACGTTGGTAAATATAAGTTATAGGCTGTAGCAACAATATTAATATTGGCCAAACATCCTAATCAGATAATCAGAACACATCTTGTGGACCGGCCTGGTGTGTGGTACCATGTTGCCTGAGCAATGAGTCAGAAACAGCTCTGTACCAGCTCACCTTCTGTCCAGGTCTGAGGCAGCAGCATAGTGCAGGGCAGAGCGCCCCCACTGGTCGGTCGCATTAATATCAATGCCAGAAGCGACCAGAGTCTCCAGACACTGAAAGTGACGGCTGGCTGCCGCATAATGAAGCGGAGTCCTGAGAAACACGGAGACCAACGCATTAAAGCGACACCAGCAGAAACATTCCCATAAGAAAAAAAAGGAAACAAGACCCAATCTGAGGCAACAACAAGTCAACATGAGATAATTTAAGACTGAAGGCTCAGTGCTTCCTACCTGCCACATTTGTCTCTGCGGTTGTGTTCCCCCCCACTGCTCAGCAGCAGTTTGACACAGTCCACATTACTGCGCAGAAACAGAAACAAGAACATGGTTAGTGGAAATGCGTGGTTAATGTGTATAAAGGTTTGGATTATTTTCATTTTGGTGTTTAAAATAACATTCCACATAACTTTATATTTTGGTTGGCTGGTTTGTTTGATCTGTTGAGCCGCCTTTTTACTTGGTTACTTTTTTCTACTTTACTTGAATGAAAATAATTCTGCCACAATATCAGATGAATTTATGAAGTTCAAAGCGGCCCAATCTGTGGCGTATTGGCACTCACCCTCCAGCAGCGGCTGCATGTAGGCACGTTCTTCCGAGGCTGTCCGGGGTGTCTATCTGGAAGCCTGCGGACAGGACCGAGTCGTTACACATTATGCTAAACCTCCGACCTGAAGGGGGCGGCACAGGGAGACGCAGGGAGGCCAGACAACAGGCGGGCATGGAGAGAAAGACAGGTGTTAGTGTGACAGGAGGGGGGAAACGAGGCTCACGTGATCATACAGGTGGACAGATATAAGCCGGATGTTAACACAGATGACAGAACGTGATGCCTTCAGGTTACATATATAGTCAGACAGTTGGAGCAGATCAGAACCGGTAGAGACATTGAACCGGAGATCTGAACGCAACGCTCAGGAAGAAGGAGGCAGAAACAACACGCAACAACAACAAAATTTGTAAAAATGCACGCGGGGTCAGTGCGACCCCGCAGGAGAACCAAGCATAGATTAAAAAGCTTGCGAGGTCCAAATTCACCCGGAGACCACGAGAAGGTTAAGTCAGAGAGTTGACACACTGGTAGACAGGAGGAGTGAAGACAGGAAGAAGGGAAATGCTTGATTATGTTTTAGCACAAGCTGAGCTCCAATTACTTTGAGAACTTGCGTTTTGCTTCAACATCTTAGTCATTCTGAAACACGTTCAGACACGTTTAAGACAAGAAAGCATCTGTTTCTCTCTTCCATCTGCTTCTGTGTTCCACTTTAGAATGTAATGAACTATGCACCACGGTGTAAAACACCAGGTTTCATCCCAGCCCCACATGCAGTGCCTTCCAAAAGTATTTACAACCCCTCAACCTTTTCTCATTCTAACCTGTTACAACCACAACACACCTCAGGGTGTGTTAATAGGATTTTATATGACAAAACAAGAAGCAGCAAATATATGCGGAGTGGAAAGTAAAATAAAGTGACAGGCAGTCGGAGAAATGGGAAGTTTGGCACAATTCTCTAGCCATATTTCCATCCAGTTGTCATGCAAATTTTGGGCATCCATTTAATATGTCACAAAAAATCTAATTACGCATATTTCCATCTATAGCTTTGGAACCAATGATGGGAAGAAAAAAATTATTTAGTGTAATAGAGAAAGTCCACCCCTCTGAGCCGGCGGTTTGGACACAAACATTTTCTGAGTTTCATGCCTCTGGTAAATCACAAACCCATTTGACAAACGCGTTTTCATCTCTCCATTCCACAGAACTGAGTGACTGTAAAGACCTGAAGAAAATCTCCTGAAATGATTCAGTAAAAACTTTGAGCTCCACTTTTAACAGAGGGTAACAAAAGCAGCCCAACCAACCAGCAGCTGGACGGGTTAGAAATATAAATAGGTTCTTTGTGTTCACTTCCACAATATAGCTGAACCACATGATGAACCCTTGTTGTTTGTGTTCATCGCCTGCAGACACAACAAGCACTGGAATCTTGAAATCATCAAATTGTGTGACTCTGGAGCCAGAAGGTTTTCTGTTTTGACCTCTCTTCCAATTTCTCTATAATGTGCACAATATGGCCCCAAAAACAAAAAAAAAAACTCAGAAAGAGAACAACTTAATACATGGAAATGAGTTACTTGTTCTAAGAATGAGTGGAATCTGTCTCAGTAGCTGCATTTCCATTACAAATGTGCAGAAAACTTTGTCAATAAAATTATATATATACAGATATATATATATATATATATATATATATATATATATATATATATATATATATATATATAATCACAATTTTGCAATCGCGGGATTTCCATTAAATAAGAAACGTAATTAAAATCAGATGTGAATAAGCTGGTTGACGCAATAAGTCATTAAAAACATCATCCTACAAATACTTCCTGTTGTCTTCTTCGTCTTTTCCACCAGTGGTAACATCTGGTTGTTGACCAAGTGACTTGTGTGAAGGAAAAAATCATTTCCATTACAGTTTTGCGAAATACACTAATTGCTGCGCGTTTTTCTCCATATTTATCAGGATGTGAAGGATAAACTACCTGAAGACAGGAGCTTCCTGCAGCAGTCAGAGTGAGCGTTCAAGGCCGCTAGGTGGAGAGGAAACATCCCATGGACTCCTCGTCTTTACAAGACAGATTGACAGTATTTTTAATGATTAGAAACCTGCCCTGGTGATGAAAACACTTGCTGACAAGCAAACGTCACACCTTGTGCAGTCTGCTCCACTAGTGATGAGCGTGTTTATGAGGAGTTCGTGGCCGTAGCGGGCAGCAACGTGAAGCGGGGTGTTGCCATCCTTATCCACGCTGTCGATCTCTCCACCTGAAACAAAACGTGAACATGTGAATACAAAAGAGCAGCTTCAGAAAGGAAAGGACGATGAGTAGAATGACGACCAACCGTTCTGGATGAGGGTCTGTGAGCGGGTGAAACGACCATGAACCGCTGTCATGTGAAGAGGACTCTTCCCGTCTCGGCTCTGATTGAAAACAAAGCAAAAAGGATTCAGGATTTAACAGAACAGAACTTTATTTCAACAGGGCAGTCTGTCATCCATCCCTAGTAGCCTGGTTTTACCTGCACGTTAACATCAGCCCCATTGTTGACAAGGAACTCCAGACAGAGTGCTCCATGTGTGGAGGCAGCAGCGAAGTGCAGCGGGGTGAAGCCTTTGTTGTTGGGCTGGCTGACGTTGGCGCCGTAGTCGATCAGCTCACTGACGACAGCATCCTGGCCGTTGAAACAGGCGATGTGGAGCGCTGTGTTGCCGAAGGCGTTGGCCTCATCAATCTGTTGGTACACAGGAGGAAATGTGATCGTAATGGCAGGGATGGGTGACAGAACTGCTGACTTACAGCTACCTGCTAACTTGAAAAAAATTTGACTTTGTAATTCAACGCCTCTGTCTCTTTAAGAAACTCCTGCTTTTTCTGAAACTCTAGGTTCAGGAAACTCTCACAACATCATTCGTCTACTAACAATTTAACAATGTTTTTACCAGCGTTGCACTGACAAGTAGCTTGTGTTATGGGATAAGGAAATGATCCCATAATACATAATACTAGCCAGCAGCAATTAGCAGCATACTATATAATACTAACTGAGTGGGGAAGTGAAGGGAAGGGCTGCTCTGCGAGTTGGAAGCTCAGAAGCTTGGAAACTGCAGCTCAGAGGAGGAGCTTTCTCCTCAAAGGCGGAGCTAGGTCCACCCAGGCGTTTTGCACAGCTGCATGGTCACCATGGAGATTAAAGGATTTCTCAAACATCAATGAAAGAATCAAAGCAACACTTCAGGTATGTTTTAGTTGAGGGAATAACATAATGTAAAGCTAAAAAAAAAAGTCAAGTCAACACAAGCTTGACTTGAAGAATTATTGTAGATGTTTATATTCAGTTTACATCGGAGATGGAGCTTGTACATATCCAAAGCTTTGGGTTTAAAAGAGGTTTCTTGTTTACTGTAAATGTGTGAAATCCTGTAAATATGAACTGAAACACAGATTGGAAAGACTTTATCTGTAAAAAACCAGTCAATCTGCTCTGACGATCTGTCCTTACCTCAACAGTCAGGTTGAGCAGGTGTTTGACCACGGCCAGCTGTCCGCTGGACGCTGCAGCATGAAGAGGCGTGTACCCCCGCTTGTCCTTACAGCTGATCTCTGCACCTTGGGTCTCCAGCTGACGCACTACTTCCAAATGGCCTGCAGGGGGCAGCAGCACACAAACCAAGTCGCACCTGAATAATTCTGGGCATGAACCCTTTTTCAAACAGGAGTCAGATCCTGGAACATTCAGAATGATTCAACATTCATGCTCTGTTTTAGTTGAGAGGTCCACTACCTCCAGCCTTTGCTTTAGTTTGCAGACACAGCCTGCCACGCTGAGAACTAAAATGGAAGCACGTGATTGTGGTCATTTTTTGATTATCAGCAAAAAAAAGACACCAGGAAACTTAACTGAAAACTGACTTGAAAGCAGAAGATGGAGAGAAAAAAAGACCTCATTATGAGGATAATAGCATCAGAGATTAACGTCACCTCCTCTGAGACCAGCCTATTATAGACTAGCTTGTGTGAAACATGAATGCACAAAGTGACTATGCTGAAAAAAAAAAAACCCAGCTTCAGATTAAAAATTTGGTTATTATTTACTGCAGAATGAAGAGGCATGTATGTATATGTATATATATATATATATATATATATATATATATATATATATATATATATATATATATATATATATATATATATATATAATTTTTTTTATCTATTATTTCCAAAATGTATATTGTCTACATTTTTGCAACAACCAGCGTGTTTTCCTGTTTTCTCATTTTGAAATAATAGATTGAAGTCTTTAAAATATATAGCACAGTTTAACCTAATTAAATTGTTTCATATTTCTATTTGCAATTTTGGATTTGTGTCTAAGAAGGAATATAGTGTAAAGAGCATCGGAGGGAAATAATGGGAGGAAGAAAGGAGGAAAGACTATGAAACACTAAAAACAAAAAAATTTAAGTTTGCATTAAAAAACATATTAATATTAAGCTTTTTGTACATCTTGGACAGGAATATATGTGACATTTTGTCCTATAAGAAAGAGTTGACTTGGTCTCACCCATGAAAGCAGCCCAATGCAGCGCTCGGCCATCCTTCTTGTCGAAGGCGTTGATGTTCGCTCCTTTAGCAAGCAGAAGGTTCACCATCTGAGGGAAAGCAAGCAGAGAAGGAGGGATGGAGGACTTGTTGGTGGTTGTGAAGCAGAAGATTAATTTTAGCTCCGGCACATTTCTGAATGATTTCGTCAGAAACGAAAAGGTACCACCCACTTCAAACCCCACTGATACAGCTGCACTCGCCCACCTGTTTCCTCTATTCATCCAACCAGAATAGCAACGAAGGGCTGCTTACATCACAGCCTCCCTCTTCAGGAAAACTGCACTCGAAAAAGCTGCTGTAGTCTGGGCTCTGCCTGCAGTACCTCTGTGTGGCCGTTGAGGGCGGCATGGTGCAGCGCGGTCCGCCCGCCGCGGTCCGAAACGTTCACGCTGCTCAGAAGTGGGATGATGACCTCGGCGCACCTCAGAGCGTTGTTGGCGGCGGCGACATGCAGCGGCGTCTGCCAGTTCTTGTCCCGCGCGTTCACATCTGCAGAGTGTCGGATCAGAACCCGCACGGCATCCTGGAGGGGAAGGCAAGACAAAACAGACCGGAGGACGTCTTTAACCAAAGTCACTATGAAAAACAAGGGAGATGGTGAAGTTAAAGGAATACGTAGATTTATTAAGATTTGTTAAATGATGAGACAAAACGTTTCACTAGGCCTGTCGCAATAACCAATACATTTTTTTTTCTGTGTCTTTCTCTCACATTGTGAAAAAGTTCAATTGGTATGAAGAGTTTTTCGGTCAGACCAAGTAAAAGACTGTTACTATAGCTGCATTTCCTTTGACCATATAATTGTGAAATTTGACATTTGTAATATAAATTGGCTTAATGGAAACACTACAATTAAAAAGAAACTTGTTTTTCTATAAAGAGCTTTATATAGAGGTTGGTGGTGGGATGAGCTGTTTCTTTGTCAAAATAAGTTCATTAGTTCAAAAAAAGTTTTCATTTAATTACAATATAATTAAAATATTGGATATTGGGTTTTTGAAATGTTTTAAAAAATTGTGTTCATTTCATAAAACTGAAATGAATACCCTGATGCAAACCACAAAGAAGACGACAGGAAGTGGAAGGAGGAGGATGTTTTTAGCGACTTGATGGCAGTGAGGTTGTGTTTTTTCAACATTAGAGGAATATTAGCTGTTTCCATAACAAATGTGCGCTATATTCCACTGATGTAGTAAAGAAACAATTCCTCAATTTTATTTATATTAAATTTAGAAAAGCATTTAAACCACTTGTGAATATGGTTGATCTCGCCACAAGTCATTAAAAAACAAGCCATGCCTTCATCCATCAACTACTTCCTATTGTCGTCTTCTTCATAATTTGCACCAGTTGACCATATGCAAAAAAAAAAAAAAAAAAAAAAAAAACGATTTCATTACATTTTCGTGAAATAAAACATTTATTACACAGCAAGAACAACCACCTCATCCCAACGGCGAAACTTTTCATAAAAAAGGTTTTTCCCTAATTGCAGTAAAATTGTGCAATTATATGGTCAATGGAAATACAGTTAGTGACAAAGTCGTGTGAACTTCTGTAAGGGAAGCGCAGCTACTGTCTGAAGTGAAATCAGACTAAACTGTGTTTGTTTAAGAGAAGTTTAGTCTGATTTCTTTCCAAATTGTGAAAAAAGAAATTGTGTAAATCTTTTTACTTGATGTAGGTAAAGTCGTGGTTCTACCTGAGTGTGCCTGTGTGTGTGTGTGTGTGTGTGTGTGTGTGTGTGTGTGTGTGTGTGTGTGTGTGTGTGTGTGTGTGTGTGTGTGTGTGTGTGTGTGTGTGTGTGTGTGTGTGTATACACTCACCTCACTGCGGGATGCCACGGCGCGATGCAGAGGGGTAAGCCACATGTTATCTTTGGCATTGACTCTGGCCCCTGCAGCATGGAAACATTCATTTGAACACGGTGCTGCTGATCTGCACCTTCACACATCAATATGGCTCTCAGATGGAAGAACACACTGCAAAAACTACACCAGCCATGACGGCACATACACCACCAAGCTAAGGACAGACAAGTTTGTGTTTCCTTTTTATGTTGTCTCACATTTTAGATTAAAGCTGAGGCTAGTTTTCAGAAAGAGAAAGAAAAGGACAAACTTAGAGAAACACTTTCCACAGAAATTCTGTTACCAGATATGAAAATTGTGAAAATATTTGCAATTTAAAGTGAACATCAGAAGCTAAACTGAATGATGCAGAGAAGCTATCAGAGGATTTATGCTTCTGAGATCATTTAATAATAATAGTTTTCTTTCAGTATTTTAACTTCAGGTTCATATCGTAAATGAAAAAAGGCCCTTGCAACATATAACAGTAGATGAAAAATGTGAAAGATGAAGATCAGAGAGGATTTCTCACCAGAGAGGATGAGGAGCTCGATGATCTCTGCATCTCCCAGGAATGCTGCTGCATGCAGCGGGGTGCGTTTCTCTGGATCCTGCAGGAAAATCCACAACAAGTCAAGATGCAGCAGGTTCCAGAAAAACAAGCACCCCGACCTTCAGCTCAGGAGAAACCTCAGAGGGATTGACCTCTGGACCAACAGAATCATGCTGGACTCTGGGCAGAAAACAATCCACTTCTAATCACATAACCAGCCCAGAGCTGTACAAACTGCAGTCATGTTTGGTAGAATATTATGTTCCAAGTACCACATTATGGAAGTTGTGCATGTCAGTCATATTTTTACCCTGTTGGATAAACCTTCACAGCCCCTCATGCAAATATTTGATGTGTGTTTTTAAAGGACAGGATGTTGGGACGTTGTGATGAAGGTAAAAATGTGGGTTAACCACAATCGATAATATCAACATCATCATCATCATCATCACTATATTTACCAATAATAGCACAGCTGACCTGTGCTATTAGAAGCCTCTGAATCTGCTGTGTGCTAATAAATATTACACCTCTGTTTTTTTGGTGGAGTTTGTTTTTTTAGATGCACCAATTTGAAAACTTGGGCCGATATCAATATTTACATTATGGCTGATAACTGATATGTACCAATTTTATGTACCTTGCAGCGGGGAGAACAAGTATTTGATAGACTGCTGATTCAGCAGGTTTTCCCACTTGCAAAGCACGGAGAAGTCTTTCATTTTTACCATAGGTACTGTTCAACAGTCTGACTCCAAACTAAAAACCCAGAAAATACCCCTGAATGAATTTTCAGTAATTAACTATTCATTTAGAAAGTAAAAAGATTGTAATTTATTATCAGATTCAGAGTAACAGACCAAGAGGTAACCAGAAATCGGCGTCGGTCGGGTAAAACCTGATGGGTGTTGCTGTTGACTGTTTCAAGTTCACTTTTTGACAATGGGACATCACATATCAATTAACATTTACACATAAATGAGCTGCATGAGATTACAGCCAAAGGGCTAGTTTCCATCTCTAGTTCCACTGGTAGGTTGATGTACACTGAGTCCCTTTAAGTCTCGACAAAAAACCTGCCTGTTTAGAATTATATTCGGAAAGTGATCAATTATGAATTTAATGACACTTGACTGAATGTCATGTTTTGATTGTTGATTCTATGTTTGTTATGATGTAAAGCAGTTTGAAATGCCTTGCTGCTGAAATGTGCTATACAGATAAAATTTGATTGATTGATTGATTGATACGTGATGTTTAAAAATAAGAAAAAACAGCTTCAGATACTGCATCAAAAACTCATGAAGGAGAAAAGGTTCTAATTAAACAGTTCTTTGTCATTTGTAGTCTAAAAGGGTTCAATACGTTGAATAGCATTAGCATAGAGGTGCTAAAAATAGAAGTGCATACGGTATAGTTAAGCTATGCTATGCTAAACAGGCTAATTGTGTAACTAGAAAAAATAGTCAACGTAACAAACAAATCGACTACACAGTTTTCACATGCTAAACTGATTCATGTGTTTTATTTTGGGTAAATAAATAGTTTTATTGAAGTTTTGTCCTGCTGGTCACTGGAATCTAAGACTGCAGTTCATTTATTGCAGTTACGTTGTGCCACCCTTCAACAGTCTGTCCCCCTGCCTGGCCTCCGTAAGTAAAAAACCCAGACACGCCCCTGACTGAAACACATTCCAAGTGACATTAAGTTGCAGTTCAGAGGTGAATGTTTTAAAAAAAACTCTACCAATTAATAATAAAAAAAAAACTCTTAAAAGTCTAGCCTGAACCGTATTTCAGTTCTGCTCTTACAGACCAACCGAAACACTCATCACTGGGTCTGATGAAAAATCACAGAAACTCTGCTTTTTAAAAAAAAATCAACTCCTGTTCAAATGCAGTGTGGTAAAACGTGAAGTCAGGGTTCATAAATCATCTCTACATCATAACGAAACAGGAGTAAAGTGTCCCTGTAAACACGACAAAGACCTGTTTACCAGCGGGTTACAGAAACACGCTGCTCGTCCTCCAGCTCCAAACAAATCAGTTGCTATGACACCATTTCAGCAGTTTACATGGAGCAAAGTGTTAAGTGGAACAAAAAAAAAAGCTTCTGGTCCCACAAGAATGAGCTGCCGTTGCACATGGCGGGCTTACGGATCAGGAGTTTCAGCTGACGGACGTCCTGCTGGACATTCTGTCACAGAAACAAACTGAAGTGGAAAAGTGACAGCCGGCCCAAGTCCAACCCACATCCGCTGCAGCTCGGCTGCACGTGTTGTCTATCTATAACCAAATTAGAGCATATGTAAATAAACACACGCTCTGAACTGTGGCCTCGCTGACCCCTAACCTCCCGACTCAGGAAGTGGGGGCAGGGAGAGACCGAGAAGACGATGGATTATCTCCTTGGAAGCTGACTCTGAAGTGGAGCTCCTGAAAGCAGCTACATGAAGATACTTTTAACCTGACGTGTCTTTTTTCTAACATATTTGAAATGTAATTTCTTCTTTTATTCGTTTTGTTTTTTTCTGCAAATCTCATAGAAAGTCCTTTATGCCGTTTGACCAAGTGGAAGAGAACCCAGAATTGGTAAAATGTCAGTAGTTTGTGATGTGAAACGGAGAGCATTTGAAAATGTATTTTACCTTATTGAGACTTAGAACCTTGTAAATTACAAAGCAGCTGAAACACTGAGCTCCTTTAAACCCAGGCTGAACACCCACCTGTTTGTAGAGCTGCCTTTCATGAGCAGCAAATGGAACAGATTTGATTCAGATTGATGATTTTGATGATTTGACAAAATGTAACGTTCACTGACTGCCCTGTTACATTTTTGTGGTGTAAAGAACTTTGTTGCCTTGTTGCTGAAATTTGCTATAAATAAACTTGACTTGATTTAAAGAGGCAGTGTCACGTAAAATCAACTTTTTTTTTAGCTTTATCTAATGTTGTAATATCATTCTCCTGTGGCAACCATTCAGCTGTCCAAAACACCTGGATGAACTTAGCTCCGCCTTCAAGGACAAACTACCACCTAACAGAGCACACCTGTTATAAAGTAAATCGACTTTAAAGCTATTGTTGATATGTAAAGCATTTTTGCATAAACTGAGGTTAACATTACATTAGTGCCTGGTAATACACATCATGCTGCCCCTTCAACCTGCAGAAAACATTAAAAATTTAAATACCGCAATATCCCAGTTGCATAAGTTTATATCTAACACTTCAGTCATTATTGGTAAATATGTCAAATTTTATATCTTGATAGTTGATATCTGATAACTGAAGCTTACAAATGTGCTCCAAATCTAGCAGATTGAGGATGAATTAACTGTTGCCAACTTACACACTTTGTCACTATATTTTTCAACTTTACAGGCCAAAAATAATTTTAAAAAATTGGTATCAGCAGGACAGTCTATTTACAGATCGCCAAGAAAACTGCAATCGGTTCAACGCATAGCCCACAGATTTTTTTTTTTTTGTCACTTGTTGTACAGGACTTTGGCTAGGCTGTAATTTTCAGCCTATAAAGCAATTATGTTGTTGATTTGGATTCATGCTTGATCCTCAGAAATGCATTTGCTCATCATCTCCATTTTTTTGGTCAACATTGACTGGCATTTATTTGCAAAGGGTCGTAACTTCATCCATTGATATAAAACAACTTCTAACTGAAGTAACCTCACAATGATGCTGCCGCTACCATGTTTTATTGTTAGCGTGACATGTTTCAGTAACCAAACATAAGCAACACTTCCTGACAAGTTTTTAATCTTTAGTTATTGAATGCAAATATCAACAAAAATTAGTTGGGTACAGAAGAAAACCTACCATTTAGTTAGTTTAATAGATTATTCATTTAAGGCTTCTGCTACCAGGTTATTTCAGCTTTCTATTATTTTTCTTTTCTTTCTTTTCCACAAAATGTTGAAATGATTTAATATGGTTTCACTTTTCAATGCCACAAAAGCCTGGCGTTTGTAGCTTTCTGTGAACCCCTGCGTCCGTGTCACTGTGTGTCCTCACCAGGGCATTGATGTCTTCAGATTTGTATATTAGCATTCGGATCTCTTCAGGGTCTCCGCTGAAGATCGCCTGGATAAGAGGAGGCTGGAAGGGAGCGGGGGAGAGAGAGGGAAAAAACAGAAAAAAATAAAAAATGGTCACATGACCTGAAGCACAAACATTTCTCTTATGCACGTTGTCAAAGTGAGGCGACATGATGAGAGCGCGTGGGAATATTTCCTGAACATTACAACAGGAATTCATTCCTCCAGTGTTGCAAAGCGCCACCGTGTACAACTGAAAGTTACTCGGTTTAGGAAAAATATCCCCATTCCCTTTCCCATCTTCTTCCAAACAAACAAACCTCTGTGGAAATCACATTGCGGATACAGATCAGAAAAATAAAATGCTTGTGTAGAGAACTGGCCTCTGTGAAAGGCGCGGCATGGAGTTCACATCTACAAGGCCCTTATTTTTCTTTTCAACATCACAGACATGAGGTAAATGCAGGCTCTCGGCACTCCTTAGGAGACTGAGGAACACCAGCAGGCCAACTGTGTTGTTAGGAATGTTAAATGTTGCGGCAAAGCAACTCAGTTTGTAACAGATTTTTTTAAAAAGTTTTCATCCTGCTGTTTTCTCAAAAAAGTCTTAAATTTATGCAACTATATATAAGGCCGTTAAATGTTTTAAAAATACAAACAAAAATGTTGTTAGCCTTAAACAACTCAATCACAGCTCTTCAGATTATATACAAGGCTATTTAGTTTTGTATATTCCAGTTAGTTTATATTTGGCACACAACTTTTAAGACAGGCAAATGTTTGGGGCGCATGCAGACATCCTATTATGTTCTTTAACTTGAAGCCGTTGAGTCTCCTGGTAACAAGCAGCTTCTTACTACAGATAACTAGTAGTGAGTAGCTGCTGGTTACTATCAATAACTAGTTCCAATAGCTAGATAGTTAGATTTCCTAGTTTGCTAGAATCTAGCAGGTCTCAATAGCTGGACTTGCTAGCTATGTCACTGAACTGCCTTGTTGCTATGCAAATAAAACTTGACTGACTGGTTGATTTAACGAGTCTAGATCACTAGACTTGCTTACTATCGAGCAAGTCTACCTTTGCTAGATAGCGAACTTCCTTCTGTACTGGGTAAGTGCAAATTTATGGCCAGTAGACAAGGCATGTTCTTTTTTACCACTGTTACCAACCCATACAAGGGTTGGTGCATTCTGTGAAAAAAAAAGAAAAAGTTGAAGCATAATACTATGGGAGATAAGGCTTTAGAGAGCCATAGGTTGTGTAATTCAGCAGTATCCCCCAACAACGCCAGAATAGTTTTTTATCCTTAAATTTCATTCCAGGCATTATTAAAATAGTCTTCAATTAGACTTTCTGAAACTTGCAGACACCCCTTTTGTTTTCAAGAAGAATCCTTTTCAACAACACCTTCCCTGTGGCGTTCATGGGGACAGTAATGTGAGGTTAATCCATAAAGGAGAAAAAGACAAAAACACTGTGATCAGGGTACTATTAGCCTCAATACCGCCAAAGTTCTGACATGGTGAAGCATTTAAACATTTTCATGCAATACACTAGCTCAGAGGTTGACACTTTTTAAAAGGGACCACTTCAGTTGAAACAAACGTTTTCCACCATCTTCACAGACATTTTAAATTCTTGTGTTTTGTCAAAAAAATACTCAGAACCGCTCCTCCTTGTTTGATAGCTTGAAGCATGCATTTTCATTGACATGTTTATAATTGTAAGTATGAAGTAAGAAAAATGAGCAGAACAGTTGAAAACCATGTGAAATTTTATTGCCAATAAGCATTGTTATGAGTTCATCACATCTATGTATGCAGGACAAACTACTAATATAGAAATATTTTTAATCTTGACCCCCTTCAAAAAAAAAAAAACAACTACAGAAAGGGATTAAACCTACTCTGTTAAACAATTAAAAGCTGAGCTCAGGCTCACTTCCTGTTGTATTTCCGCCACCAGCTGCCTCACTTCCTGTTGCACAGTCTCTCCTTCTCAGAAACACCACAGAGGAACTGATTGCAGAGCAGCATTTCACTTCTGCTTCAAACAGCCAGCGGTACTTCCTCATCTGACCCTTTTTGTCCCCCTGAAAGTGACTGTGCGGTGGTGAGATCATCACGCTGCTGATGGACATACCAGAGCCTGACCGTACGGCGGCAGCTTTAAAGCAAACCAGAGATCAGGTCACATCAGTCACCACAGCTAGGAATTCAAAGAATTTGCTTCATCTTGAGATTTTATTTCTAAAAAAAAAAAAAGGAATCTATAAACATGTTGAAATCATGGCTTCAACGTGTATGAAATGCTGTGGCAGTAATAAGCATTCAGTTTGTTTCATTCTTCCTGCAGATTGGTCACAACAACAGACGGAGGAATGTTGTGCAGCCTCTCCTGAGTTGTCTCTGTCTGTTTCTTTCTGTTTTTGGTCAGTCCAGCAGAGTCAGAGGCGTGTCCCACTTTCAGGTCTCTCCACTCTGAAAGCAGGTTTCATTTCAACACCTCTCCTTCTGAGTTTATCTTTACATTCTTCTGTCTGCACGTAGCATGATGCTGCCACCCCCGTTGGACTGGTATCGTATTTACCATGCAACTAACATGTTTATCAGAAAATTATAAAATGTCTTAATTCATTTAATATAATCCTGCACTTAATGGTGGGCGATAAATCAATTTCATCAATTAATTGGATGTTTGGTTTTTGAAGATTACATTTTTGGAAAATCTGATTTTTTTTTTTGTCACCATTTCCCTCCTTGGGTTTCCACAGTTCAGAGTGATGTCAGTGCGCCGACGGCAGCCGTCATGTTTGACAAGCACGTCTTACAGCTTCTTTTCATGTGGACTTTGAATTCAGGTCAACTATTGCTGAACACCAGGGCCATGCTTAGATTTTTTTTTTTTTTTTAATGAGAACAAAGTCATAAGAGCATGAAGTCGTAATTAAAAGAGAGCAAAAAAATTCAGAGCTGTAACCCTGAATAAAAACAAACTAGCCTAATTCACATCCAGTTTCTGTTGCCATCTCCTCCGCAGAGAGTGGAAAGCAGTTCAAATGTCACAGCTGAGGGAAAAGCTGTCTACATTTGGCAAACACTGACAGCTTTGGGTTTCTCCCCTCTTGTCTCTGCATGCATTCACATAACGTGGTGTGGTGGGTGACAGCGTCGTCGACAGCACTGCTCCCAGATTGTCCTGCAACCAGCCTGATACCTAAAGCAAGAAGAGGAGCAGAATGGAGCAGAGACAGGGAGAGCAGAGGCCTGACAGGAAGTGACATCAGGAGTCTGGTTCATCTTCCCTGCAGGCCGTCACGAACATAACAATTCATTGTTGCAGCAGAAACTTTCACATACATACCCTGCCACAACCTTTCTCTCTCTCACACACACACATATTTGTTATTATCCCGTAAGGACGGCTCAATGTGACCCAGATCACGAAGCAAAACAATAAGAAATTCTTTTCCAACATGCAGCGGCTGTTTGTTCCTGGCAGTTCTTATTAAAAACAGGCTGAACTAGAAAAGGACTCCAAAAAACTTCTGAGTCGATCAGATTAGCTGAAATGTCCTGTTTTCATCAAATAATCCACATTATTTGATGAAAAGAACATTCTGTTTTAATTAGCTGCAAATTATGTTAAATACCGATGACTCGGCATATCGAAAGGCTGGAAACAGACAACGCTTTATTACTGAAAGGAAAAACACCGATGCTGCCATTGATTAACCAATCGGTTGCAATGGGTATTTTGTGAAGTATTTATGAAGCATTTGCTTATTTTATCTGACAGGAAAAAATTATTTTTCTGCAGAGTCCTCCTGACCATTAGAGGGCGCACCGCTAAATCGGCCCAGATTTCATTCTTTTTTCGGCCAGAAAACTCCAATCGGTGCAACCCTTTGTCTTTTACTATCAAATTTCTCCATCAAAGTATTACAAGTAGCCTGAACATGACATATCATACAACGCTAATCATTTTGAACCTGTAAACTTTTTACAGGTTCAAAATTCTGAATGAATGAATGAATAAATAAATGTTATGAAGGAAAACAAAGAGTAACCATATAAATAAATAAGCACATCTAAACTCCCACATGGGTCAGAACCAGGGATCCACCGATATGAAAATTTGGGCCGATTTTGATATCCAATTTTAACATTGCTGTTTTGGACAATAACTTATATTTACCGACATTATATACATTTATCAACATGTACAAAATGTACAACATTTTGAAAATGGATGGGTTTTTTTTTTCAATGTTTTATAATAATAATTATCATTATTATTATTTAGAGTGAAATCTGATTTTATTTTACTGAAATTTTACGGTGGAATATGGAAATAAATATCGGTTGCTAATATCGGCCAAGTTTTATTCATCGGGTCGATACTGATACGTTAAAAAAAAAGAGGCTGGCACCGGTATATCATGCATTCCTAGTCAGAACATCCAGAATTTCAGTTTCATTCAGCCTGGAGGAGAGTTCTGTTCTGAAGGGCACAGAGAGTTAAGGGAAGATGAAGAAAAGTACACAGGCTTGTAGGTTTTAGCTGAGTGCTGAGTGAAGGCATCCAGTTATCAGTCATCATCAGCTTGTTGTCTGAAAATAACAGGAAGTCCTACAGTTCTGGGTTACACACACACACACACACACACACACAGACAAACTGAAAAAAAAGCAGCTCTTCCTTCCTTGACAACACATCTGATATGAGCACCAAATCAGTTTCTACTGAGACATGTCCACCGTAGAGCAGCTGCAAACGCCACTCTGCAAAGTTCCCAAACAGGCTCAGAGACCTGAACCTGTAGGATGGCATTCTGTGCTCAGCACCATGAGCCCACTTTAAAGCCACGGCATCAGACAACAGAGACAATGACTGCATCATCTAACAATGTCAGCTTTCTCGGTCAGAACTACTGGAGAAAAAAGTGAATAGGGAGGAACAAATGTTTTATTCAGTTTGATGAACATTTCCCTGCTCAGTGATGGAGATCACAGAGGCGTCGCACGACCTTCGCCACTGAGGATGTTCCCGTTTCTGTGTGAATCTACAGTGCTGGAGAAAAGTATCAATTCTTTTTGTTGACGCTAATCTTTCAGATCGAGAAACTAGTTTTATGACCACAACTGGAAAAAGTAGTGATTAAAGGTGCAACAATATGATAATATCTGGATCTGTCCTGATATTTAAAAATAAATTCAAGATCGAACATCAGTGACGATGTGCCTGATTCTAAAGGGTGGAGCTATTAAATCTAATTCTGTGCTTTGTACTTTGAGTGACATCATGATTTGATATTTATTTTATGCTAAATTTAGGATATCGGTATTCACATCGGAAGTGAAAAAAGTGAATTGGTGCATCCCTTGCAACGACTTCCTTAGCAACGACTTCTCCAGTAGGGGGTGCTCTCAACAACTACCACTGAGTCTTCTTCCCTCCCTGTGGAGGAATTTTGTCCCAATCGTTTTTGCAGAATAGTTGAGACGCATCACAAGTTTCTTAATACCTTAACAGCCTGTTTAGATAACACCCAAGAATCAATCAGATTCAAGTCCAGACTTCAACTAGACCATGTCAGAACCTGATGGCGTTGTCCTTCAGTATTTTCTGAAACAATAACGCCAGGTCATTCAGGTCCAGACCATCACACCACCAAAATGGCTGACAGTGGGTTTAATTCTGAAACACTGTGTGAGCTCCACAGCAGCTGCAACGGGACACACTACTTCTAAAAAGTTCAACTTTTTCATCATCTAACCCTTAAATATTTTCACAGAAGCCTTGGCAATCATCAGGATGCTTTTTTTGGAACGTCCTGTTCCACTGGGTCAGCAGTGGTTTTAATCTTGGAACGCTCACACAGATGGGGCAACTTCTTAGTGTTGAACTCCGACCTTTTCTGAGGCTAGAGCTTTAAATGTGACCCCCGGATGAGTCACAGACACTCTTAGAGTTCCATGTTTCCTCCATTTGTGGATACTGGTTGTCATTATGGTTCCGTAGTCACGCAACCTTAAAAATGGCTTTACAAATCCTCCCCAGACCAAACTCTTTCAATGATTTTGTAATGATTCAGGTCATCTAGATTGTCAGAATGAAGAATCAACCCCAAAGAAGCCTGAAATTGATCAAATTCTGCAGATGAGTATAATTGCGATACAAGTGAAAGCTTGAGAGGAGAAAGCATGTCTCCTTGGGAGAAACATTTTATCTTTCGGCTGCTCATGAGTTTTCTTTGTGACCTATCTAACAGGTCAGCAGTACTGATCTGCACTGAACATTTTTATCATTTTCAATGACTAACTCTGGATGGCGAGGTTAGTCGGTGTAAGACTGCACCACGACAATGAAAATAGATCCTCTGATTAAAATAAAAAGTGCTTCAGGAATAAAGTATTACAAAAATAACCAAGTCAAGTTTAGGTTAATATGTGGGGTGAAGTCATTAAATATTTGACACCAACTTTAAAAAGTTATTACAATGAATAAATAAACATTTAAGCAAGCTTTGGACATTTAAGTCGCTATGATCTGGTCGCTATCCTTCATTAAAATATAACAAATGTTCATAAACAACTATACAGGAATGGTAAAAAAATGTACGCTCTCTTTATCTTCCAGGATTTTATCTATCAAGACATAATATATCAATTTGAACTTTATCAGGTTGTAAAATCATTTAAATCTGAAAAAAATAGTTTTTAAAAAGCATACCATGGTCTCCATTGCTATCGACTGTTAAACAAAAACAAAGCTAAAATGGAACAATGAAGAATAATAAGTACACCCCATGATTCAATAGCTAGGATACCTCCACTCGGTAGTTGGAATTTAAATCGTCTTCTGTCTTGTTTTAGCAACATCTTATTTTGTTTTGGAGGAAACTTAACCTCAGGGCTTTAACTGGACCTCTTCTTCAACCATTCTACATTACATTGGGGATGTGGTTGCTGTCAGGAGACTTCACACTGGACTGCGGAATACTAAGACAAAAGTTGACTTATGGACAGCAGGCTAACAAGCCCAGAGTATCACCATCCACCACCATACTTGACAGCTTCTATAAAAGACTGTGTGCTTATACGATGTCTTTGGTTGTCACCAAACTTGCTGTTGTACATCAGGGCCAAACAAATCTGTTCCGCTCTCATCTGTCACAAGGAATTTGCTCTAGTGTTGCTGTAATTACTTCTGGAACTTTCTGCTTCAAGAAAAGACACTTTCCCCTCGTTCAGTCTAATTTAAGTGTCATTAATTTCAACACTTAACATGCTAACTGGAACCTGCAGAGGTCCCGGAGCTCCTGTTTTGTTTTTTGCAATTTTCTAAGCAATGCATGGTCTGACCTTTGGTTTCTCTGAAGAATGATGAACTTCAAATATTTTTGGACATGTCAATATAACACTTCCTCGATTAATGGATGGTATTTTAATGCAAGATTTAAACTATTTCAAAACCTGATAGAGACTGTGTCTCTATCAGTTTTTAATGTAGTCTGATACTTTGAACAGCAGAACTGAAAGGTCAACTAATATTTGTCCTATAACTAAATTAATTCAATAGAATTTGTTTTTGTTATTTGTCACTGACAGAAGTGAAAGTCCACCAAAATCCCACAAACATTAAACAATAGATTTATTTATTAAAACTAAATTTGCAATTCTCAACAACACAAAACCAGCGCCCTGTTAACCAGGTGCTGTGGCTTTAGTTAGTTTTTTTCTGTATAGATAGCATAAAAATTGGGGGCATTTTTTTCTGTTATGAATTACTTTTTTATACTTCTAATAATAAAAATAGGGAGTAAAATGTATTTTTTCCTTTTTCAAATCGCAAAAGGTGAAAATGAGTCCCGTAAATTTAGCTAAGGCTAACTGGCTAGCTACGGTTAGCCGGTCTTTTTCTTTATTCTTCATATTTTATGGATTTTCATTATGACTCTTGTGAAGTTTATTAAAAGTTGAAGTCTTAGAAAATGACATTGTTTCTAATTTCATTAGAGTAACTTTTAAGGTCACGCACTGGCCTGGAGCTTCTAGACTTGTTTTGTTCCTGTCGGGATTCTGTCTTAAAGCAGATTTTTCTGGAAATGTTTGCAGAGAAGCTCCTCTAGAAAACACTAGAGCTGATTATGTCATGTGTTCCTACAGGCGCGGTACTTTTGCTACCTGCTGTTGGTGGAAGGAAACAAGCAGGAAGTCATTATTAGGAAACACATCATTACATCTCTGCTCATTTCTGTGCAGATGCCATGAAGGTCCACTGTGAAGTTTATATTTGAGTGAGACGTACTGCTTCCGGTTTAGATCTTACAGTTAATGCTCTAGAGAGAAACGATGCAAGTTGATGTGTTCATCATATTTTAACGAGGCGGCGCATCAGTGATGCTGAGCTGCGCTAAGCTAACAGCGGCTAGCGGGTCCTACCTGGTCGGCCAGTTTTAGAACAGCCATCTCTGGGTCAGCTCCGTCTGCGCATCCACTCGCCCCCAAACCGCAGCACCATGCACGGTGCGATGCTGCGCCTCGTTCCGCCGCTACTTCCCCCTCGAGCTTCCTGTGGCACTGCAGCCGACTGAAAGGCGAAGTTCTAGACCGTAATTGTCCCCCGGTCGCTCAAACGGGTGACTGTGGTGATGGTGAAGGCCGGTAGGAGCTCCACGGCCATCAGCCCCGCTCCACCGAGGCTATCTGCGGCAGGGCTGCTGAGCCGAGGTAGGCGCGCGCCGTCGCTGGGAGGCAGGGAAACAGGAAAAGCTTGAACCGCTGCAGTGAACGATCCACATTTATGGTTGCTTCTATTACTTCTGGTGGACGGAGGTCCCGGGCGGCTCTCGGAGTTTTGCAGCAACCCTCACAAACCTTCCTCGTCCCCGGTCTGCAGAAGCAGAAAGCTCCCGGAGAGGAAGCTAGGTTGTAGTCAGCTGAACGAGATCACACAGGAAGTCCTTGCTTCTCTCCTGCTTTCAGATGCAAGAGTGGAGGCGAAGCTTGCTAAGCATCACCAGAGCTGCAGCATCTCTTCGTTGCCGCCACCCGATGGCCAAACGCTGAACTGCAAACTCCAACAACAACTCGAATAGATTTCATGTTTGTTTTGGGGGTTTTTATTGAAACATCAAGGCAAAGATCTCAGAGGTCAGTCGGTCACTTGTTAACCTAAAAGCGACTCCCAATGTACTACAAAGAAATCCACACAAACAAATAAGACTACTAAAAAATATGTAAAACTGATGACCAAAAAAAGTCAAACTTCTAAGACTTTGAATTTTGTTAATATTCCACTAAACTCGTATTGCAACCATTTGCTCTCAGGAGGCATGTCCTCATGTTTGCAGCACAGCAGTAGCATTGGGGATGACTTTTAGCAAGGGACGCCTCATAGTTCTGTTTTCATGATGCATTCCAAATGTTATGAAGGAAGGAAGCAGATGGACAAATCTAATGCAGACACTGGAACAGTGTGACAAGAGGACTAGACTGTATGGCATGGTGTCATATTTCATTCACAGATGCCATTCAGTGAACGTTTTATTTCTTTTTGACCTACCGAGCTTTTGCTGCCAAAAATACTTCTGATAGTTTGAGGAAATAAAGTTCCTGAAGTGTTTGGTTTGGTTGAAATTATGAATTATGAGGTATGGCCTCTGATACAGATAGAATCTGATCAATATCTGTCATGTTTTGTTTTTTTCTTCTGTTTCTGGAGCCAGTCAAAACCAGTTTTTCTGAAAAGCCATTGCAACCCTGCTATGGGAAGTACTTCAGTTGCAGATTCTGATTCTACAACATTTTCTCAAACTGCTGCTAAGGTTTGAAATCTTTTAACACCAGAAATCTTGCCAGATGAGTTGTTTTTTCTCAGGATGTAGTGATAAATGAAATCATATGTTCCCTGTGATGAACTGGGGGTCTTGTTTGGAGACATGTGGATGTGGATGTAGTTCTGGTCTGCAGTTGTGACGACAAAATTGTTCTGAAGTTGAGCTCTGCCAGAAAAGCTCCTCATCCCCGATCTCATCTGTGGCGCTCCTGGACAGGATCTTGAGACCAACTGTGGGGGCTTTTTGCAGATGATGTGTTTCTTTTGACATCTTCAAGCCACAATCACCATGTGAAGCAGCTGGGATGACACGTCTAAACCAGGGGTACCAAAGTCGAGTCCTCAAGAACCAAGATCAAGAGCAGTGAAGTATAGATACTCCAAGATACCAAAGTCAACTGGCGTAAGTCCTTCTCTAGCAGTAATTCAGGTTGGCAGAGGCTTGGTAATAAGCCATTAATTTCATCCAGGTGTGTTAGAGAAGGGATGAATCTAAAAATTGTAGGGTGGTAGCTGTCGAGGACTGGACAGCCCTGGTCTAGTGTATTATTCCTCAATTGCAGTCGTCTGGGATTACTGCCCTGTATATTTTAAATGTGTCTGTTCCAAAACTCCTGATTCAAATGATTGGAATTATCTCCTCTGTAGCCACAAAGAGCTGCTGAAACCTGTTAATCACCCAGATAGTCGGTGTGTGGCAAAAGAGGAAAAACTTAATAACTTAATACATGCAGTGTGGTGGTTCCTACAGAACGCAATCGATAAACACTAGTCATGATTCTCAACCGTAATTAGGGTAGGTCAAGGTTGTCCGAGTTCAGTCCTCGAGAACTACCATTCTGTAACATATTGATGCATTCCTTCTCTAACACCTGGATGAAATAAATGGCTAGTTACAAGGCCTCTACTTAAGCCATTTGAATTGGTTGTGTTGGAGCAGGGATGCATCTAAAAGCTATAGGGTGTTGGCACTTGAGGACTGGACTTGGGCACCCCTGGTGTAGATTTGGGGTCAGGCTCTGCATCAAGTGTAGGACCTTGCTGTCTTGTTCACAACAGACAGTTGAATTGAGAGGAAGACTGAGGCATTGGGGCCTGAAACGAAGAAAGAACAAACAAAAAAAAGCAAAAAGTGGTCTGTTTGGACCCTCACTAATGGTCCCAAAATTAGGGAAACAAGCAACCGGTATGAGTTTCCTCTGTCCAGCCACCGTCAGCCTTAGAAATAAGATGAGAAGCTTCATCATCTGCATCTGCAGTTGCTATACATGGTCAATGTAGAGGTCCTTTAGAAATATGAACAGGATGCCTCCGAGGCACCTTCCTTTGGAGGTATTCAGGGCACATCCTGCTGGGATCAGACCCAAACCGCATTGGAGAGGCTATATTTGCCTTCTGGCCTGGGAACGCCTTGGGATTCCCTATAATGAGCCAAGGAAGAGGATGTCAGTTTCCCTCTTTGACCAGTTGCCACAAGGACTGATTTCAGTAAAGCTGAAAACAGATAGATGTACTGAATGTAGAGAAGCTGTGCTTTCTCCACTTTCTGTCCTTAAAACAGACAAACATAGCTGTTTGGAAATGCTCCTGGGAGTAAAAACCTTTGCTTAAAACCGTTTATAGACAATTTTAGGAATATTTCAGCAACAAGCAGTTGTAATTTCTTGACAGAAGGTTTAATTGTGAGGCTCTTTCTGGCATATAATTAGACCAGGGTCATTTCTCACTGGATTATGTTCACTGTCCTGTGAAAACTAACCTCTCAATCTGGTATGCAGAGAATGTCTTTTTGCAAGTGATCCAACGTCAACACTCGTCTTAATCGTAAAAATCTTGTCACCTTGTGCTCTCTTCTGCATGCTGAACACACAATTTACTTGTTTCCAATGTTCGAAATCGAAACAGATACAAATACTTTGCAACAAGTCCAAATGTGAGCAAACGACACAAACGGATCAGAGAGGGAACAATATGGCCTCAGTTCAGCCGTCTGCAAGGGAATCTGGGTCAGAGAGTCTGTGGTGCAGAAGTGAGCTGAACTGAGGGGAGGGGGAGGTGCAAGTCACAGTTGATGAATATGTGGAGGTTTTTATTTTCTTAATCTGTCACTTTACTACAAGTTCATTTGCTACCCAGGACAGTAAAGAGAAGACAAGATCCATGACATTCTTCCTGGATGCAAATACACCACACGTGTGGCATCGAGAAAAAAACTCAACCAGAAACAGGATTTTGTACACAAACCTTTTATTTGGTTGAATAAAGCCTTGATCTAAGAACAGAAGTGATGTGAAAAATGGAGAAGGTCTGGGTGGTACAGAAGTCTATCATAACCAATTAAACAGACAAAATGATCCCGATATTTAAAATGTGCTGACGACAGCCCTGTGTTCCTAGACAATCTTCTGGCCTCAACTGCTTCTTACAGGAAACACAAGTTAAAAGTAAAAAATACATACAGACTCTACAAGGTTTCTTCTTTCACATTTGGATTTTTTCACTCTAATAGAAGAAACTGAATGTAAGCACAAAGCCACTAAATAAAAACTGACCCACAGGCGACGGATCTAGAGCTGATCAGGGTTGGGAAGAGGAAAAAAAATAAACCAAGTGTATTTACAAAACGTATTCGAGCTCATAGCGGACGTAGACGTTCTTCTCATCGTTGTAGACCTGTGGGTAATGAGCAATCAGGGCGTCCTGGGAACCAATGTAGATGGAGTTGTAAATCTTCCAATAGACGTCTCTCACCTTCCGGGCCGGATGGAACAGACCCTGCAGAGACAGACGGGGTTAAACAATGAACATATTCAATGAAACATATCTACGTACCATCCTCTCTAGTCATACAGTTCTAACATCTCTCATCCTTACCTGTAAGCAGTACTGCAGCATGCGGCAGGGGCCGAGGGCCACTCTCAGCCCCTCCAGGGCGCCCATAACAGCCTGGATGACGTGGGGAGACGTCTCAAAAACGTTGGGCCACACGTAATTCAGTAAATGGTTGAGGGAGTCTTCACAGCCAAAACCGTAGACACCCAGAGACATGTGCTGGACGACAGCGCTGGCGGTCTGTCTGTGGACCAAATCTCTGCAGGGTGACAAAGAAACAAGTTCAGAACGACATCTAAAGAACGCTCTTAAACCAGTCACATGGTTTTCCCAGTATATCATAAGCCTGGCGGGCCTTCAGGCTTTACCTACGTAAAAACACATCATTAGCTTGTCATACTTTTACATTTTCTGTCAACTTTAAACATTTAACTAAAAAACAGGGTAGGCTGCTGGATGACTGCTCAAGCAAGCCTAGTAAGTTTTCTGGGTGAAACCCTGAGTCATGTGTCTGGACAGGTTCTTCTCCACACACATTTCTATTTTGCCTCTTGAATGATGTAATTGGAAAGGCCAATCCAACAAATTAAAATTAAACGCTCTATTTCTTATATACATGGTTTCTCCAAGGCATCTGTAGGTTTTAGGAAGTCACATTTAAAACTAAGATCCTCTTAAAGCCACACTCAAGTAAATTCCCATGAGAAATCTAAGACATTTTAACTCACCAGGGAGTTGTTTTAGATATGCCAATAACTTGCTAGAAATCTTTCAAACTGAGGCGCATCACCTGTCCATTAATGCGTCCTCCAGCAGAGGTGTGACAGCGTAGATGTAGTCTTTTCCCATTTCTCCGATGTACTCGAACAGGAACGAGAGCGACTTCAGGACACCGTTCTGCACGTTCAGCTCAGGCACTCTGTATTCGTTCATGAGTGCCGGCAGCACCGTGAACGGTGAACAGGTCTCCGCCACGATGGCAATGGCCACGGTTGTACACACGCGGTTCTGACGCTCCTGGACCTTCAGGTTGTTCAGCAGAGTGGCCAACACGTCATGAGGCCTGAAAGGAGAGAGGGAAAACAAAATGGGGTAAGAAACAGAGTAAAGATTCCTACGGGTTAGCATACAGGAAGCAAACATCTGAACTGACCCGATGGCTTTGGCAATATAACCAAACGTGTTGACGGTAGCTCTGCGAATTGCCTTTTTGTGAGCTTTGAGCAACTCCAGCAACTCAAAGCAAATCCTCATCCACTCTCTGGCTGACACGTACTCAGCACCCCTACATGAGGAACAAACGTTAGAACGAGATCGGCCAAGACACGGGCTGCACAACACC